GCGAATACCTGTACTACAATCTGAAGCTGGAAATTTTGTGGGTGTCTGTGTGTTTCTGTCTGTTCGGTGGGGGACTATGAACAAAATAACAATATATTTTTCACTTCTATTCTTTACTTAAAATATTTTTTCTTTTTATTTTTTTTTTATTTTATTTTTTTTTGAGACAGAGTCTCACTTTTGTTGCCCAGGCTAGAGTGAGTGCCATGGCGTCAGCCTAGCTCACAGCAACCTCAAACTCCTGGGCTCAAACGATCCTCCTGCCTCAGCCTCCCAAGTAGCTGGGACTACAGGCATGTGCCACCATGCCCGCTAGTTTTGTATATATATATTTTTAGTTGGTCAATTAATTTCTTTCTATTTTTAGTAGAGACGGGGTCTCGCTCAGGATGGTTTCGAACTCCCAACCTCGAGCAATCCGCCCGCCTCGGCCTCCCAGAGTGCTAGGATTACAGGCGTGAGCCACCGCGCCCGGCCTCTTTTTCTTTTTAAAAATAATCCTAAAACTCTGGCCGGGCGCGGTGGCTCACACCTGTAATCCTAGCACTCTGGGAGGCCGAGGGGGGGATTGTTCGAGGTCAGGAGTTCGAAACCAGCCTGAGCAAGGGCGAGACCCCCGTCTCTACTATAAATAGAAAGAAATTAATTGGCCAACTAATATATAGGGAAAAAATTAGCCGGGCATGGTGGCGCATGCCTGTATTCCCAGCTACTCGGGAGGCTGAGGCAGGAGGATTGCTTGAGCCCAGGAGTTTGAGGTTGCTGTGAGCTAGGCTGACGGCCACGGCACTCACTCTAGCCTGGGCAACAAAGTGAGACTCTGTCTCAAAAGAAAAAAAAAAAATCCTAAAAGTCTTAAAAAGTAATACAATTAGAAAGAAAAGTACTAAGAATTCACAATTTAAAAATTCAAACAGTACAAAAGAATGTACAAGGAAAAATCTCCCTCCCACCCCAGACCCTGGGTCTTCCAGTCTTTCCTAGAAGCAACCACTCTTACCACTGTCCTGGATGATTTTCCATGAATATTATATAGTAATAGAAGCTTTAAAAAAACCTTTTTATTGGTGTGTGATATCCATCCATATAAAATATATTTAATTATAAAATTAAATCATGTTCACTGAAAACAAATTCAGACAATACCAAAGTTTATAAAATTAAAAGAGAAATTTCCCCTCTCTCTACCCAATTCAATCTCTCTAGCCACTGTTAACAGTTAGGGACCTGGAAACCTTATTGTCATTCTTGAGCTCAGAAACCTCAGATCCTTGTTGGACTCCTTCCTACTCCTCCCTTCCTCCATCTAATTCCATCTTCCATTTACACGTAAGAACCATAGTAAGTAAGCATTGTTATCTTCATTTTGCTGCTGAGGAATTTGAGGCTCTGAGAGGGAAAATGGGTTGCTCAAGAACACAAGGCAAGCCAGGTGCAGGGGACACATCAGTACTTCTAGCTACTCAGGAGGCTGAGGCACGAGGATGGCTTGACCCCATGAATTCAAGGCTGCAGTGATCTATGAAGCAGCCTCTGCACTGCAGCCTTGGCAACATAGTGAGACCTTGTCTCTTAAAACAAACAAACAACAACAACAAGCCAGCAAAAACTAGGCTGGGTGCAGTGCCTTATGCCTGTAATCCCAGCACTTTGAGAGGCTGAGGTGAGAGTATCACTTGAGGCCAGGAGTTTGAGACCAGACTGAGTAATATAGCAAGACCCTATCCCTACAAAATTTTTTTAAATAATTGGCCAGGTGTGGTGGTGCACATATGTAGTCCCAGCTACTCCAGAGGTTGAGGCAGGAGGATCACCTGAGCCCAGGAGTTTAAGGCTGCAGTGAGTTGCTATGCTCCAGACTGGGTAACAGATTGAAATGCTGTCTCAAAAAAAAAAAAAAAAAAAAAAAAAAAAACAAAAAAACACCCAAGGCCCGGCGCTGTGGCTCACGCCTGTAATCCTAGCTCTTGGGAGGCCGAGGCAGGCGGATTGCTCAAGGTCAGGAGTTCAAAACCAGCCTGAGCAAGAGCGAGACCCCGTCTCTACTATAAATAGAAAGAAATTAATTGGCCAACTGATATATATATAAAAAATTAGCCAGGCATGGTGGCGCATGCCTGTAGTCCCAGCTACCCGGGAGGCTGAGGCAGAAGGATCACTCGAGCCCAGGAGTTTGAGGTTGCTGTGAGCTAGGCTGACGCCACGGCACTCACTCTAGCCTGGGCAACAAAGCGAGACTCTGTCTCAAAAAAAAAAAAAAAAACACCCAAAACTAAAACAAACAAACAAAAAAACACAAGGCAGGCTGGTCCGAAGGTAGTGAGTTATCTCACGTGATTGTTCACAGTCAGTTACAGATTGAACTCCTTGTTCTACTACTTTCCCCCCTCCTCACTACTGCACTTGACTAGTCTTAAAAAAAAAAAAAAAAAAAAAAACACAAGGCAAAGCCTAGAGTTCAACCCCAGGTGAATGTGTCTGACTCAAGTCCAGTGTTCGTTCTACCATGTTCCTCTGCTTGGTTCTTACTCAGAATCTTAAAGTTCAGTTGCCGTGTCACATGAGCAGCCAATAAATACTATTGTTAGAATAATTAAGGGCCATATTTGAGGAAGGAGAGGACCTGGTCTTGAGGGAGCTGTGACTGAACATCCTTTATTGCCCAGGCCCTGAGTAGTGGTGAAAAGATGCCACCCACTTAAAGAAGCGTCTAGTGTGGGTGAGTAGGTCACTTAGAGTGACTTGGTCAGTGAGTAGAGGCTAGGACTGGAATGAGACTTGAGCACTGAATTGTGTCTAGTTTGTATTTTATAGGGCTGTTGTTTGCATGTCCCAAATGTTCCCTGCACTTTGCAGGATATTTGAAGGCTGATGTAGTGTACTCTCTATGCCTAGAGAACCTCTAGGGGGCAGAGTTACCCACTTTCATACATCAGCTAACTCCACTTTCTGCTTTGGCCCAGAGGATGCCCAGTTGTACTACTTTATTATGTTTTGATACAATTTCCAACTTGCCATTAATACATTGTATTATTAACTGATACTAGAACATAATCAATGTTCAATAAATGTTTGCTGGGTGAATGAATAAATAAATAAGAGAATGAATGAATGAATATGCCTTAACAGAGATCAAAGATTACTATTTGGTTTTGATTCTCTTTTATTCCACTTACTCTTTATTGGCATGTCTTTGTAGTCTGAAACCACTTTACTCCTCATAGTCTTAAAGTATATTGTCTAGTTTGCTGATGGATTTTATGTCATTAAACTTTATAACATTGAGGCTGACTTCATTCATTTAGCACCTACTACGTGTCAGATTCTCTGCTAAATGCTAGTAGTAAGTCTCCTATCCACATGAAGCTTAAATTTTAGAGGGGGAGAAAGTTAATAGGTAAACAAAATAATAAGTGGAAAGTGTTATGAAAGACACAGAGGACTATAACAGAAAATACAGGGTAAGTATTACTTTAGATAGCATGATCAGGGAAGATCTAGTTGAGGAAGTACCATTTAAGCTGAGATCCAAAGGAGGGGAAGGTATCAACTAAACCAAGAGCTGGTGGAAAAATAATCAAGGTAGAGAGCAGAATATGTGTAAGAAAGAAAAGAGGCAGAAAAAAGCTTAATGTGTATAACATTCAGGTTGTTTTATTTTTCTCTATTTCAAATATTATTGCGGTGAACATTCTTGATTCTCGCACAGTTCCTTTTATGGGAGGATGGAAACCTACACCACTAATTATTTGCCTCTTTTTCTCTGATGCCTGGAGATGTTTTTTTTCTCTCTCTCCATAGACTACCTTTTAGAACCAGTGTCCTTCCTAACCCCCTTTATTCCCCACTTACTTTCTCTATTTCTCAAAGTAGCTATTGAGAACTTTTTGCGTTCTTAGAGAAGAAAGATACAACATAGCTCTTAACAGTGTTCCCTTCTCAGGTTACCTTTGGCTGAGGGTTAACCAGAGGTTTGATGACTGTCTCACTCTTGCTATCAATTCATCCACTTATCTATTCCCTCAACACTTATACTGAGCACCTATTTTGTACCAGGCCTTGTGCTGGGTGCTGCAGTCAGAGATGACCAAGTCACAGTCTCTACCCTAAGGGAGCTCACAGCCTCATGCAGTACTTCCTTTCTAAAATATGTTCCCAATGTATCAGAATCACCTGGGATATTTGCTGGAGTGCAGATTCCTGGGCTCCACCCCTGGTTTACTGATTCTCTAGGAGTGGAATCTGAGAGTCTTCAGTTAAGAAGTTCTCCACTTTTTTAAAAAAAATCCCTACTAAAAATTGAGAACCACTGAGTGAGAGGAAGGGCAGGTAAATGGAATTTACAATTTTTAGAAAGTGAATTGGTAATTTATGCACAAAATGTTATGGGATTAATGTCTGGGTCATACAGGGAAGAAAAAGTTCTCTAGAAGTCAGGCTTAAACAGAAAATTAGACAAACCCCAGCTCCCTGGAAGGATTTAGAACAGGCAAAGGTAACGCATGAAGCAAAGACATGTAGACGAAACGGGACGCTGAGCGTTCCAAACGACACCAAGTAACTCTGCTGTAAGTGTTGTGCTGTTGCCTGAAGCCGCTTTGAGCTTATGGGTAAAACATGAGAAAGCCCCAGCACTGAACTCCATGCAGGTTTTACCGCTACCCAGTAACCGGTTTCCTTGTTTTTCTCGGAGTTGTAATTGTACCCCGGGCCGTAGGTAAGACAGTGCGCAGGCGCACTTAGAACCTGCCGACCTTTACACATGCGCAGTATGTAACTCTGAAGCTCAAAAATGAGATGATCGAGGGCAAGTTTTTTCCCAAACCTCCCTTTCTCGAATCCAGAATCTCTGTCCTCATATCAGGCGATGGATTTTACATCTCAATATAACCCCCCCTTTCCTTCTGGGCCTCTTTGGTACATCGTCTGCCAATACCCAACATGGCGGGAGGCCCCTTTCCCGGCGCAGTCTACCCATAGGCGCCCTACTCGGCGGGGCGGGAGGACGGAAGTTGGGGGGGCGGGGTCTGGGCCTCAGCCGGGCGGTGGGCCCCCGCCCCCGCCCCCGCCGGGCCTTAGCAGCCGCTCTAGCGGCTCCCGCGCTGAGGAATACGCTGGGAATCTGCAGGAGTCGAGCGTGGTGAGGTGGGGCCTCAGGGGCAGGCGGGAGGTGCCTGGGTTAACGGTCCGAGGCCCGGAGACCTGCCCGCCTAGGGTGCCTGAGGGACCAATTCGGGCAGCGGCCTCCCGTTACCTGGGAGCTACCTGAGGCCCAGAGAGGGACTGGTACTCGTCCTAGGGCTGCCGGCTGACTTGCTTCAGCTCCCTGCAGCCGCCACCTCTGTGGGCTCCAGTGGGTGCAGAAAGAGAACTTCCCGGTCCTCGTATCCTGTAGCCTACAGTCCCGGGTGGTTAAGTCACTGCATTTCCCGCGCATCTCGCTCTCTGCGTCCCAGACCTTTGCAGCTCCCTGTGCCCTGGTGGCTTTGCACGTGATCTGTCCGAAAGCCCAGTTCCTCCTGCGCCTGACTCTGGAACTCTCATTCTTTAGGACACAACTCAATATCGCATCTAAGCCGCGCTCTCTAGGCGCAGCTACATTTGTTTCTCGGTGTTTGCACTCATTGCACCGAGTTACTTTTCCTGCCCGGTTTTGACACCATGAGCTCGTTCGTTAGACGTTATGCCTTACCTTTTTCATCTCTATATCCCAGAGTCTAGCACCTGATGATAACAGTAATAGCTAATGTTTACAGAATAGTCACAAAGTGTCAGGTGCTGCTAAATGTGTTACCTGTAAAGGCCCATTTAATCCTCATGGCAATTTTGTGAAGTGGGTTCTATATCTTCACATTTTACACATGAAGAAACCAAGGCACTCACAGGTCAAGTAATTTACCTGGAGTCCCACAGCTCATAAGTGGGTAGAGCTGGGAAACTGCCCCCAGAACAAGTGATAACTTCATTCCATTGCCTTTGGGTTTGGTGAACATCTGTTGAATTGATCTTTACATTAGCCCCATGCGTTATGGAGTCTTGGATTATTATCCACAGTTTACTGAGAAGGGACAGTTGATGACTCCAAATTTATGGAATGAGTTCATAACAAAACTAAGGCTAGAACCTGGGTCATCGTACTGGTGTGCCCTCTGTTCCTTCAGTCACATTCTACTTTTCTTTGCTCCTTTTCCATCAGCAAACTGCAGACCTAGGTATCATTATTTCTCATCCTTTAGGAAGTGCCCCTCACAGAGCTGTGATTTCATAGTTTGTACTTTAGGAGGCAGCTAATGCAATGGAGAGAGCATAGAATTTGGAATCAGATTGAGGTTCAATCTTTGCTCTACCACGGACCAGCTGTATCCCTTCCATATTTTGAGACTTAGTTTTCTTGTCTGTAAAATGAGGGCAATAATCTTATCTCGAAGAGTTTTAATGAAGATTGTGATTGTTGTGAGAGGGTATAGAACTGTACAAATTGTATGTGACCTGTTTTTTGCTTTTTAGATGGCAGGATTCTGTCAGGATTCTGCAAGACCATTGGTGATAATCTGGATCATGTTACCTAATGTCCTTATATTGTCAGTCAATTAAATTTTTAATGGACATCCGTTATATCCCAGGTACTATTTTATTTTATTTTTATTTATTTATTTATTTATTTTGAGATAGTCTCACTGTGTTGCCTGGGCTAGAGTCCCGTGGCATCAGCCTAGCTCACAGCAACCTCAAACTCCTGGGCTCAAGCAATCCTTCTGCTTCAGCCTCTCAAGTAGCTGGGACTACAGGCATGTGCCAACATGCCTGGCTAATTTTTTCTATATATTTTTAGTTGGGCAATTAATTTCTTTCTATTTTTAGTAGAGACAGGGTCTCACTCTTGCTCAGGCTGGTTTTGAACTCTTGACCTTGAGTGATCCACCAGCCTCGGCCTCCCAGAGAGCTAGGATTACAGGCATGAGCCACTGTGCCCGGCCCCAGGTACTGTTTTAGGAGCTGGAAATACAAGCGTTCAATAAAACAATATTTTTGCACTTGTGGAATTTACATTTTAGTAGATGTATTATATCTAGTAATTAGGCACAGAAAAAGCATGGGAAGGTAAATAGAAATACCAGTGTGTGGAGAAGGGTGACAGTATTTTATATTGGGTGGTTAGGGAATAATTTACTGGGAAGTTGACGTTTGAACAGAGACTTGAAGGTGGTGGTAAGGGAGCACATCATGAAGATAACTGCAGGAAGAGGCCCTGAGATTGTCGTGTTCTAAACTGGCATAGCAAGGAGGACAGTGTGCTGAAGTGATGTGAGCAAAGGGCAGAGGAGTAGGAAATGGCATTAAAACAATTAAGGGCTAGGGCTGAATAATTAGGACCCTATAGGCCATTATAAGGATTTTGGTTTTTACTCAGAGTAGCCATTGGAGGGTTCTGAGTGGCATGATCTGTTTTAAAGGAATCACTCTGACTACTCTGTAGAAAAAATAAAATTTAGAAAGCATCATTACCATCTAGGAAGCTTTTGTAGTAATCCAGGTGCATTAGTTATCTATTGCTGTGCAAGAAAGAAATTACCCCTAAGTTGAGCAGTTTAAAACAACAGTCTTTTATTATCTCATATATTGTTGTAGATCACAAATCCGGGAGAGGATTAGTGGGATGTTTCTGGCTTAGCAACTGTCTTGAGGCTGTAGTCAAGCTGGCGGCTGGAGTTGCCATCATCTGAAGGCTTTAATGGGCTGGAGGATCTGCTTCCAAGATGGCTCACTCACAGGGCTGTTGACAGGAGTCCCCACTTCCTTACCTCTGGGCCTTTTCCCAGGGTTGCCTGTAGGTCCTCAGTCTTCAGGACATGGTGGGTGGCTTCCGACAGAGAAAGTAATCAGAGAGAAAGGGAAAGAGAAAGACTGAGACTCAGTGAGACTGAACAAAGAGCCATAGTACCTTTTATGACCTTGTCTCTGATGTCATTTCTACTGTATTTAACTTTATTCCAGCCCATATTCAAGGGGAGAGAATTAGGCTCCACCTCTTTTTTTTTTTTTTGCCATGGCGTCAGCCTAGCTCACAGCAACCTCAAACTCCTGGGCTCGAGTGATCCTTCTGCCTCAGCCTCCCGGGTAGCTGGGACTACAGGCATGCGCCACCATGCCCGGCTAATTTTTTATATATATATCAGTTGGCCAATTAATTTCTTTCTATTTATAGTAGAGACGGGGTCTCGCTCTTGCTCAGGCTGGTTTTGAACTCCTGACCTTGAGCAATCCGCCTGCCTTGGCCTCCCAAGAGCTAGGATTACAGGCGTGAGCCACAGCGCCCGGCCAGGCTCCACCTCTTGACAAAAGGAATATTAAAGAATTTGTGGACATATTTTAAAGCTATCATACTGGGCAAGAGAGGGAGGCTTGGCTGAGGATGGTGGTAGTGAGCAGTCAAAAAGTGACAGGATCTGGTAGAGTCAACAGGATTTGCTGATGGATTGGTTATAGGTTTTGGGAGAGTGGAGTAAATATGATCTTAAGGCTTTTGGCTTAAGCAGCCAGAAGGATGGGATTGCCATTTACTGAAATGGGGAAGATCAGAGGAGCAGGAATTCAGTTTGGACAGTTAAGTTTGAGAAGCCTGTGAGACATCTATGTGGAGAAGTTAAATACAGTAGATGTTTGGATTTAGTATAGCAGTGTGGAGTGGGTTCATAAAAAAACCAAGAGGGAGTCGTGGGCTGGAGATGTAACACTGAGAGCTGTTAGGTGGAGAAGAGGTCTGAAGCCAGAGCCCTCCAACCTTTGGATGTTGGGGAGATGAGGAGGAGCCAGAGAGTGGGAGAGGCCAGAGAGACTGGGAGGAGAACAGGGGGAGGGGCCACACATGAGATTTATATAAGGAGCTACATGCTAATTTTTTTTCTGGAATAATAAACAGAAATTGTCTCTGTACACAAATATCTATGCCATAGTTTCTTGCTTAGGAAATAAAATATTTGTGTTCTCCAGTGTTTTTCCTTTTTCTGTGACAAATTCTGTTTACCATGTTTTCCCCAAAATAAAACCTACCCATAAAATAAGCCCTAGCAGGATTTCTAAGCATTTGTGCAATATAAGCCCTACCCCGAAAATAAGACCTAGTGATGGGCGCAGCTATGCAGCGTATCTGCACAACCCATGCATTTCGTCACAGAGCAGTAAAGATGAGGAGCAACCCTTCTCATCTGCCCCATGAGAGCTCTATTGCTCGACATGAGAGATTGGGGCCAATGGTTCTAAAGGAAATAGAGTTGCAAGAAATTCAGGATGGAATTTGGGGTTTGGAGAGTTATGATGATGTTCCAGAAGAAGATGACTTAACTATATTTGAATAAATGTAGATTGTTATACTGTACTTAAAAAAACCCACATCCCCTGAAAATAAGCCCTAGGGTATCTTCTTGAGGAAAACTAAATATAAGACCCTGTCTTATTTTCGGGGAAACACGGTAATAATACTAGTCCACATCTTAGTCCTTGTGGCATTTAATCCTCTACTGCAAGTTTAGGTGTTGTTGCTTCACTTTTAAACTTTATTTCAGTACTCCTTTTGGAGTATTTTGGACAAGGGAGCACTAAATACATAATTTATATCACTCTTGTGTCACTTACCCTGGGCTCATGGGTAGCTACTGGCTTTTAGTAAGGTTGCTGCCCTTCCCAGCCTGATTCCTAGAAAAAGTAGGAAGTAGGTCTTGTTCATTTCTGTACCACTGTACCAGACTCCTGGTACTGAGTTGGAATTCATGAGTGTTTATGGGATAAATTAGTGTATAAAAAAAAGTGAATCTTTTCCCTTTTCTTGCAGTAATGATAACTATTCAGTGGTTTATGGTTTACAAGGTAGATTGACACTTGTCATCTCATTTGAGTGCAATCTAGTTTGTTACCATTTGCCAGCTACTGACCTTTTCCTTTTCTGAGGGACATTGGAAACTGTTATACCTTTGGAGCTCTGCTAGTTTATTCCCTGGCTGATCTGACTGTGTGTTAATAAAAGGGTGCTGTACTTTGTCTTGAGGAAGCTCAGAACCAAATCTCAATTTCAGAAAGATTCCTGATGTAATTTTTCTCTGTCTCGTCTTCTTTATTTTTGTTTTAATTAATTTTAGTTTTATGAGGATTGGTTTGGTTTTAAAACATTTCAAAGCATTTTTTTTAAATGAACTATTTTTTTGAACAATTTTAGATTTACAAAAATATTGCATAGTTCAGAGACTTTCTTATAACTTGGATCCAGTTTCCCCTATTAGTAACATATTACATCAGTATGGTGTATGTCTCTCTCTCTCTCTCTCTATATATATATATATATATACTTTTTTTTTTGAGACTCTGTCTCCCAGGCTAGAGTGTGGTGGCACAATTGTAGCTCACTGCAGCCTCAAACTCCTGAGCTTAAGTGATCCTCCTGTCTCAGCCTCCTTAGTAGCTAGGACTACAGGTGTGTGCCACCATGCCCTAATTTTTATTATTTTTTGTAGAGACAGGGTCTTGCTATATTGCTCAGGCTGGTCTTGAACTCCTGACCTCAAGTAATCCTTCTGCCTTGGCTTCCTAAAATGTTGGGATTACAGGTGTGAGCCACCAAACCTGGCCTAGTATGGTATATTTGCTATAATTTCAAGTTATTTTTTTGAGATAAGTGGGACATATAAACAAAATATGAATAAAATGAAATTCATCTCTGCAAGCCTTAGTTTACTTATCTGTAAAATAAGATTGTATGATGTTACTGGTAGCTTTATCCTAAAAGAAGATTTAATGAGAATTCTTAGAACTGTGGCAGAACTGCTTACAGATATATTAGGTTATACATGAAATTGCCATTTTTGTAGGCAAAAAACAATGGGTGAGGCAGGGCGGGGTGGCTCACGCCTGTAATCCTAGCACTCTGGGAGGCCGAGGCGGGCGGATTGCTCAAGGTCAGGAGCAAGGTCAGGTCGCTCAGCCTGAGCAAGAGCGAGACCCCGTCTCTACTATAAATAGAAAGAAATTAATTGGCCAACTAATATATACACAGAAAAAATTAGCCGGGCATGGTGGCGCATGCCTGTAGTCCCAGCTACTCGGGAGGCTGAGGCAGCAGGATTGCTTGAGCCCAGGAGTCTGAGGTTGCTGTGAGCTAGGCTGACGCCATGGCACTCACTCTAGCCTGGGCAACAAAGTGAGACTCTGTCTCAAAAAAAAAACAATGGGTGAATATTAGCAATTTCAGATGGTTCAACCTAATATATTGGGATAGGGATTCAAAGGAGGGTGAGGGGGCCTTTGGGGCCTCTGAAATTCCCACTGTGTGCAAAAGTATGGCTCAACCCTCATAGTATTAGGAGAGAAAAGGCTCCTTGGTTCCCCTGAAGCAGCTCAGATCTACTCTTATTGTTGGTAGAGTGTTGGCAGAAATCCTGGAGTAAAATAGCAGTTTCCTGGAAGGTCTGTGCCTCTAACCAGCAGAAAGGGATTGAGCTTCATAGAACTCAGCAGAGGCAGCATTTTACAGAGCCATGGTGAGTTCGTTACACAGCCTGGGTGGAAAGGAAGGGCAGAAAAGGAAGATGTTTAGAGTTTGGGGGAAGGTTGTATTACCCTGGTTCATAGGCTAGGAAGAGGCAGCCTAGTGTATTGGTACCACTTTGTTCTTCCTACTTAGCGTACTTTTTTACTGCCTAGCATAGGCTCTACAAACTCAAGTATCTTTAGCTACCCAGGAGGTAATATAAAGTGGTAAGCTGAGTTTTCCTCTATAACTCTATTTAAGGTAAACAATAACACTATCACAATGATAAATGACAACTGAAATCTGCTATCAGTGTGAGAGAGAGAATAGGCCGTGGGTGGGGGAGGCTGTGGTGAACTGGAGAGCACGTGCCCCAGCTAAAGGGGGCAGGCACTATTCAACTGTAGCTGGTCCTTGCCTTGTGTGAATATGGGTTAAGGGTCACTAGATGTTCTGGTTTTCCAAAGGAGTCAGAAATATAGATTTTTATGTGTGTTCTCCCAATGGTAAATGTTGGCACTTAATTTGAATTCTTAAAAACCATTCTCGGCCAGGCGTGGTGGCTCACACCAGTAATCCTAGCACTCTGGGAGGCCGAGGCGGGTGGATAGCTCGAGGTCAGGAGTTCAAAACCAGCCTGAGCAAGAGCGAGACCCCGTCTCTACTATAAATAGAAAGAAATTAATTGGCTAACTAATATATATAGAAAAACTTAGCCGGGCATAGTGGCGCATGCCTGTAGTCCCAGCTACTTGGGAGGCTGAGGCAGGAGGATTGCTTGAGCCCAGAAGATTGAGGTTGCTGTGAGCTAGGCTGACGAAAGCGAGACTCTGTCTCAAAAAAAACACAAAACAAAAATATTCTTAAAAAACATCGTTTGGTTGAAAAGAGCCAGCAGGCCACTGATTTGTAATCTCTGGCCTAGGGTTTAGATTTTCCAGGAGTGAGGCTCACGCACTTCTTCGTTATGCATTACTGACCACCTACTAATGATTAAAATGAATTAGACAACTCCTGCCTTTGAGACACTCATGGATTAGTAGAGAAGATAGACAAAAAATGATAATAAAATGCAATGTAGACAGTAGAATATATATTCTGTGTGTGTGTGTATAGCTATAAAAGTGATGAACTCTTCCTGGGTTCATTTGGGAGGATGTGATAGGAATTGGTGTTTGAGCCAGGATGTAGGAAATCACCAGTTTGGTGTAGTAAAAGGATTTGGGGCTCTTTCATCTTCCAATGTATGTGCAAATGTTAGATTTGCATTTGCTATATATATTATTTTCTTGATAGGTAGTTGGAAATATAAATATTACTTGGAATCTTAGGGTTAATAAAATGAGAGAACTCTCCTCCCTGCCCAGGATATAGGATACTTGTGTGTTTTAGAGGCCTAAGGAACTCAGAGTTCGTGTAGGTGATTTTTGAACAAGGAAACTGAAAGGGAAGTAGCATGCCTGAGGTCACAGAGCCCATTACAGGCAGAGCTTGGACTAGTACCCAAACTCTTATTTACCACTGTGCTTCCCCTCTCTGGGTATCTCTGAAGGTCACTGTTAGGCTGGCCTCTCCTGCCTGTGGGTGGCCTGTTGCCCCATTTGGGCCCAGCTCCTGGTGGGGAAGGAAAGTTTGCCATCCTGCTGCAACTGGTTCCTTCTTCCTTCTATTCTGGATCCCTTGCCTGAAATACCTGCTACTTCTTTTCTTTGTCAGAAAGTCAGACTACTTGTGTTCAAATCCTTCATCAACTAAATGTCATCTGTGTGACCTGATACAAGTTACTTAGCCTTTCTAAGCCTCAGTTTCCTCATCTGTATATAAAGAGTTATAATAGTACCTATGGTGAAATGTAAAGGGAAGGCGTTGGAAGGTTTCAAGATTCTTGTGAAGATAAATATAATGCATATAAAGGACTTGACAAAGTTACTGACCTATAGGAGGACTCAGCAAATATTAACTATGGTGATGGTGGTGATGATGATTCACATAGGTCATAACCCCCCAAGCCAAGTTAAGTGCCCTTTGTTTTCCCATACTCTCCTGTAAGGTCTCTATTATTACATACACAACATTGTATTATAATTGTGTCTATTTCCCCTGCTAGATTCAGAACACCTTCAATGATTCATTCAACACATGTTTATGGTTCACTGAGCCAGGCACTAGGGATGCAGTGACAAAGCAGGAGCTCTTGGTTTAGTGCAGAGTTCCAGAAGGCACGCCAGGAAACACTAGTCTTGTGAGCTTGTCTCATGGTCAGTTAAATTTGGGAAATGATGGCTATCCTAGTCCCCTCTTAGAGATCAAGGTCCATCTTATTTTAAAGGTTTTGAGGAGTCTTGTAGTGAACCTATTTACTTTGTCTAGCCCAGCTTTGTCAGGCTTAATAAACATTTGCTGAATAAATTTGAGTCATTTAGACAGTCCTTTTAATTTTACTATGTGCTTTGGTCCCTAGCTCAAGAAGAGGTTGAAGTGGCATAGCAATGGTTAGAAGCCTTACTGGGAGCAAACAGTCTCCGGTGGCATAGGGACCTGTGAACTTATTATCTGGCACTCCCATGGAGACAAGAAGTCCTGGGTTGAACAACATGAAGCCCCAATCGCTGCAGCTGGTACTAGAGGAGCAAGTGCTGGCACTACAGCAGCAGATGGCAGAGAATCAGGCAGCCTCCTGGCGGAAGCTGAAGAATTCCCAGGAGGCCCAACAGAGGCAAGCAACCCTCGTGAGGAAGCTGCAGGCCAAGGTGAGGCAGCTTCCCTTTTGGGAGGGGAAAAGAGAACAATTCTCACTCACCTTGGCACCTACAGCTGGGTGCCAAGGTGGGTAAGGGTTGTGGGAGGCAGAGCCATGTCATGGGAATGGCCCACCTAGATTGGTCAGGTCCCAGACCACCTAGCTTTCATACACAGCTTCTCCTTTAATGCTCACAAGTATTCCATTAGGTATGTATTGTATTTATTTTAAAGATGTTGTTCATGAAGGTTAAATTAGTTGCCCAGATTTGCTCACCTAATCTAGAGCTAAGACCTGACCCTAAGTTTTCTAGGTTCTAAGTCCATAATTTTGTCTCTCCCATACAAGAGATATATAGAAAGTATTATTTAAATGCCCAGATAGAAGCTATAAGATGTTACGGCCTTACCTCACTATCACCACCCAGTTCCCCTCTTCATAGCAGGTTTGCCTGAGATCCTCGGGGGCCTTTGGGTTGGGCTACTTTTGCTAGCTATGTCCATTGCCCAGGGCCTGCTCTGTTTGCCTCAGGTGTTGCAGTACCGGAGCTGGTGCCAAGAGCTGGAAAAGCAGCTGGAAGCCACTGGAGTAAGTGAAGCCGAGTTCTATGCTCCCCTTGAGTCCTCAGTGAATATACTTGTTAGGTTTCATTTGCCAACTGAAAGAGGCTGAGGTGTGAAAAAGGGAGTGTTTGGTAGAAGTCTCTCTTTCTTCAGCCCCTAAGAGCTTTATCATATTGATATCTTCACTAGACCTAGCTGGCCTGTCAGATTCCAGCCCTTAAATCTAAGGATAAGGAAATGTAGCTTCAGGAGACTTAATTAGATTGGAAGGAATGTGGAATTAGAGGGAAGAGGTGCTTCGTTCCTCCAGCAGGTGTCAGTGTTTATCTGATTGTTTTGTTTTGTTTTGTTTTGTTTTGTTTGAGACAGTCTCACTTTGCCTGGGCTAGAGTGCCGTGGCGTCAGCCTAGCTCACAGCAACCTCAAACTCCTGGGCTCAAGCAATCCTTCTGCCTCAGCCTCCTGAGTAGCTGGGACTATAGGCATGTGCCATCATGCCCAGCTAATTTTTTCTATATATTTTTAGTTGGCCAATTAATTTCTTTCTGTTTATAGTAGAGACAGGGTTTCGCTCTTGCTCAGGCTGGACTCAAACTCCTGAGCTCAAATAATCCGCCCGCCTCGGCCTCCCAGAGTGTTAGGATTACAGGCGTGAGCCACCGTGCCCGGCCCGTGTTTATCTGTTTTATCCCTTTGTGGTGCAAGGTTATACTTGTGCTGCTGTCTGGGTAGAACTGGCTTTGAAAAACCCATTTACTTTTGTTCTACATTCCCCTAAGAAAAGTTCTCTGACAGGAAGGAAAGAACCAAAACTTACTGAGCACCTTCTATGAAGGCCAGGAACTATTAGGCATTGTCATATACAGGTGGTCCCCAACTTATGATCTTCAACTTACGATTTTTAGACTTTGTGATGATGCAGAAACTATACATACTCAGTACACTCCTTCAGTTACAATGAAGATGTCTGGATAAACCCATCATTAAATTGAAAATATGATAAGTTGAAAACATGCTTTTGATATATGAAATGTTTATGAGGACATAACTGCATTGTGAGTCAAGGAGCATCTGTAATTGTGTCATTTAATCTGCAAAGCAGTTTTCTGAGGAGAATGACATCACCTTCATTTTGTAGCTGAAGACACTGTAGCTCCAAGAAGTTAATTAATTTCCCGAGATCCAAAAATTACTGTGGTAGAATAAAGGCCATTAGTGAAAGATGTATCTTATGCTTTTTTTTTTTTTTTTTTTAAGCAAGCCTCCCATCTCAGCCTCCCAAAGTGCTCGGATTACAGGCATGAGTCACCAGGCCTGGCCTTATTTTATGCTTCTTAAGTTGAAAATTCTTTTCACTATCAAAGGCCATCTTTCAGAATAAGTCATTGGTTCACTTTTGGAGCAAGGGATCTGGTGGATTTACTTTCAGGATGCAGTGATTGAGAAAAGAAGCATATTGCTAACAAAAGGGAGAAAGAATAAAAGAACATGGCTGCTATAGAAGGGAGCATCAGGGAATTGGTCTGAATGAAGTCCTCTTTGGAAGTAAACAAGGTTTTTCTCTATCTGGCACAGGGACCGATCCCTCAGAGGTGGGAAAGTGTAGAGGAGCCAAACCTGGAACATCTGCTAATCCGATTGGAGGAGGAGCAACAGAGGTGATGGACCCCAAAGTCTCTGACTGGGTGATTGGCCAGTGGGTGGAGAAGGCTGATGGGAAACTTCAGTCCTGAGGGGTAACATGGATTAGAGCCATAGACTTCAGCCTTAGCCCTCTAATTCCCAGCAATGGAAAATTCTTGTGATTGCCGTCTTATTCCCAAGAGGTCCAAGGGTTGGACCAGACCTTTATTTTGCACTTGCTTTTACCCCTCCCTAGTGCAGGTGTGAGAGTCTAGCAGAGGTGAACACCCAGCTTCAACTGCACATGGAAAAAGCTGACGTGGTGAATAAAGCCCTTCGGGAAGATGTGGAAAAATTGACAGTGGACTGGAGCCGGGCCCGGGATGAACTAATGAGGAAGGAGAGCCAGTGGCGCATGGAGCAGGAGGTAGGAAAAACAGGGGGCTGGAACGGTGAGAAGAGGGCTGTACACTCTGGATGCTGCCCTGGTCAGTGCTAGAGGAGGTTAACTTTAGGACTTGGATGGAAACTGAACAGTCGCTTTTAAAGTCTCTGACCATCCTTACCTGTCCACACTGGCAGCTTTGCCCTGCTCAGGCCTTCAGCTTAGTTCTGCCATTTCCTGCCTAGTCTGGGTTTTGCTGGCAGGTGGTCTGACACTCAAAGCAACTCTGTTCCTGCAAAAGTGACTTGCTTAGGTTTTAGATGGATCTGAAAGCTTTTACTGATTCCCCTGGTCTGGAGGTCTGCATATCTAGATGCTAAGGAGGTAGAATAGATACTGAAATTAAATGGGGAAGAAAAACCAGTTTTGGGCCCGGCATGGTAGCGCACACCTGTAATCCCAGCACTATGGGAGGCTAAGGCGGGAGGATCACTTGAGCTTGGGAGTTTGAGACCAGCATGAGCAAGAGTGAGACCCTGTCTCTATTAAAAATAGAAAAATTCGGTGAGCATCATGGTGTACACCTGTAGTCCCAGCTACTCGGGAGGCTGAGGCAGGAGGATCACTTGAGCCCAGGAATTTGAGGTTGCTGTGAGCTAGGCTAATGCCACAGCACTCTACTCAGGGCAATGGAGTAAGACTGTCTCAAAAAAAAAACAAAACCCAAGAACAACAGTTTTGGGTCCTGGGAAATTTTCAGATAACAGCTAAAGGAAACAACTGTTTCTTGAGCCTTTGCTCTGTGCAAGGTGATTTATATATTATATCATTTACTCTTCCTAAAAAGTATATGGTAATCCCTCCAATTTGTTAAGTAGCTACTGTGTATCCTTTTCTAATCTAGCTGACGGGAAGGCCATGGACCGTCCTAGGCCCTTTGGCCTCTTGACTCTCACTGCCAACTTTATTAAACTCCTTGGCATAACCTGAATAGACATTCATAAGCTATTTCATGTAAGTCCCTCCTTCCTTCCCCCTAGTAGTCAGGAGGAATCCAGTAATCTTGCATTATCAAAAGATAGTCCTCTCCACTTTGGTATGACCTGGGTTTCTGAACACACAGTTCTTCAAGGGCTACCTGAAAGGGGAGCATGGCCGCCTTCTTGGTCTATGGCGGCAGGTGGTCACCTTCCGACGTCACTTCCTGGAAATGAAGTCAGCTACTGACAGGTCAGTGTGGGGATAAGAAGGGAGAAGATTTGTCCCTACCAATTCTGGACTTATGACAGTGGAGTGATTGGGAGTAGGGGTGGAGATGGGGTGGGAAGGAGAGCTGGTATTGTTGGGGTCAAAAGATTTTTCTCAGACCTGCTCCTCAGGCTTCATTGGGCATGATCTCCATGCTGCCTTCCCTGGTCCCTATTGGAATCTACTCTTTTCCTTGCTTGTACTCAGAGATCTAACAGAGCTAAAGGCTGAGCATGTGAGGCTTTCAGGATCCCTGTTGACCTGTTGTCTACGCTTGACCGTGGGAGCACAGTCTTGGGAATCCAATGGCTCTGGGAAGGTAGATGGGAGGGAGCCAGCCCAGCTGCTGCTGCTACTAGCCAAGTCCCAGGAGCTGGAGAAGGAAGCCCATGAGAAGAGCCAGGAGTTAATACAGCTGAAGAGTCAAGGGGATCTGGAGAAGGCTGAACTTCAGGACCGGTAAGATGGCCTGGGGATCCCAGGAAGGGTTCACTGGGGGAAAGTTTGTTCCCTTTGAGGGCTAGGAATAGGAAAGAGAGATGCCAAGAGTATTTCTACTATGGGAAGGAAAGGAGATATGTCAGAGGGAGTCTAGTTTGAAACCTGATTCGACAGTTGGGGCTTGTTGCTGATTGCCTTCAGACTATCTTGCAGCTCAGTTTCTCTCTTGTTGATTTATAGAGCTGGCTATGACTCCATCCTCTGTCAACACCATACTACTTGTCATTCCCAGAGCAGCCTAGCTCTTCCATGCTTCCTTGCCTTTGTACATGCTGACCTTAGCCTGGAATGCCTCCTTCCCTTTTCTCTCTGCCTTATCCTTTAAGGCATAGTTGAAATGTCACCTTGTCTTTAAAACTTTCTCTGACCTCAGTAGCCTACTAAATTATTATGCCCCTGTGGTCTTTTTACCTGCTTGTTATAGCATTAATCTCATTGATTATTTAGATTCTTTTATTTATTTATCTATTTATTTTCTGGGCAGGATTTTTTTTTTTTTTTTTTTTGAGACAGAGTCTCACTTTATTGCCCGGGCTAGAGTGAGTGCCGTGGCGTCAGCCTAGCTCACAGCAACCTCAAACTCCTGGCTCAAGCAATCCTCCTGCCTCAGCCTCCCAAGTAGCTGGGACTACAGGCATTCGCCACCATGCCCGGCTAATTTTTTGTATATATATTAGTTGGCCAATTAATTTCCTTCTATTTTATAGTAGAGATGGGGTCTCGCTCTTGCTCAGGCTGGTTTCGAACTCCTGACCTCGAGCAATCCGCCTGCCTCGGCCTCCCAGAGAGCTAGGATTACAGGCGTGAGCCACCGCGCCCGGCCTGGGCAGGATGTTTTAATTTGGAGATTATAGTAAAATAGTTTTTTAAAAATTGATGATAAGAGGGGCAGGAACATAAGCCACATTAAATCTCAAGGCAAAGTTCAGTTTGTGCCTCATGACTAGGATTGTGTCTTCACCTGTTGGTGGTATACATAAATTGCAGTACTATTTTGTTTTGTTTTTGCTTTTGGAGGCACTGAGAAACACAGAGACGATGTCTTAGTAACTTTTGTGTCTCTAGTGTTTTGTATTCTACCTGCTATATGGTAGAAACTCAATAAATGTTTGTTGAGTGATACAGTAATTAAATGAATGACCATACAATGAGATAAGGCTCTTAGAGATAATAGAGAATAAAATTATTAAGACTTTCAAAAAAACATGTAAACTCTTTGATGATATTCATTCAAGAAATATTTATTTATCCACTCATATAGTACCAAGCACAAAGCTCTAAGATACAGTGTTAAGTGATAGAGATATTTGGTAATTTCACTGGACTTTGAGATTAATATCAAGAAGGTTGACCATAATCTTTTCCAAATTGCTCCCCCCCTTTAACTATCAGAGTCAGAATCTTGGGCTGGAGGGACCTTGGGACTATCCCATGTGGCAATTCTGATGTTCTTATTGGCTTCAGGGTGCTTGACTTCAAGATCAAGCGAGGCCTGGAAGGGCCTGGGCCAGGGCTTTCCTTCAGCTCTTGGGCCCCCAAACACGTGTTCCAGCCCTGAGATGTGGTAAATCTCTGCATGTGTCTGAGTGGCTTTTTGCTTCCCCTCCAGTTCAAGGCTATAGCATCATGTGGTATTCAGGAGTGCAGAGGGGCTGGGGGTGCCCAGAGGATTCTGGGGAGGCTGCAGTGGGAGTGTCTGTGTTGGGCTGGGGTGTGCTGCATAGTCACTCTGTCCCTATGCTTGGGCTGCCCAGGTGACAGTGCTATGCTCTTCTCTTTAGGGTGACCGAGCTCTCTGCTCTGCTAACCCAGTCTCAGAAGCAAAATGAAGATTATGAAAAGATGGTCAAGGCTCTGAGAGAGACAGTGGAGATCCTGGTACATGATCCTTTGTTCTGGAAAGGAATTGAGAGTAGGCTTGTCGGTTTCTTGTCCTTTATGGACAGATAGTGCAGGATACCAGTTAAATGTTCCTTGATGAAATAATCTAAAGGTAAAAAATAAATTTTGGCTGAATCTGAAAATTTATTAACTCATTTATTAAATAAATATTATTAATTGTCTATTATTCCTACTGTATTCCTAGGGAAACTACAATGGCACATGTATGTAGTATGTCCTTATCAGAGAGAGGTGGCACATGCATTAAGATACACACTGGCAAATTAGTGAGTCACCAGGAAGTGGATTGTGCAGAGATTGAAAACCTAGCCATATGGGAAACAACTAAGGAGTATGGTAATGTTTAACCTGGAGGAAAAAGGGCTTGAGGCCCTTTGAAGGCCCATGCAGACATGGTTGCTGCCTTCACATGTCTGAAGTACTGACTATAGGAAAAAGATAGTTGACTTGTTTAATGTTTTCTAAGGTAAAACCAATGTCAATGGCTAGAAGTTATAGGGTGGTAGCATTTGTTCCCCAGCTAGAGCTGTTTAGTAGTTGAGCAGTCTGTCTTCTGAAGGAGTGAGGTTTTGGTCACTGGCTTAACATATGCCAGGAATGTTATCCAAGGGGATTCCCTAAGGTTGGGTCTTAGAATCTTTGGCTTGATTCCACATTTCCTTTCATCTCTATATATTTTCAGTCCCTGATTTTAGGCAGCTCCTGTCCCCCATCCATATGCACAGCCCTAATCTTCTGATCCAAGCTGCGATCAACTGGGAGCCAGACTTGTTGGTGCCTTCTTGATTCCTTTTTATATAATATTAGGAATTTGCCAATTCCAGTATCCACATTACCCTGTGGATAATGTAAATGAGCAAAGCGGGTTCACTTGTAAGAATTCTGGTTTTCTAGTGCTGTCATATTTAGTTTTTAGTACTGCAGGGGACACCTGAGCTCACTATAAAGGAAACCATGAGAAGTGGTAGGGATTGTGGGACCCTGAGGAGTAAATGTCTCATCTAGAGGAGGCATCCAGTGTTCAAGTTCAGTAAATTCTTGCCCTGTACAAATGGGGGCTGGGTATGGCCTATATGTTAACTTTTTGAGAGAAGCCAGAAAATTAATATTTTTATTTAAAATCTTTCAATTTGTAAATATTGATTCAAATTTTGTATAGGCCAATTAAAAATAGCTGCAGGTCTATGTCTTCAGACTTTCACTAACACAAACATGATAGGAGGGAAGAAAGGAGATCTTGAGTCTTCAAGATTATTTCTAGCTTTGGGGCTAAAAGTTTCTTGAGTTATCTTTAGATCTCAAGCATCAATCTACTGTGCAAACAGAGCAGCCATCTCCCATCCGAGAACAGCACACATTTATTGAGCATTTGCCTCATGTCAGGCACAATTGAGTAGTTTATTAATACATGCTTTTTTTTTTTTTCATTTAAGCCTCAAAACAAACTTGTGAAGTAGCTGCTGTTAATTATTCCCATTTTAAAGAGAAGGAAGTTCAAAGAAGCAGTTGCCTAAGGTTACCAAGCTAATAAGTGATAGATCAAGAACTCTAATCTAGGCAGTCTAATTTGGAACTTGTAATCACTTAATCTAAACTTTTAATCACCACATCTCATAGTCTTTAGACTCCTTGGACGACAATTAGCATTCATATGTGGTTAGGAAAAAAGTGGGGCTGTTGGAATAGACAGAATGAGACTTTTTTTGAGGTCTGGAATTTTAACTTCTCCTTTGAGAGTTTGCTCTGAGGCTCTGTTGTGTTCCCTGTTCAGGAGACAAATCATGCAGAATTTATGGAACATGAGGCATCTCTTAGTAGAAATGCCCAAGAAGAGAAGTTGTCTTTACAGCAGGTGATCAAGGATATAACCCAGGTACTGGAAAGCCTCCTGTTCATGCCTCACTCCTCTCCCCAGTCCTCTCAGTCATTCCTAGATTCCCAGTCTCTGAGGTGTTTGGGTTTAGGGTCTTATGGGGATGAGTTTTCTGAGTATATTTGAAGACTACAACCCTAAGGGATTCATGTTTGAGTACTGTCTGGTGGGCCAGGCCCTCTTTCCTGTTGTTGCTGCAGTTCTCAGGCCAGAGGCTGGATTCTGGTCTTTGCTACCTAAATAGCCTCTTTGTCCTTCATTTCCTCATTTATTATCACCTCAGAGAATGTTCTCTGCTTGGTGCTGCTCCTGGAATTGGGTGGCCAAAGGTGGGGAGTTGAAGGAACCAGCCTTTTTTTGCTTTCACATATGCCCCTTCTGTCCCCCTAGGGAGAGGACCTGAGAAGGAAAGCATCAGATTTGTCCAGGCTATAGTGTAGGTCCTCTATATGGACTCTAAGCCTTGGTCAGTAGGGTGGTGACCCCACTGTGTTGGATTTCAGGTCATGGTGGAAGAAGGGGACAATATGGCCCAAGGCTCTAGTCATGAGAGCTCTTTGGAATTGGACTCTAGTGGCTTCTCCCAGTTTAATTCCCAGGCCCCAGACAAGGCTGTTACTCTGGTGCGTTCAGTGCTGACTCAGAGACGCCAGGCTGTGCAGGTGAGAACCCCCAGCATTCTTCTTTAGCCATCAGGGGTTGGTACCTAAACTTATTTGTGCTCCAGGTACCTCCCTATCCCGGACTGCCCCATTCTCTTTGTTGACCAATCATGAGATGTTTTGTCAATATCCCAGAGTGCCCATCTGAATCTCTCTGTGTCTGCCCAATTGTACTTGTGGGTAACCAGCACATTCTTCGTGCCAGTGGCATGCTTCACTTTGCATGTAGTCTTTGCATAGCACTATGCCAAGATGGGGACCCAGAGCCCTGGGAGAGTATGGGTACATGTTCCCCAACTCTGAGGGTCCCAAGTATACTTACCATCCCCCCCATGCCACTGTACATTTGGAGATGATGTACCCTAAGACTCTGGAGCCACAGAAGCCCAAACCTCTGGTCTTCTGTCTTCTCAACTGGTCACATCTCTATTTTCAGCTTATCCTGGTTGCATCAACCCCTAACCTCCTTGTCCAGCCCCTCTCTCAGGCTTCTGACATCTCTCCTTTGCCCTTTCCTTCTTGCTCACCATCTGGTTTCTGTTGCTTTCCTTCCATAGGACCTAAGGCAGCAGCTTTCAGGCTGCCAGGAGGCTGTGAGCCTCTTGCAGCAGCAGCATGATCAGTGGGAGGAAGAGGGCAAAGCCTTGAGACAGCGGCTGCAGACGCTCGCTGGGGAGCGGGACACTCTGGCAGGGCAGACTGTGGACCTCCAGGGAGAGGTGGACTCTCTCAGCAAGTGAGCAGATGGGCTGTCCATCCACCCTTCCTACCCTGCTCTCAGTCCTGAGCCAGACATTTACCCACTTCCGTCATGGTTTTTGGTTGACTGATCCTGCTTGCCCTGAGACCCAGGGCTGCTTTGCTTAGTGTTCTGCTTTTTTCTACTGGACCAGTCTTTGTGTTTTGGGTCTTTGTGGTTATAAAAAAATGGTCTCCCACTCGAAAGGAAAGATGGGATGTTGGGAAAGGAAATAGGCACCTCTCTCCTTTGATCCTGTGATGTCTGTTTCCAGCAAGGATTTTAGGTCCCACAATCTCTGCTCATCTCTGATCTTGTTCTTCTAGGGAGCGAGAGCTCCTGCAGAAGGCCAGGGAAGAGCTGCAGCAGCAACTGGAGGTGCTGGAGCAGGAGGCATGGCGCCTGCGAAGGGCAAACATGGAGCTTCAGCTGCAGGGGGACTCCGCTCAGGGGGAGAAGGAGGAGCAGCAGGAAGAGCTGCACCTTGCTGTCCGGGAAAGGGAGCGCCTGTAAGTGTGACCAGTCTCCTTACTGGGTCTGGCCTTCCTTCAATTCCACACCCTCCCCACCCACCTCCCTTCGCTTGGAAAGTGGAGTACACAGAAGCCTGCCATACAGTGGGTTCAGATTAGCTTATGGCTCCTTGCTTTGCAGAAAGACGAATATAAAAAGTTCAAGAAAAGTCAAGAAAGACTTTGCTTCCATTTTCCAGGCCTGAGTAAAAAAAAAAAAAAAAAAAAAAAAAAGAAAGACTTTGCTTAGCCCAACCCATAAGGGATTAGGCACTGTGGGGGATACAGAAATGAATAAGACCCAGGCCCTGATCTCAAGGAGCCTACAGTCTAATGGAGAAGACAGACAAGTAAACAACTGTGACATGAGGCCAGGTCCTTTGGGAGCACAGGAATGACAGTTAATTATTGAGGATGAGGAAAATCTTTTTGGAGGAGGGGGTAGGCTTTGAGCTGGGTCTTCACCTGTTTTGATAGGTAGAGAGTGGGAGAAGGGCTAAAGAAGTAGACTGGCAAAGGAGACAGCAAGGTTCACGGCATGTTCAGGGCCAGCTAAAGGGTAAAACTTACCTGGGGAAGTTGTGGGAAATTAGCTGGTCAAGAAAGGGAAATCCAAAGTAAATGGACCTAGCTAATCAGTAAATTCCCCTGTATGATGTCACAGAAATAGCAAGGACTTTAGAGCTGGGCAAAAGCTTGGTTTGAATTATGGCTCTGCCACTTGGACAGATTATTTGTAAAATGCAGTTTATAATACTTACCTTGAAGGATTATTGGGAAGATTAGAGCAGTGTTTTGGAAAATGCCAACATACAGCCTAGAGTATAGTAGGTCTTTAATAACTGGAAGCAGGTGTCAAGCATAGTGGCTCACATCTGTAATCCCAGCACTTTGGGAGTCTGAGGCAGGAGGATCGCTTGAAGCCAGGAGTTTGAGACCAACCTGTGTAACATATCAAGACCCTGTCTCTACAAAAAATTAAAAGGTTAGCCAGGCGTGGTGGCACGTGCCCATAGTGCCTGTAGTCTCAGCTACTCAGGAGGCTGAGGCAGGAGGCTCACTTGAGCCCAGGAGTTTGAGGTTGCAGTGAGCTATGATGATGCCACAGCACTCTAGCCTGGACAACAGAGCAAGACTCTGTCTCATAAAAGTAAATAAATAACTGGGAGTAGTTATTTGGTGTATTCATCTTTGGTGTAGTCCCCTCCTCTCCTGTGCCCTAGTTCCTGGCACATACCTCTTGTTCCATGAAGAGTAGAAACTTGAAGGACTGCCATGTGTGTCATGACTTGTGCAAAGAATAATCTCTGTACCAAGGGGAAAGGCAGAAAATCCACGGAGATAATTGTATATTTTTCAATTTAATTTATCTAACTTGATAACGTATGATTGAAAAGTCAAAACTATTTAAAAAGATATACACAGAAGTGTCACTCCCACTTGTGTTTTTCTTCATCCCATTTCCCTTCCTCATATAGGTAACCATTATTTATGTATTTATTACTTTTTAGAGAAAAGGTCTTGCCCTGTCACCCACACTAGGGTATAGTGGTGCATACTGCATAGCTCACTACAGCCTTGAACTCCTGGGCTCAGGTGATCCTTCCCAAGTATCTGGAACTATAGGCACATGCCACCATGTCGGCTAATTTTTAAAACATTTTTTTGTAGAGATGACATCTTGCTGTATTGCCCAAGTGGTTTCAAACTCCTGGCCTCCCAAAGTGCTGGGATTACAGGCATGAGCCACTGTGCCTGGCCAGTAGTAATTGATTTCTTGTTTATCTTTCCAATGCTACGTCATGTAAATATAAGCATATATTCTTCCTTTCTTGTATAAAAGGTAGTATATCATATATACTGTTCTATACCTTTTTCACTTGATACGCCTTAGAGATCTTTTCTTATCAGTTTTTAGAGAGCTTCCTCATTCTTTTGTATAGCAAAGGTAATTATATTCCTGTTGCCTTTTGGGGTATAGCCAGTCCCTAGGACTTCCTCTAGACCCCTCTCCTTCCCATCTTAGTCAGGAGACGCTGGTGGGCCTGGAAGCCAAGCAATCAGAATCACTCAATGAACTGATCACTCTTCGGGAAGCCCTGGAGTCAAGTCGCCTAGACGGGGAGTTACTGAGGCAAGAGCAAACAGAAGTGACCGCAGCGCTGGCTAGGGTGCGTGGGCCTTCTCTCTTTACTTGCTGGGTGGGCGGCTTAAAATGGTGTGTTCCCAGGAAGAGCCATGCAGCCTGCCTCATTCCTTACCCTTCAAGCCATGACCCCTCATATTTCTTTCCTCAGTTACTAGTCTGCTTCTGGGTCTTCTCCCTCTGAAAATCCCCTCCGCATTGGAATTAGAAAGTTTTCCAAAGTATATATTTTTATGCTTCATATATTATGTCAGTCTCTTAAAACTATTCAATGGCTTTCTGGCTTTGTGGTGCCATATATAAAGCCCTTTGTTGGCCGAGCGTGGTGGCTCATGCCTGCAATACTGGCACTCTGGGAGGCTGAGGTGGGAAGATCGCTTGAGCTCAGGAGTCTGAGACCAGCCTGAGCAAGAGTGAGACCTCATCTCTACAAAAAAATAAAAAATTAGCCAGGCATGGTGGCATGTGCCTGTAGTCCCAGCCACTTGGGAGGCTGAGGCAGGAGGATTGCTTGAGCCCAGGAGTTTGTGGTTATAGTGAGCTGTGATTGCACCACTGCACTCTAGCTGGGGCAATAAAGTGAGACTCTGTCTCAAAAACAAAACCAAACAACAACAACAAAAGCCCTTCGCCATCTGCCCCAAACTGTGTTTCTAGCCTCTCCATTTCAAAACCCCATCCTAAGTCCTTGTATCCCTTTCCACATAGCATTTATTGCATTCTCAGTTACACCAAGTTCTTTCATGACCCTAATACTTTGCATATACTTTTCACTTTGCCTGGACTTCTTCTTTCCTCCCCCTTTAACTGCAAACTGTTCCTCATTTCTCAATACCCAACTTAATTGTCAATTCCTCTACCAAGTTTTTTTGACTCTTTGAGTTCCCCGAGCACTTTGTGCTTACATTTTCTATGTATGGTGTCATTACAATTGTAGTTGTTTATACATTCTTACATCTGTGCATTCATACTGTGAGCTCCTGTCTTACTCCTCAATAATGAATGAATGAAGGGAAAACTTGTTTAGAATGTAAGAGAAGGAATGGAGTGTTAACTGATCGCTCTGCAAAAAGAGCAGCAGGTGTTGGGAATGTGAACTGCTTACTCTTGCAGGAAAACTCTTTGACACTCTTTGTTTTTAGGCAGAACAGTCAATTGCAGAGCTGTCAAGTTCTGAGAACAGCCTGAAGGCAGAGGTAGCTGATCTTCGGGCAGCAGCTGTCAAACTCAGTGCCTTAAATGAGGCTTTGGCCTTAGATAAAGTTGAGCTTAACCAGCAGCTTCTCCAGGTGAGCAAAGATTTCCCTGGTCCCAAGAGTAGGGCTGGTCCCTGATTAAGCACAAGCCAGTGACAGATGAAGCTGATGCCCATGGCAGGGCAGAGTCCTTAATGGATCAGCATAAGACAGATCAGCTTCCAAATGTAGTTCTGAAATGAGCAAAAGGAACATTTACAGTGCAGAGGAGAAGAAAGACTATAAGGATTGGGCTTAGCCATTAGAAATATTCCCTTCCCACACCTACAGTAGAACTACTTTTGTGAATTAGGGAAAATCACCAGCGCTGGGAATAGGCCCATGTCCTATGGAAGGAAGATGAGGTTTTTAATCCTATTGGGTGAGATAATAGCAATCACGAGAAAAGGATCTGCTAAAAAGCCTAAGTCCCAAAGAATCTTTTTTATAGGTTACAAATTTAACTTACAATTTTAGTAAGGAACCTCCATGGTACCCCTGTTTCCTTCAGCCCCAGAAATGTTCTGTGTTCCATTATTCTGAATTCTTTGAGAGCAGGATTTTGCCTTTTGTATCTCTGTCGCCAGCATCCAGCCTGTCTAGTACCTGGAATATATGCACTAGATCATATGAATGGATTTTCATCCTCTCTCATAAGCACTCCTGTGTTCATCTTTGGAGTATATCTCACTTGGATTTCAGTCTCACCCTTGATCCCTAAACAATAACCATTTGTCTTTGATTCCCTGTACTCCCTTTCCTTTTCTGCCAGTAGCTGGAGCAGGAGAACCAGTCTGTGTGCAGCAGAATGGAGGCAGCAGAGCAGGCGAGAAACGCTTTGCAGGTGGAGGTGGCGGAGGCAGAGAAAAGCAGGGAAGCCCTGTGGGAAAAGAAAACTCACCTGGAGGCTCAGCTGCAGAAAGCAGAGGAGTCTGGAGCTGAGCTGCAGGCAGATCTCAGGGGCATCCAAGAAGAAAAAGAAGAAATCCAAGAGAAACTAAATGAGGTGAGAAGACAAAACTGATACCATCATGTTAAGGTGTAATACATGCTCATTGTACAAAATTAAAATACTACAGGAATGATTCAGAAAGTCAAAAAGTCTTACTTTCTAGAAATAGCCAGTGTTAGTAGTTTGCAGAATATCATCCAATTTTTTTTAAGATAGAGTCTCACTCTGTTGCTCTAGGTAGGGTGCAGTGGCATCATCGTAGCTCACTGTGAACTCACACTCCTGGGCTCAAGCGATACTCCTGCCTCAACCTCCCAGGTAGCTGGGACTACGGGCATGCGCCACCATGCCCGGCTAATTTTTCTATTTTTAGTAGAGGTGGGATCTTGCTCTTGCTCAGGCTGGTTTCTAATTCCTGACCTCAAGTGATTGTCCTACCTTGGCCTCCCAGAGTGCTAGGATTACAGGTATTGAGCCACCATGCCTGGCCCTCATCCAATTCTTTCTTTTAAAAGAATTTTGATAGGCTTCCTTTACTGATTCTCCACTACTTTATACCCCCTAGTTTGAATTAGGTGCTTCTCCTGTATGCTCTGTTTAGCACCTCATGCTTATTTCAACAACCATGCCCTCCATACTACAATGATCTGTTTATATGTCTCCACCATTAGACTAGAAGCTCCTTGGAGGCAAGGCTCTGTCTTACTTGTTTTTATTGCTCTATCTTTTATTAATAGCACAGTGCCTAACAGCAGCTCAGTAAATTTTTTCCTAAATCAATGAATGACCTGGCTCAAAGGTCATCTTTCTCCTCTACCAAACCTCTCATTGTCCTAATAATTTTTTTTTTTTTTTTTTTGAGACAGAGTCTCACTTTGTTGCCCAGGCTAGAGTGAGTGCCGTGGCGTCAGCCTAGCTCACAGTAACCTCTAACTCCTGGGCTCAAGCGATCCTCCTGCCTCAGCCTCCTGAGTAGCTGGGACTACAGGCATGTGCCACCATGCCCGGTTAATTTTTTGTGTATATTTTTAGTTGGCCAATTAATTTCTTTCCATTTATAGTAGAGACGGGGTCTCACTCTTGCTCAGGCTGGTTTCGAACTCCTGAACTCGAGCAATCCGCCCGCCTCGGCCTCCCAGAGAGCTAGGACTACAGGCGTGAGCCACCGCGCCCAGCCTGTCCTAATACTTACCAATTTCTTCCCCTTAGGCACGTCACCAGCAGGAGGCAGTCACAGCTCAGCTGGAGCAGCTGCATCAGGAGGCCAAGAGACTAGAACAAGTGCTTGCCAGGGCAATCCAGGAGAAGGAGGCCCTGGTACGAGAGAGGGCAGCTCTAGAGGTCCGGCTACAGGCTATGGAGCGAGACCGGCAGGACCTTGCTGAACAATTACTGGGGCTCAGGTAGGGCCCAGACCCAAATTAGCCAAGCATAGAGAGAGCTTTGCAAGGCAAAGGGTAGCCAAGCTAAGCTCCCTGCCCTAAGTATGTGGGTTCTAAATGAGTTATAAATTTATAATTGTCCCCCTAATTTCTCCAGGTAGCCAGTACTTAGAACCCAACTCCTCTTGAGGAGGGAGGGTAAGGGGCTTGATGGGTAAGAACTTTTCCTGATTCCTGAACCTCACAGCTCAGCCAAGGAGCTACTGGAGAGCAGTCTGTTTGAGACCCAACAACAAAATTCTGTGATAGAAGTCATCAAGGGGCAGCTGGAGGTCCAGATTCAAACTGTCACTCAAGCTAAGGAAGTAATCCAAGGTGAGAACCCAACTGAGATGGGGCATACTCCATATCGAAAGCCAGGGCAGCAGTGGGAGGCTATTAGAGGTCCTTCTCCAGCGAGGCTCCAGGCCTCTGACATGGTAGTTGCTCATGAGGTTGGGAGAAGGAGAATATTACTAGGGAAAAGGAGGGGGGCGGATGCCCAGAGGCCTGATCCTGTCCTGGCATCTTAGGGGAAGTGAGGTGCCTGAAGCTGGAACTGGATGCTGAACGGAGCCGTGCAGAACAGGAACGGGATACAGCAGCCAGAAAGCTGGCCCGGGCTGAGCAAGAGGGACAGACTGCGCTGGAGCAACAGAAGGTGGCCCATGAGGAGGAGGTGACCCAGCTCCAGGAGAAATGGGTAGGTGGTGGATGTGGCTGGGGGATGGGAGAGGCAGGCATGGCCTTCAGTGAGTCTTCCACCTTGTGGTCCAGATATTGCTGCTTGTGAGGGTGAAATTTGGTCACCAAGTTACAAAATCTAGCTTCTAACCATTAAATAAATTAACATATGGAAAACACTAATAATAATTCCTGGTATATAATGAGCTCTGTATTTTTTATTGATTGAGACAGAGTCTCACTTTGTTGCCCAGGCTAGAGTGAGTGCCAGGGCATCAGCCTAGCTCACAGCAACCTCAAACTCCTGGGCTCAAGCAATCCTTCTGCCTCAGCCTCCCGAGTAGCTGGGACTACAGACATGCACCACCATGCCCGGCTAATTTTTTCTATATATATATATTAGTTGGCCAATTAATTTCTTTCTATATTTATAGTAGAGACGGGGTCTTGCTCTTGCTCAGGCTGGTTTCGAACTCCTGACCTCGAGCAACCCGCCCGCCTCAGCCTCCCAGAGTGCTAGGATTATGAGCTCTATATTTATGTTAGGATTATTAAATTTGCCTCAGGATATAAATGGGGCAGAGGAATATCTTGGATGTATTCTTGCCCAATTCAGAACTGTGTTTCTTTTGTTTTTTTATTATAGAACTTAGTCCATTTGCCTTATTGTGATTTTAGTTGTATTTGTATTTATTTCTATGGTCTTATGCTATTTTGTCCTGCCTTTTTATATATCTTTGGGGGAGGAGAAATCACTTTTCTTAACTTTTTTTAGAGGATTAAATTGGGTAACTATGTTGTATTTTTTTCTTACCTCTTTTTTTCTCTCTACAACTTTGGGTGATACATACTGTATTTTTAAAAAATTCTTTTAGTGGTTACTTTTAATATTTTAAAATAAATACTTAATACAATCTCGAGTCAGTCAGTGTTTTTACTCTTTCCCTCAATGACACAAGGGCTTTAGAACATTTTACCTGCATTTGCTCCTTCCTATGTGCTGTTTTGTCCAATGTGCTTTGTTCGAACTAGTTTAGCATTGCAAATTATGCATTTTTATTGTTTTATACAGTCAGTGTTTGGTTAGATACAATGATGAATTTGCAATTGTTTGCTCACCATTCCTTCTTGCATATCAGACTTCCTATTTGGATTTATTTTCCTTCTGCCTGAAATAGGATTTCCTTTGGTGAGGGTCTGTTGATAGTAAATTATCTGAAAACGTTTCTGTTTTGTTTTTATTCTTGAAAGATATAGTATTCTTGAAAGATATAGTTTTGGTGGGTATAAACTTCAGGTATGAGATTCTAACATGACAGTTATTTTTTCTCAACTTTGTTGGTATTGAGAAGTTAGCACTCAGCTTAATCATTCTGTAGTTTCTTGTGTTTAGTGTGTATTTTAAAAGTTCATTCTGTTGGAACTTTTTGGACCTCCTGAATCTAAGATTTCATGTTGAAACATTAATTCTGGAAAATTCTTATATATTATCTCTTCAAATATAGCTTCTTTCCTACTTTTTTCTCTCTTTGTGCTCTCATTAGTTGTACATCAGACCTTCTTTATTTTTGTTTTTTTGAGACAGAGTCTCACTTTGTTGCCCAGGCTAGAGTGCCGTGGCATCAGCCTAGCTCACAGCAACCTCAAACTCCTGGGGTCAAGTGATCCCTCTGCCTCAGCCTCCCAAGTAGCTGGGACCACAGGCATGTGCCACCATGCCTGGTTAATTTGTATGTATGTATGTGTGTGTGTGTGTGTATATATATATATATATATATATATATTTTTTTTTTTTTTTTTTTTTAGTTGGTCAATTAATTTCTTTCTATTTTTAGTAGAGATGGGTCTCGCTCAGGCAGATTTCGAACTCCTGACCTCAAGCAATACACCCGCTTCAGCCTCCAAGAGTGCTAGGATTACAGGCGTGAGCCACCACTCCCGGCCCATCAGACCTTCTTAATCTATTTGCCATGTATCTTCACTCTCATTTACATTTTCCATTTTTACTTTTCTCTTTCCATACTGTGTTCTGGGTGATCTTTTCAGATCTTTCTTCTAGTCACTAACTTCCATTTTCAGTTGTATCTAATCTGATATTTAGTCTATTTACCAAGTTTTGAATTTCACCTATTAAATTTTTTATTTCTAGGCCAGGCGCGGTGGCTCATGGCTGTAATCCTAACACTCTGGGAGGCCCAGGCGGGAGGATTGCTCAAGGTCAGGAGCTCGAAACCAGCCTAAGCAAGAGTGAGACCCTCATCGCTACTAAAAATAGAAAGAAATTAATTGGCCAACTAAAATATATAGAAAAAATTAGTCAGGCATGGTGGCACATGCCTGTAGTCCCAGCTACTCGGGAGGCTGAGGCAGAGGGATTGCTTGAGCCCAGTAGTTTGAGGTTGCTGTGAGCTTGGCTGACGCCATGGCACTCTAGCCCAGGCAATAGAGTGAGACTCTATTTCAAAAATAAACAAATAAATAAAATTTTATTTCTAGACATTCTATTCAGTTATTTTTTCATATCATCTTGGTCATTTTTTTTAGTCTGTTTTCCCTAATTTATATTTTCAGCCCTTTGGAAGTCCAGATTTATGTGGGAATCTCCTATCAGACTCCCCACCTTTATCACTTCTTTACATAGTCCTAAAATGAATTTCAAGGTTATATGGTACAACAAATGTCCCTAGTAGAAAGCCAGTTCTGTGCTCATTTACCTCTTTACCTCACAGGTGTTGCTTTGATTTTGGCTCCTGTGGAATTTTTCTTATTTTCCTGCTGGTTTAGTAATGCATTAAAATATATATTTACTATTTTATCTAGCCTTTTTTGCTATTTTGTAGCTGGAGTGTTCACAGATCTTATTTGTCAGATATTTGAAAATGGAAGTTGACTTGAGCTTGATGTGTATTTGTGATTTGATTGTTAGTATGAAGCAGATCTGTTGGCAAGATGGTAACCAGAAGTTTGCTTGTTTTTAGAATTATGTGCCTAGATTATAGTAGGTACTTGAAAATATTCATTGTGTGAAGAAGACAGTTTCCTAGCAGGAATCAGTCATTGTCTACTAAACATCCCACAAGTAAAAGATGCTATATAACTTCTTTTTTTTTTTTTTTTTTGAGACAGGGTCTCACTCTGTTGCCCGGGCTAGAGTGCCATGGCATCAGCCTAGCTCACAACCTCAAACTCCTGGGCTCAGGAGATCCTCCTGCCTCAGGCTCTTGAGTAGCTAGGACTATAGGCATGCACCACCATGCCCGGCTAATTTTTTCTATATATTTTTAGTTAGCCAATTAATTTCTTCCTATTGTTAGTAGAGATGGGGTTTCGCTCTTGCTCAAGCTGGTTTTGTACTCCTGACCTTGAGCGATCCACCCACCTCAGCCTCCCAAAGTGCTAGGATTATAGGCGTGAGCCACCACGCCTGGCCTATAACTTCTGAATGATAAGCTAGCTACATAGCCTTGGTTTCCCTGGAAGGATTGACTTATGGCCATACCTGGATCCTGAGAGGGTCTTTTCCCTCTTTTCTCCTTTTCTCCCATTCAGATCATCCCCTGACTTTTGATTATCTGACTTCATGATCTCCCTACTGATTAGAAGGTTGATTGCCCTCTTACAACTCTTGATACTGTTAGTTTTAAGAATGACTACCTTCTGGAATCCTAGTAATTAGAAAAACTCTTAGAAGTTATGTTCTCCATTCTTCCATCTAGTATGTATATCCCCTTTAATAGTAATGATATCAGATATCGTTGGACATTTACTAAGCACTTCCCCATGCCAAACACCATGCTAAATGCTTTATTCACATAATAAATGTGAATAAATGCATAGAGAAGTCACTCAGGGTTACATGACTAATAAATGGTAGAACAGGGATTAAGAGCCCAAATTTTTAACTATTCATGCTATGTCCACTTCTGTAATATCCCTTCCAAATGATTGCTTAGCTTCTGTTGTATTTCATCAATAGCTGCCATTTTATTTAAGATAGATCTAGTTATTAGACAATTCATGTTGAGAAAAGTCTATTACCTGAAACAAGTCAGCCTTAGATTTGCTTTAAATACCTCATGGACATGGTTGCTTTCCTCTAGGCATACTATAATTTACTCATGTCCCAGAATGAAGGTGGTACTTTGAACTGGGCAGAATATTCTGTTCATGGTCTAACTAGCAATGGCAAACTATTACTTCCTGGACATCACAGAATTAGCTGTTCTGGTAGCCATAACACACTTCTAACTCATATGAAGCAAATAGATCAGTTTTTTTTTTTTAAACACTTGCTACTGGTTTTTTTTTTTTGAGACTCTCACTTTGTTGCCCAGGCTAGAGTGAGTGCCGTGGGGTCAGCCTAGCTCACAGCAACCTCAATCTCCTGGGCTCAAGCAATCCTGCTGCCTCAGCCTCCTGAGTAGCTGGGACTACAGGCATGCGCCACCATGCCTGGCTAATTTTTTTTTCTATATATATTAGTTGGCCAATTAATTTCTTTCTATTTATAGTAGAGACGGGGTCTCGCTCTTGCTCAGGCTGGTTTCGAACTCCTGAGCTAACCTGCCTCAGCCTCCCAGAGAGCTAGGATTACAGGCGTGAGCCACCGCGCCCGGCCAAAAACACTTGCTACTGTTAAAATTCATCTTTCCCATATTTTTATAGTTGGGTTTTTGAACCAGAGTGTAAGATTTGTCATTCATGATTGTAACTGCAGCATTATACGATGCCCGTTCTTAGGCTAACAACAGTCCAGTAGCTGATATGGTTCATCCCTCATTCATTCAAGTGATGTTTGTGTTTTTATTTGTTTGTTTGTTTGTTTGTTTTTGAGACAGATTCTTGCTTTGTTGCCCAGGCTAGAGTGAGTGCCGTGGCATCAGCCTAGCTCACAGCAACCTCAAACTCCTGGGCTCAAGCAATCCTTCTGCCTCAGCCTTCCGAGTCCCATGCCTGGGACTACAGGCATGTATCACCATGCCTGGCTAATTTTTTCTATATATATCTTAGTTGGTCAATTAATTTCTTTCTATTTATAGTAGAGACAGGGTCTCACTCTTGCTCAGGCTGGTTTCAAACTCCTTACCTCGAGCAATCCTCCCACCTCAGCCTCCAAAGTGCTAGGATTACAGGCGTGAGCCATCGCGCCCGGCCCATTCAAGTAATGTTGATAAAGTACTTAACTATGTGGCATGATGCTGGCTACTAAGAATATGGTAGAAAGCAAACTAGACATGGTTCTCCTTATGGAGTTTAAAGTCTTGGGAGGAAGACAGGTATTAAACATTAAATATGTTAATATATAAATGAGTAAATTACTCTGAAGGTTCTATGAAGAAAAAGAACTGCCCAGGCACAGTGGCTCACTCTGTAATTCTGGCACTCTGGGAGGCTGAGGCAGGAGGAATGCTTGAGCTCAGGAGTTCAAGACCAGCCTGAGCAAGAGCAAGACCCCATCTCTACTAAAAACAGAAATATTAGCTAGGTGCAGCGGCCCATTCCTCTAGTCCCAGTTACTCTCAGGAGGCTGAGGCAGGAGGATTGCTTGAGCCCAGGAGTTTGAGGTTGCAGTGAGCTATGATGACACCATTGCACTCTAGCTGGGGTGACAGACAGAGACTCTGTCTCAAAAAAAAAAAAGACATTGGAAAGGGCTGAAGAGGCATTCCCATTAAATGAATAGATAACTACAAACTTACAAGCATTTCAAAGGAAAGGTATAGGGAATGACTAATATGATGAGGAAACTAGCTATTGTATACTGACTGCCTACATACTCAGGCACATTTAAAGTGATTTACATGACTTATCTCAATCCTCAAAGCAACCTCAGGAGGACACACTGTTGTCCTCATTTTTGTAGATGAGAAAACTGAGGCACAGAGATGTTTAGAAATTGGCTGAGGTTGGCCGAGTGCTGTGGCTCACACCTGTAATCCCTAGCACTCTGGGAGGCTGAGGGGGGACGATTGCTTGATCTCAGGAGTTCGAGACCAGCCTGAGCAAGCGCGAGACCCTGTCTCTACTAAAAATAGAAAAAAATTAGCCAAACAACTAAAAATAGAAAAAATTAGCCAAGCGTGGTGGTGCTTGCCTCTAGTGCCAGCTACTCAGGAGGCTGAGGCAGAAAGATTGCTTGAGCCTAGGATTTTGAGGCTGCTGTGAGCTAGGCTGATGCCATAGTACTCTAGCCTGGGCAAGAGAGTGAGACTCTGTCTCAAAAGAAAAAAAAAAAGAAATTGGCTGAGGTCACACTAGTAGTGGCAGTTTAAAGATTGTCACCTGGGCTGCCCAACTCAGGAGCCCTTTGCCACCATCCCAGAAAACTAATAGAGGGTCCTTAACTAGTTGGGGAGGTTGGGAAAGGCTTTGGTCACTGGTGGACCTCTGGGACAAGGACTCCTATTCTAAAGCTCTTAAATAATATAGGGAGTCATCTTTGCTGAGCTAGGCCTGATTTTGGGGGGGCCAACTCTGCAACCCTGAGCAAAGGAGAAGAGGCAGCAGAGCCAGACTCAGGGCCTCAGTTTTTTGTTATAATCATCAACAATGATGTGGTTGCTTTAAAAATAATAGATATTTGTAGCATACATGAGGGACAATTGCACTTTAGAAGGCATGTTTACATGCATTATTTGATTTTTTTTTTTATAAATCTTACTTGATTCTCATAAAATTTGATAAGATAGATGAGGCAAGGATTATTAGCCTCACTTTACAGTAAGGAAACAGGCTCAGGGAGGTACTGAGGTCACAGAAAGAGCTAGCGATTAGCTCTTTCTGCTCCTCTCCTGACCCATTCGGTTCTGACAGCATTTCCTTCATGTGGCCAGGAAAAAGAGCGCTCCTGGCACCAGCAGGAGCTGGCTAAGGCTCTGGAGAGCCTAGAGAGGGAAAAAATGGAGCTGGAAATGAGACTGAGGGAGCAGCAGACAGAAACTGAGGCCATCCGGGCGCAGAGAGAAGAAGAACGGACCCAGGCCGAGAGTGCCCTGTGCCAGGTGGGAAAGTAGGAGGATTGGAGCTGCACGTCCAAATCTGCAATCCTCTTACCTTTGACCATTCCCTTTTCCACTCCCAAGAGTGGTGTCACAGAGGGGCTCCCAGAAGAGAGTGTAACTACCCACCACTACTAGTGAGCAGGGTGATCCACGCCGTTAGCTGCGCGGCCGGCAGTATGTCGTACTTCCTGAGAGAGGGCTGACATTTACCACATCCTGTCAGCTTGCAGACCTGACAATCTTTGCACTTCCTGGTTCTCAATCCATGGGCTCAGGACTTCCTTTGTTGTCAGCCCCCACTTCATTTGTTAGAAGAGCCCTAGAGCAGCTGGGATGTGCTTGTGGCCTCACGGATGAGCATGATAACTGTGAGCCAACAAGCCTTTGTCCTTTCTACCCCTCCACAGATGCAGCTGGAAACAGAGAAGGAGAGAGTGTCCCTCCTGGAGACACTGCTGCAAACCCAGAAGGAGCTGGCAGATGCCAGCCAGCAACTGGAACGGCTGAGGCAGGACATGAAGGTCCAGAAGTTAAAGGAGCAGGTATGGAGGGTGGTCCTGGGTGGGGAAGAAAAAGGAGCATTCATTACCCATTCAACAGTGAATAGTTCTTATGTGCCAGGCCCTGTGTATGTGCTAACATATGACAAGTACATAAAAGTGTGGCACAAAAGTCAACATAACATAGGCCCTGCCCTCAAGAAACTTACATGCCAGTGGCAGAGACAGACAATAAATGAGCAGACACAAAACAAATGAGATTATTACCATTTGTTTTCAGTGCTATAAAGGAAATAAATATAGTGATATAATTGAGAATGACTCAAAGGAGGTCACTTTGGACAGGGTAGTTAGGGAAGGCCTCACTGAGAAAGTGATATTTGAGCTGAGACTTGAAAGTTAAAGAGCATCTGTCCCGCTGCTCTGGAGGCTGAGGTGTGAGGATTACTCACACGGTAGCTCATGCCTGTAATCCTAGCACTCTGGAAGGCCGAGGTGGGAGGATTCGCTTGAGGACAGAAGTTCGAGACCAGCCTGAGCAAGAGTGAGACCCCATCTCTACTATTAATGAAAATAGAAAAAAATTAGCCAAGCAACTAAAAATAGAAAAAGTTAGCTGGGAGTAGTGGTGTGCGCCTGTAGTCCCAGCTACTCAAGAGGCTGAGACAGGAGGATTACTCCATCTCAGGCCAGCCTGGCCAACAGAGTGAGACTCTATCTCAAAAAAACAAAACAAAAAAACCCTATCTCTACAAAATATTAAAAAATTAGCTGGGTGTGGTGGCACACACCTGTAGTCCCAGCCATTAATACTAGGGAGGCTAAGGCAGGAGGATCACTTGAGCCCAAGTGTTTGAAGTTATAGTGAGCTATGATGATACCACTGTAGTCTAGCCCAGACAATACAGTGAGGATAGAAGGATGGAAGCAAGGATACAATTCGTGGTTTTTTTTTTTTTTTTGAGACAGAATCTCACTTTGTTGCCCAGGCTAGAGTGAGTGCCGTGGCGTCAGCCTAGCTCACAGCAACCTCAAACTCCTGGGCTCAAGCAATCCTCCTGCCTCAGCCTCCCGAGTAGCTGGGACTACAGGCATGCGCCACCATGCCCGGCTAATTTTATATATATATTAGTTGGCCAATTAATTTCTTTCTATTTATAGTAGAGACGGGGTCTCGCTCTTGCTCAGGCTGGTTTCGAACTCCTGACCTCGAGCAATCCGCCCGCCTCAGCCTCCCAGAGTGCTAGGATTACAGGCGTGAGCCACCGCGCCCGGCTTGTATATATATTTTTAATTGGTCAATTAATTTATTTCTATTTTTGGTAGAGACGGGGTCTCGCTCAGGCTGGTTTCAAACTCCTGACCTTGAGCAATCCGCCCGCCTCGGCCTCCCAGAGTGCTAGGATTACAGGCGTGAGCCACCGCGCCCGGCTTGTATATATATTTTTAATTGGTCAATTAATTTATTTCTATTTTTGGTAGAGACGGGGTCTCGCTCAGGCTGGTTTCAAACTCCTGACCTTGAGCAATCCGCCCGCCTCGGCCTCCCAAAGTGCTAGGATTACAGGCGTGAGCCACCTCGCCCAGCCCACAATTCGTGGTTTTTAGTATATTGATAAAGTTGTACAACTATCACTATGACCAATTTTAGAACATTTTCGTCACCACCAAAATAAATCCCGATCCCATTCACAGTCACTTCCCATTTCCCTCTCCACTGCATCTTGCTGTGTGGCTCAGGCTGGTCTTGAACGCCTAGCCTCAAGTGGTCCTCTTGCCTGGGCCTGTCAAAGTGCTGGGATTATAGGCACGGGCCACCTGAATTGTATACTTTAAATGGGTGAATTGTATGGTATGTGTATTATATCTCAATAAAGACATTAAAAAGAAGAAAGAAGCCAGCCATTTGAAGAGCACTTTAGGCAGAGGAAATAGCCATCATCAGGGCACTGGAACAGACAGAAAAAGGCTTGGGGAGTTCAAGGACAGAAAGAAGGCAGTTTGGCTCCAGCTTGATAAATTCAGGGGCAAGTGGAGAGGTGGGTGGGAGCTCTTCCTCAGCCATAGTAGGAGCTTGCGTTTTGTCCTAAGGGCAATGGGAAACTGCTGGGTGGTATTTACAAAGCAGGGGTGGGACATGATTTTTTTTTGGGTGTGTGTGTGTGTGTGTGTGTGTGTGTGTGTGTGTGTGTGTGTGTGTTTTTAAAACAGTTTAGCTGCTGAGTGGAGAAGAGTGTGTGTGTGGTGGATGGTGGCATCAAGTGGAAGTAGGGGGATGGTGGCATCAAGTGGAAGTAGGGATATAGTGAGGAGGCTGTTGCAATTGTCAGGGTGAGGGACTGTTACCAATCTATGGACCCTGACCAGGAAACCTGGGTGAGCCAGCACACTTTGTGAGGGAGGAGCGGGAACAGGAAGCGAGGAGTTGAGGTAGAAACAACATGGATTGCTGGCTCCTGCCTCAGCCTTTGTCAACTCAACAAAACAGTATTATCCAACACAGATTTTGAGACCAAGGCCCCAGTGGAACCTTTCTTCTACTCACTGATGTCTTACCCCTCTGCAGGAGACCACTGGGATGCTGCAGACCCAGCTTCAGGAGGCTCAGCAGAAGCTGAAGGAGGCAGCTCAGCAGCACAGAGACAACCTTGCTGCCATCCAAGAAGAGGGCCGCACCCTGCTGCAGGATAAGATAGACCTGCAGAAGCAGGTCCTCTCCTCCTCTCCACCAGCCCTATAGTCCTTCCCCAGCACAGCCAGGCTTCCCCACTCCCTCCCGCAGGACAGGGGATCCTTGGCCCTGCCACCTGAGCTTCGGATGGTGGGGGTAGGCCACAGTACTGAGTGGAAAATCAGAGGGTGCTCAGAGTTGAGCAGAGAGCCCTGGAATAGTAATCTCTTTCTCTGTAAAGGTCATGGAACTTATGTTTTCTTGGGCAGTCTCAGTTTTAATTGTTCTTTCCATCTTCACCATACATCTGATATTTTTACATACCAGATTGTTTTTCTTACTCAGATTGCTTCTCCTGTTCAGAATCCTATACCAGATGATGTTCTGATTTTTTATTTTAAAAAATACAATCACAATCCACTTACCCATCACTTTGCCTTTGGCAGTAGTTATATTCAGCCAAGATTTTTATTTGTGCCTGCCTTTATGCAGCATATGTGAGGCTGGGGAGACAGATGGCCAGGCCGAACAGTACTGAGGAAGGGGGTTAAGAACAGTGTGTAGGGTTTGGTGGAACATCCCAAGCATTGGAAATGGCCACTGACTGTGGTATACCTTGCAGGACCCTGAAGCCTAGGTGAGAAGCATCCTCCCACTAGCCCCCTGCCCTTGCATCTTGGTCTTCATGCCCTTAACTTTCCAGGTGGAGGACTTGAAGTCTCAGTTGGTGGCCCAGGATGACTCTCAGAGGCTGGCTGAGCAGGAAATTCAGGAGAAGCTGAGAGAGGCCCAGGAATATAGCCAAATTCAGAAGGAGCTGGAGAAAGAGAAAGCCAGGTAGGCTGGACAGGCCATGGAGGTGGCTTGTCTGTCTGTGTACAGTGGTCACTGACATTGACAGTTCTTTGCTGAGGCCACCTTGCCTTTTTTCTTTTCTTTTCTTTCTTTTTTTTTTTTTTTTTTTGAGACAGAGTCTCACTCTGTTGCCCGGGCTAGAGTACCATGGCATCAGCCTAGGTCACAGCAACTTCAAACTCCTAGGCTTAAGCAATCCTCCTGCCTTAGCCTCCTGAGTAGCTGGGACTATAGGCGTGTACCACCATGCCCGGCTAATTTTTTCTATATATTTTTTTAGTTGGCCAATTAATTTCTTTCTATTTTTTTTAGTAGAGATGGGGTCTCACTCTTGCTTAGGATGGTTTCCAACTCTTGACCTTGAGCGATCCTCCTGCCTTGGCCTCCCAGAGTGCTAGGATTACAGGCGTGAACCACCACGCCTGGCCCACCTTGCCTTTCCTGTCTACAGCTCTGGGATGTACATGTAGCCATGTGGAGAGGACATGGTTCCTGTCTTCAAAGCTTACACTTCATTCATTTAGTAAATATTTAGAGAACACCCATTATGCACCAGCCACTACACCAGGGCTGGAGATACAGTGATTAACAAGACTGTATGGTCCCTGCCACAGTAGAATATATAGTTTTGTGGGGAAACATTAATAAAATAATCTCTAAAACAAATTATTACGGATTATGGCACATGGTGCGGAAGAAACAGGGTAAGAGAGAGGAACCCTATTTTATAAAGGTCTCCTTTGTAAAGGCCTTTTGCAAGAGGTTACGTTTAATCTGAGCATGAAATAGAGCCACCTGTGCAAAAGGAGTGAGGGGGAGTTCTATACAGTAGGATTAGAAATCATATGCAAAGGCCCTGAGGCAGATAAAAGCTACAGTGTTTGGTGAAACTGAAAGTTTGGTGTGATTGGAACATGGGTAATGAGGAAGGTGACATGAGCTGGACAAGTTCACAGCATTTAGGACTTGGTAGGCCATGACAAGGAGTTTGTAGTTTAAGTTTAGCAGGAAACCACTGCAGGGTTTTAAGCAGGGAAATTGACATAATCCAATTTATGATGTATTAGTGAGAACAGTAATGACATGAAACATCAGGAGTGACATACAACCATTCAGAATGAAGAGCACCATGTATACTTGGTGCTGGAGGAGTTTGAGAAGGAATTGATCCTTTTGGTGATGCAATTAGAGGCAGGAAGACAAGTTAACAGGCTGGTACAATTGTCCACATAAGAAATACTAAAGCTGAACCAGAGTAGGAAAGTGGGGAAGGGGAGGAAAGTAGGGGTTTGAGAGTTGTTAAGGCAATTAGAATCAATTCTATATAGTTGTAGATTGGATGTAAGTTGTAGATTGGATGGGAGAAGTCTGTAAAGTGGTCAATGTTTCTATATTCAGACACGAGATGGAAGTGCCATTCACTGAGCTGGGGAACACAGGAGATGAGTAGGTGGGAATATCCAAAAGTGATATTTGGATATTTAGGTTGAATTTGAGGTACTTATATGGATATATGTAGAATTTGCTAGACAAGAATAAACTGTAAAATTGAAATGAGGCATCGTATGCATGAAGTACATAGGAGTACTTAGTACTCAATAAATGCTAGCTCTTACTGTAATCATTACCACTATAATTTCTATTAATGTTTTAATTATTAATGCTATGTTTAGCATAGTCAGATGAGAAAGTAATTCGTCATTCCCCAAGAGAATGGCCTAGCCCTCTGACCCCTCTCTTTTTAGCCTGACTCTGTCACTGGTGGAAAAGGAACAGAGACTCCTTGTTTTACAAGAAGCTGACTCTATTCGACAGCAAGAGCTGAGCGCCCTGCGCCAGGACATGCAGGAAGCCCAGGGAGGACAGAAAGAGCTTAGTGCCCAGGTACTTCCCATCTGGTTACGAGCCCTCTTCCTTGGAGCGGTGGGTTGATTTTTCAGAGTCCTCTCATGGAGAGGACCCTTCTCTTTTTCCTAATTCCAGGATAGGTTGGCACCTCAACAGCCCTAGCAGGAGGAGGAAGCCAGGACTGGGCAGGGTGGGGGCTTGGAACCTGACCCAGAGATGAGAATGGCTCCTGTGGGAAACTGACAGCCCAGAACATAGTGCCCCAAGATACAGAGCCCTGTTAGCCCTGAATTTGCGTGCTAGCTCTACTGCTTCCTAGTTGTGTGGGCATCAGCTTCTTCATCCATAAAACAAGGATGATAATTCTTAACTGTTATAGGAATATATACGTTGTCATGGTATGGTAAACATTCAAGGTAAACACTCAAAAGTGGTAGCATTGTTATTGTGGCTGGTCTTACAAGCCTCAGTGTCAGGGTTTCAGGGCAGAGTTTTGTTCATAACAGGGCATTATCTGGCATTATCTGCACAGGAAACCAGGGCGAAAGCCCATTGGGCTCATGTGTCAGGAGTCATAGGCAGCCAGGTGTTAGATCTAGGGTAACACTCAATTCAGAACCCATCTACCTGCTGGAGAGCTGAGCCTGCTGAAATCCAGGGATTGCATGGGGTCAGGTCTCAGAAAGTCTGAGGAGAAGGTATCCACTTCCTGCTCAGAGTGTGTTTACTTACTCCCTGGCAGGTGGAATTACTGAGGCAGGAGGTGAAGGAAAAGGAGGCTGACTTTTTGGCTCAGGAAGCACGTCTGCTGGAGGAGCTGGAGGCATCTCAGATCATGGAGCAGCAGCTGCGAGCTTCCTTGTGGGCCCAGGAAACCAAGGCAGCCCAACTACAGCTGCAACTGCGCAACACAGAGAGCCAGCTGGAAGCACTGGCCACAGAGCAGCAGCCTGGGAACCAGGCCCAGGCCCAGCTGGCCAGCCTCTACTCTGTCCTGCAGCAGGCCCTGGGGTTGGTCTGTGAGAGCAGGCCTGAGTTGAGTGGTGGTGGAGACTCTGTTCCTTCCCTGTGGGTCCTTGAGCCAGGTGAGGCAGTCACCCAAGAACTAAGTCACCTGGGCCAAAGCCAGGCCTAGCTCCTAGGGAAGAGTAGAGGGGAATACAATTCCTTAGATAATACTGCTTCAAGGTTAAGGCCACCTACTCTGAAATCAATTCTAGCAGAGTTTGAACCCCACCTCTGCTGTTTGCTAGCTATATGTCCTTGGGCAAGTCACTTATCCTCTTTGAGCTTGATTTTCCTCAACTACAAAATGAGCATGTTACAAAAGTACCTACTTCAGGATTTTACTAAGGAATTAATGAGATTTCAGATGTGAATAGCTCACACAGTTCTGGCACTTAAGAAGTGCCTAACAAATAATAGCTCGCATTATCTAAATGCCCACCATAGTGTCTGGCACACAGTTATGCAGATAACGTGATGAGTGAACTGCCGAGAAGGGGTTCTTCAAGGAGAGGAGGGACCAGTGGGAAAAGGTGAAAGCCACGCCTGGGGAGGTCTGGCTATTTCTTTTCATGATGGCAGCCAGGTGAAGAGGTTTTCCCTCATTTTTTCAGAACAGAATGGAGCTAGAAGCCTCTTTAAAAGAGGGCCCCTCCTGACTGCTCTCTCAGCCGAGGCAGTAGCATCTGCCCTCCACAAGCTTCACCAAGAACTGTGGAAGACTCAGCAGGCCCGGGTATGTTTCTCTGCTCTCCTTCCCTGAACTCTTCACCTCCCTCGAAAAGCATAAGACAAAGATGAAGTCGTTTGACCTGTTTTATTCCTAAAATCAAGTTGGGATGACTTTCACTTCTGTCATTTACCACCTAACAACCATGAATAATACATTTGGATTTCCTGGGCCTTGTTTTCACCTGCAAAGTAGGGCAGATAATGCCTACCCCACAGGATTGTTGTGAGGATTAAATGAGTGAGGATCTTGAATCCATAGCTTACAAAGTATTATATGAAACTGTGTATAGATGTGTGGTATTGTTTTGCATCATTTTCCCCTCAGACATGAATTATTCTTGGTACCTCCAAAGGAAACCCAGCAAATTGGAGACCACTGAGATTTGAGGTTGCTGTGTATAGGAGCATTCTAGGCCTAAGATGGAACTAAAGATCCCACAGATTGCATCTCATTTGAATACAAATTGAGTGCCACCTGTATGCCAGCCACTCTGAGCTGGGGATACAAAAGGAAAAAGACCTGATCTCTACCCTCAAGAGGCTCATGACAGGGTAGAGGAACCAAGCCACATACTCTCATGAAGCAGAACTGGTAGAATTAATTGGATCAATAACATGCAAATGATGCACTGTTGGAGCTAGAAGGAAGGGGCAGTTCATTCTGACTTGGGGAGGGTGAGAAGGAAGGAAGAAGTGACCTTTGGGCTAAGCTTTGAAGTAGGAGTTTGGGGAGGGAAGAGGTGACTCCTGAGCTAAGATTGAACAGGAATTTTGTTTCAAATGACAAAGACAGGTGAGAAGGGGATTCTTTGCTCCAGCCAGTTGGAGTAGAGCCTGTCTCCAGGGAACTAAATGCACATGAGTTCAGAGGTAAATAATCCAGCAATCTGGGAGTAGGTCCACAATGGCAAAATACCCCAGTGCTGAGAGTGAGGAGAGAGCTTGAGCCCTGGCTGGGATGGAAGATGAGGAACTTGAGTTTAGCCATGCCCTTCCTTTCCCAGGATGATCTGAGGGATCAGGTCCGGAAGCTGGAACAGCATCTAACTGATACCGAGGCTGAGAAGAGCCAGGTCCACACAGAGTTGCAGGATCTGCAGAGACAGCTCTCCCAAAACCAACAGGGTGAGAAGCTCAAGGCAGGGAGGGAGATTTGGAGGGAGGAGAGGATGGGTGGGAAGCCCAGAAGTGGCAGGAACAGGCCTACCAGCACTGCTTTTATTTTTTCCTCTGAACTGTGAGATGATATCTAGAGGCATCTCCAAAGGGGTGATAACCCCCTTGAATTATTTTTCTGTTTTGCTTGGCCTTTGAGGGCCATCCTGGAAGATGGCACTAGGAGGAACATATTTGATGAACTGAGAGAAGGAGGGCCTGGGCTTCATTTTTTGTTTCTGTAGGAAATTTAAAAAACTCGAGTCTCAAGGCTAGGACAGTGAGAACATGATAAGACTCTATCTTCTGTCACTTATCCGTGTTATTTTATCATCTCCAGCTATGTCCTTAAAATTAGCCTTTAATGGCAGAAGGATTATGAGCTTATTTGGGAGAAAGTAAGGAGGGAAAATCGGGGGACAGTATATCTGTGCCACAGGCAAGGGCTGAAAAGGGTGGTGGCTGCTTAGAAAGGAGAGGGAAGCGCCTTAAGGCTCAAGGTTCTACTGTAGAAGAGGACAACTTAGGGAGTGGGTCTGGACCTTTTCTGAGGCCATTTGAGGGCTTTCTAAGGCCACACAAATAGAGCTGGGTTCCAGTACATGTTTCAGAAATGGAGGCATCCAGCAGAGCCACCAGGTCTCTAGGAAGCTCTGCAAAATCATAGGATTGGGAGCTGGAAGGGACATCCAGTGTCATCTAGCTCAACCCTGTAGGGAATCCAGGGCTGAGGCTCTCTGTGTGATAAGGGTGAGGAAGTATCAGGATAATTGACAGGCAGTGCTGGGGCTGGCAACAGCAGAGAGCCTAGACAAATAGGAGCAGCTGGCAGACAGGTGATGTCTCTACAACCCATGTAATTCTCTCCTTGGCCTTTTTCCCCTTTGATTCTGTTCCCCATCTTCCATCTGCTTCTGCACCCCTCCTTTCCCCCCATCCCCAACCATGGGCCTCATTCTACTACCTCTCCTCTTCCCAAAGAGAAATCCAAGTGGGAAGGAAAACAGAACTCCCTAGAATCTGAACTGATGGAACTGCACGAAACTGTGGCATCCTTACAGAGTCGCCTACGGCGAGCAGAGCTACAGGGAATGGAAGCCCAGGTAAAGTGGTCCTGGCTTAGGGGAAGGGGTTGCCTTGGGAATAGTCCTTTGGGCCTACCTTGGTCTATGGTCATATGTCCAACTTCCTTCAGCAAGTCTCTCAGTTTCTCTGGCCGTCTCCATGTCCTTGAGGGTCATTGTTAAAGTTCTGGTGAATCCTCCCTCAATTAATTTTTCTGAATTGAGGTTGAGATATTTTTACTTTCTTTTTATTTTTTTTTGAAACAGTCTCACTCTGTTGCCTGGGCTAAAGTGTTGTGGCATCAGCCTAGCTCACAGCAACCTCAAACTCCTAGGCTCAAGCAATCCTCCTGCCTCAGGCCCCCGAGGAGCTGGGACTATAAGTGCACGCCATCATGCCTGGCTAGTTTTATCTATTTTTAGTAGAGACAGGGTCTCATTCTTGCTCAGGCTGATCTCAAACTCCTGAGCTTAAGTAGTCCTCCTGCCTCAGCCTCCCAGGGTGCTAGGATTACAGGTGTGAGCCACCACACCCAGCCTGAGGTTGAGATTTTTATCCCTTGCCCTAAAGTACCAGAGTCTAGGATGGCTCATTTATACTACTCTGTCTCCCCTTGGCATAGCAGAGCCCTGGTAGGTGGTAGGGATGCTCTTTTATAGTATCAGCTTAAATGGAATATACCACTTTTTTGCCCAGGTCCATGTCACTGCTGGTGCCACAAAATAAGGAAGAGAAAGGCCAGTGTTGGAGTGACTGTATCAGGGAAGTACAGTTTAAGGTGGTTTTGCATCTTGTTTTCCAGAGTGAGCGAGAGTTACTTCAGGCAGCCAAGGAGAACCTGACAGCCCAGGTGGAACACCTGCAAGCATCTATTGCAGAAGCCAAGGCTCAGGCGAGGGCTGCCGGGGTCCTGGAAGAAGACCTGAAAACAGCTCGCTCAGCACTGAAACTGAAAAACGAGGAGGTGGAGAGTGAGCGTGAGAGAGCTCAGGCTCTGCAAGAGCAGGGCAAGCTGAAGGTGGCCCAGGGGAAGGCTCTGCAAGAGAATTTGGCTCTCTTGTCCCAGACCCTGTCCGAAAGAGAAAGGGAAGTAGAGACCTTGCGGGGGGAAATCCAGGAACTGGAGAAGCAACGAGAAATGCAAAAGGCTGCTTTGGAGCTGCTGTCCCTGGACCTGAAGAAGAGGAACCAAGAGGTAGATCTGCAGCAAGAACAGATTCAGGAGCTAGAGAAGTGTAGGTCTGTTTTAGAGCATCTGCCCATGGCCGTTCAGGAGCGAGAGCAAAAGCTGACTGTGCAGAGAGAGCAGATCAAAGAGCTTGAGAAAGATCGAGAGACTCAGAGGAACATCTTGGAGCATCAGCTTCTAGAACTTGAGAAGAAGGACAAAGTGATTGAGTCCCAGAGAGGGCAGGTCCAGGATCTGAAAAAGCAGTTGGTTACCCTGGAATGCCTGGCCCTGGAACTGGAGGAAAACCATCGCAAAATGGAGTGCCAGCAAAAGCTGATCGAAGAGCTGGAGGGCCAAAGGGAAATGCAGAGGGTGGCTTTGACCCACCTTACACTGGACCTGGAAGAAAGGAGTCAGGAGTTGCAGGCGCAAAGCAGCCAGCTCCACGAACTGGAAAGCCATAGCACTCTTCTGGCACAAGAGCTGCAGGAGAGGGACCAGGAGCTGAAGTCCCAGCGAGAACAGATCGAGGAGCTGCAGAGGCAGAAAGAGCATCTGACTCAGGATCTTGACAGGAGGGACCAGGAGCTAATGTTGCAGAAGGAGAGGATTCAGGTTCTAGAAGATCAAAGGACGCTGCAGACCAAGATCCTAGAGGAGGACCTGGAGCAGATCAAGCTGTCCTTGAGAGAGCGAGGCCGGGAGCTGGCCTCTCAGAGGCAGCTGATGCAAGAACGGGCAGAGGAAGGGAAGGGCCAGAGTAAGGCACAGCGTGGGAGCCTAGAGCACATGAAGCTGATCCTGCGTGATAAGGAGAAGGAGGTGGAATGCCAGCAGGAGCGGATCCAGGAACTTCAAGAGCACAAGGACCAGATGGAGCAGCAGCTCCAGGGACTGCACAGGAAAGTGGGTGAGACCACCCTACTCCTGACCCAGAGAGAGCAGGAGATAGTAGATCTGCAGCAGCACCTGCAGGAAGCCAGGGAGCAAAGGGAGGTGAAAGAGCAATCACTTCAGGGTCAACTGGAAGAGGCCCAGAGAGCACTGGCCCAGCAGGAGCAGGAACTTGAGGCCCTGCGACAAGAACAGCGGCAGGCCCAGGGGCAGGAAGAGAGTGTGAAGGAAAAGGCAAGCACGCTGCAAGGAGCGCTGGAGCAAGCCCATATGACACTGAAGGAGTGCCAGGGAGAGCTTGAGGAACACAAGGAGCAGGTGCGAAGGCTCCAGGAAGAGCTGGCAGCGGAGGGACTGCGGGTACAGGCCTTGGAGGAGGTGCTGGGAGACCTGAGGGCTGAGTCTCAGGAGCAGGAGAAGGCTCTGCTGGCCCTCCAGCAACAGTGCGCCGAGCAGGCACAGGAGCACGAGGCAGAGGCCAGGGCCCTGCAGGACAGCTGGCTGCAGGCCAAGGTGATGCTCAAGGAACGGGAACAGGAGCTGGAGGCTCTGCAGGCAGAAAGCCAGTCCTCCCAGCATCAGGAGGAGGCTGCTTGGGGCCAGGCTGAAGCTCTGCAAGAGTCCCTCAGCAAGGCTCAGGCTGCCCTGCAGGAGAAAGAGCAGCATCTCCTTGAGCAGGCAGAACTGAGCCGCAATCTGGAGGCCAACATCGCCACGCTGCAGGCCACCCTGGATGCCCACCAGGCACGTGGCCGGCAGCTAGAGGAGGCCCTGAGGATGCGAGAAGGTGAGATCCAGGACCAGGATCTCCGGCACCAGGAGGATGTGCGGCAGCTCCAGCAGGCACTTGCCCAGAGGGATGAAGAGCTGAGACATCAGAAGGAACAGGGGCAGCTGCTGGAGAAGTCTCTGGCCCAGAGGGACCAAGAGAAGCAGAAGCTGGGGCAGGAGAGAAAAGAGGAAGAGATGAGGGGCCTTCGTCAGAGTCTAAGGGAGCTACAGCTGACTCTAGCCCAAAAGGACGAGGAGATCCTGGAGTTGAGGGAGGCCCAGCAAAAGAAGAATCTGGAGGCCTTACCCCACAGCCACAGAGCCTCCACAGTGGAGGAACCATCTCCAAAAATGGAATCTTTAGGGCCCAGGCTACAGCGGGAGTTGGAGCGGCTACAGGTAGCCCTGAGGCAGACAGAAGCCAGGGAGATTGAGTGGAGGGAGAAGGCCCAGGAATTGGCACAGTCCCTGGCCCAGAGCAAGGCCAGTGTCAGCAATCTGCAGGAGGTAGCCATGTTTCTACAAGCCTCTGTCCTGGAACGGGACTCAGAACAGCAGAGGCTGCAGGTAAGTCACTCCAGGGGGAGAGAGTGCAGGTGACAGAGCCCCATCTGGCTGAGCTCAGGGACTGCCTGCATCCTGAGTCTTGTGAGAAAGTGAGATCATGAGCACCTCAACATAAGTATTTTCAGGCTACTGTCCTGGTCTGGGGGATATAAAAAGAAGACACCCACAGTCCCTCACAGAGCTCAGTCTAGTTGATAAGCAACTATAATGCAGTGTGGTTAGTGCCTAATAGGGAAAGTTTAGTGTGCTCCAAGAACTGCTGGAGGAACACCGAACCTTTCCTGGGGGTGGGTCCCCAAAGCATTCCTGGTAAAAGTGGTGTTTCTGATGAGATTTGAAGGGACCAGTAAGAAACTAACCAAGCACGGGTTGGGGAGAAGCTTTCAGGGGAAAAGGAAGGAGACAAGAGCACATGGGCTATCCATGTAGGTCACCTGGGATGTAAAGAGAGGAGTTGGCAAGAGAAGGGAGGACAGCAGGGTTCCAGCATTCAGGCTTATAAATCATGCTGAGGACCTGGGTAACTAGTGGGAGGTAGATGAAGGGTTCGGGGCAGGGAAGTGACATGATCAGAGATACAGTTCAGAAAAATCACTCAGGCTGCTGTGTGGAGCAACAGCAAATCTGGGGAGGCCAAGTGGGAGACTACACTAGAAGTCCAGAGGAAAGCTGGTGACCTAAGAGGGTGTGAATGGAGACACGTGGGTAGATCTAAGAGGTTCATAGGACTTCAGGCAGTTGATTGGCTAAGAGGTAGGAAGAATAAAGAAAGGGCAGAAAGAAGTCAAAGACAACACTGAGATCTCTACTCACTGAGAGGGAAAAAAGCAAGTGTGAGAAAGAGGAGTGGAATGAGTCCAGTTTGGAAATGGAGTAAGGTTCCTGTGGGACGTCAAGGGGAGACATCCAGTAAGCAGATCCACAACGTGGTCTGAAGTTGAAGGATGAGACTGGGGCAACAGGTACTTTGGAGTCATCAGCAGTTAGAAATAAGTGTGCTTCTGTGGGTGGAATGTCTAGGGGAAAAGGAATTGGGTTTAGGATAGGACTTCAGAGCGTAATATTTAACCTCAAGGTCAAGCACCATGTATTAGTCATCTTTGTACCCCCAGCACGGAGCACAAACCTACACAGAGTAGGCAGTCAGGAAAGTTGGATCAACTGCTGGACATACAAAGGCATCATCTCTTTTGCAAAGAGAGAGCCAGTCCATTTTTCCAGGGAAATTGACTATATCCTAGTCCCTTGACTGAGCCCCAGACAACCTCCCCCCTCATCCCAGATACACAACCCCCCAGAGAGTCACCTTCTGGGAATTCACAAGCTCTGCTCTTGTTAAAGTACAGTATATGGATAAGGAGTTATACATTTATGAACTTTGGAGTCAAGCTCCTAGTTTTGTTTTTGTTTTGAAACAGAGTCTCACGTCTCACTCTGTCGCCCTAGGTAGAGTGCAGTGGTGTCATCATAGCTCACAGCAACCCCAAATTTCTGGGCTCAAGCGATCCTCCTGCCTCTGCCTCCCAAGTAGCTGGGACTACAGGCATGTACCATTGGTGGCCAGCTAATTTTTCTATTTTTTTGTAGAGATAGGGTGTCATTCTTGCTCAGGCTGCTCTCAAACTCCTGAGCTCAAGCAATCCTCCCTCCTCGGCCTCCCAGAGTGCTAGGATTATAGGTGTGATTATAGGATTGTGTGATTATAGTGTGATTATTATAGTGTGATTATTGTGTGATAATCCTATGTGAGTATAGGATTATACCACGCCCACCCAACTTCTTGGGTTTGCAATATAGTTCTGTAGTTTATTAGCTGTGTGATTCTGGCTAAGAGACTTCCTCTGACCCTTGATTTCTTATCAATGAAATCAGAAATGATAGTATGAAATGAGATGATATGTATGAAGTGCTTGGGAAGAAAACACTCAGTAAGTGGAACTCCTTTCCTATTTCCAGACCCATTCTTACAGGCACAGTGAAAGTAAGGTATATAATTGGGCAAAAAGGCACTCCCTACCCATACTCTTGGGTTACTGAGCAGTTTTCACTCAATAATATAACTCAACTCAGGGTCACTTCAGCCATTTACCCCTCCAAACACTACTGCCTTACATCACAGTAGTATCATTTTTTTATTTTAAACATTTTATGTGCCAGGCACTGTTACTCTCACTTTCTTCCACAACTACCCTGAAAAGTAGGAACTGTTATCCTTACTCTGTAGTGTAGGAATGGCAGTTCAGAGAGGTTAAGTAACTTCTCCAAAGTCACACAGCTAGTAAATGGCAAAACTAGAATTAGATATGAGTGGTCTGCCTCTAGAGCTCAGGCTTTTTACCACTGAGCTCTTCTTCTCCCTTAGACAACCTGCACACACACATACACACACACTCTTGTACTCTCTTCTTGACCGTTATTTATGGAACATAAGGTACCTAGAAAATATCTAGCATTAGATTTCCCAACTTATCCAAAGGCTTAATTCATGTCTCGTGGTACTTGTAGTCATTTTTATAACTGAGGAAATTGGGGTTCGGGGAGAGCTCAGATTTTGATCAGAATCATAGTCAATAAGTGGTGATGTGACACCCAGCCCGGTGTGACTCGAGTCCATGCTCTTTCTGTAACATATCAGTGCTCCAAGTTATTGCTTAGCTTTATGGGAGATCCCAAATGAGATGTGGGGCTCTGGTCCCGTCTCACTCGCTAGCTTACCATGTATCCTGAGTAAATCCCTCTCTGTTCCTTTGTTTTATCCATCTATAAAATGAAGGTTCTGGACTAAAATGGCTCAGAGCCTCCTGGAAAAATAAGACTATAACCTGATGAGAAAATTGAAGTGGTTTTTATAAGGTTGGAGGGTGGGGTGGGCATAGATTTGAAGTTGCCAGGGTGTGATTTTGTTCCACGCCTCGGTACCCCAGGATGAGCTGGAGCTAACCAGACAGGCTCTGGAGAAGGGGCAGCTGCACAGCTCAGGCCCGACCAGCAGAGCGGAACAGGGGTCCAGAGGAGAGCAGGATGTACCGCCAGGAGAGGTGAGCTGGGGGCCTGGAGGGAAGAGATGACCAGGGGGAGCTTCTGTCCAGGGGCTTGTCCCTTTCTCTTGAGAATTGACTTTCTGAAGCCCAGACCTGCCAGACTCTTCTCTTTGCCCTCTGTCTGTTCCCCTACCTGCCTAAAGGGATGCCCAAGTGAAATTTACAGGTCTTTCTCACAGGTCTCAGGAGTGGAGGCTGAGCCTAATCCTGGAATGGAAGAGAAGCAGCCATGGAGACAAAGGCTCGAACACCTGCAGCAAGCAGTGGCATGGCTGGAGGTTGACCGGAGCAGACTACAGCACTACAATATCCAGCTGCAGACCACCTTGGAGCAGGTAAGTAGCTTCTACTGTCTTCAGTTCCCTCCTCTGGGGTCCGGTGGGCATACATCTCTACTTCTCATGTAGCCCCCCGGGCAGGGGTCAGTAAACACAAGGTCACACAGGGTCAGCCTGTGGGCCAAATCTGACCCCATTGCCTATTTCTGAAAATTAAGTTTTATTGGAACATAGCCATGCATTGTCTATGCTGCTATTGCCATGTCATTGCCATGCGGCTAGTCCCTGCTACAGTAGGATAGTTGTGTAGCTGTGACAGAGATGGAATGATCCACAAAGCCTAAAATACTCACTGCAGAGAAAGCTTGCTGGCCTTTCCTCCAAAGGCCTGAGAGGCTGGCCCTGCCTCTGTCTCAGGAGCACTTCTTTGCACTTATGGCTGCCATAGCATGGGCTCTCTTCAGCCCAGTTCTCTTTCTGTGGTTGCTGTCCCCTCACACGTCCACCCACACGTGCACTGGCCTCCTCTAGAAAAGGCAGGTCTACTCCAGGCCTGGAGCCAACCCAAGCCCTTATTTCTCACTTGCACCTTGGCAGGTGGAGCGAGAGCGGAGGAAGCTGAAGAGGGACTCCATGCGTGCATCCCGGGTGGGGGCCCTGGAGATCAGCGAGGCCACAGCTGCATCACCCACGCAGCAGGTTTGCCTGTTTTCCTCCACTGCAGCCTCAGAGAGCCCAACCCCAGCCACCAGAAACTCAGCCGTCCTCTCTGCATACCCCAGGCCTCTCTTGGATGGCAGGGACAGCTGCTTTAACCAGTCCAGGGTTCCGCCCCACTCAGCACAGCTCAGTCTCTCCCTGTCCTGAGAAGGCAGCCCAACATCAAGGGCTGGGGTGGTGTCAAGACTAGCATTCCTGCCCTCTGAGAAACTTAAATTGGCCCACTCCCAGACCAGTGCCTCAGGCTCACCAGGAGCAGGGCTTATAGAGCTCTGGTCAAGATCCCTGGCACTTGGGTGTTGCGTGGTACTCACCAGCCCCTGATGCACCTCAGAGCTTGATCACAGCTTTGCAGATCTTAGACTTCCTTGCTCCTTGCAGTACTGAGTTTACAAGATTAGAGTCCATGGTCTTTCCTGGAGCCAGAGTTCCTTTTTTGGGTAAGGGGTGTGGGGAAGACTGAGATATGCCCACCAGCAGACAGCCTTGCAGCCTGGCAGGGGGACATGTTCGTAGTGGCTGAGCATCTCTCTCTCTATCCCCATCCTTTATTGAAAGTTCTCTTCCACAGACCCACTTAATTTTGTTAGAGTAAAGAAAGAAAAAGAAATAATTTATTTAAAAAAAAAAAAAGTAAGTTCTCAAGGGCAGACACTGAGTCTTGAGTCTTACTTCCTCTCTGCATCCTTAGCTCACATCCCAGAGCTGGCACAAAGCAGATACATGGTATACTTCTGCTAAGTAGAAAAGTACCTCCAAGAAACAAATGCCATCCAAGCCTTGTGGATACTCAGCACCAGGTCTCCATGGGCGTTGTCCGTTATGCCAGTACAGGGCCTCTCCCAGGCCCAGGGCCATGGTGCCCCATACAGGTTCAGGCACTTCTGGCCCATAACCTTTGCCCAACACCCCAGGATTGCCACGGGATAGCTGCAGGAAATCTATGGAGACCCCACAGTGGGAAGGCCTATTTCAATAAGAATGTTGGCCGGGCGTGGTGGCTCACGCCTGTAATCCTAGCACTCAGGAGGCCGAGGCAGGCGGATTGCTCGAGGTCAGGAGTTTGAAACCAGCCTGAGCAAGAGCGAGACCCCGTCTCTACTATAAAATTAGAAAGAAATTAATTGCCCAACTAATATATATATAGAAAAAATTAGCCGGGCATGGTGGCACATGCCTGTAGTCCCAGCTACTCAGGAGGCTGAGGCAGGAGGATTGCTTGAGCCCAGGAGTTTGAGGTTGCTGTGAGCTCAGCTGACGCCATGGCACTACTATAGCCTGGGCAACAAAGTGAGACTCTGTCTCAAAAATAAATAAATAAATAAGAATGCTATTTGTCTTCCTCAGGATGGGAAAGGAGGACAGAAGAGCTCCTCAGGTACTAAGTATGTGGTTGAGCTTCAGAAAGAGGTATGTTCTGGAAGGATATGTTTCCTATTCCCTCCCTTGCACTCAGGCAACAAGACTTCAGTGTCTGCTGTGTGCTTGGCCCTTTGTGCACCTCCAGTAGAGAGAGGGGAAGTAGTTCCTGCCTTCAGAGAACTTTAGTCTCCGTGAGAGGCAAGAAGAGCCCCAGTACCAGCTCCACCTCTCATGTGCTTAGGGTGGGAGTGGGGAAGAAAGCATGGTCCAGGCCCTTGACCTCCAGATTCATACTTAGGAAGAGGGCTAAGGAGCAGAAAGAAGATTCTAGGAGAACAGACCAGCCTCCTCTGCCCTCACATGGACCTTGCAGGCAGGAGTGTGGCCAGCACACCAGGCAGAGGAGCCGGGCCCCAGCACAGAATCCGGGCCTCATAGCTTAGTCAAGCTGCCACTCAGAGAAGCTATATGAAGTGTGCCTTCTTGCCTCTTAGGCCTCAGCTAAAAGTTCACTCTCTTTTTCAAGGCTCAGGAGTCATAAGAACTGTGGAATTTTGATTTCTGAGCCTGTTGAAGAAATCAGTAGTCACTATTGACAGGACCTGACTCTGTAGCCAGACCTAAGCTATTACTTTGAATTCTGTTAAACTCATATGAAGCAATCCTGAGGCAGGGCCCAGATGATGAGGATGAGGCAAGAGAGGTCTCTTAGGTGTGGGCTTTTATTTTTTTTAACACGTAAATTATCCTCCAATAAAGTAGATGAATAGTTTTGTTGTTTTTGAGCTCCCTGTTGGAGTCCCATGTGTACCCAGGGTTGAGAATCACTGGATTTGGATTCCCAAAGGCCCTCCCCCAAACACTTGAAAGCTGGTTCAGAGATTCGTGTATGTGGTAGAGCTCATTCAAATGTTCAGCCAGTGAGAGCCACAGGAATACACACAGTAGGAAGAGTTGGGACAGCTTCAGGGCCCTCAACTGCTCTCCTTCTTGGTTTTTCTGCCCACCAGGTGGCCCTGCTGCGAGCCCAGCTGGCCTTGGAGCGGAAGCAGAAGCAGGACTACATCGCACGCTCAGTACAGACCAGCCGTGAGCTAGCGGGCCTGCACCACAGCCTCTCCCACTCCCTTCTCGCCGTGGCCCAGGCCCCTGAAGCCACTGTCCTAGAGGCCGAGACCCGCAAGCTGGATGAGTCCCTGACTCAAAGTCTGACATCTCTAGGGCCTGTCCTACTAATCCCCAGCCCAAGCCCCAGCCCCACCCAAGCCACCTCGAGGTAGCAGCCAAGCTGGGCAGGACCCAGGCCAGCCTGGAAGCACACAGACAGATGACTATGAAGGGTGTCACAGCCCCTCTACACAGCTATAGGCTTGCCAATGGAAAGGCCTGGCTCTGTTACCCTACCTGGGAGCCCCAGGTCAGCTGACCTTCCCAGGAAGAAGAAGGAAACCTGCAAGGCTGGGTAGGCCCCAACTCACCTGGGAATGAGGCAAACTACATTTGCCTGTACCTACACAGTCACCCAGAGGAGTGCCTTGACCTGGCCAAGGGGCTTCAACTGCCTCTCGTCTAGAATTTATTTTCCTAGCACTTCACTTTCTCCCTCAACTTCCCCTTCAGCAATAAACCCTGAGTCTTTGCAGTAGTTCCCTGCTGTCTCCACTTGTGCAGCTGAGCAGCAGCAAGACATCAAGGGAGTTTATTAAGGAAGAGCTTGCTAAAGATTCCTGTCAGGTGGCATGAATTTATTATATGTGTGCACTGTGACAGGGAGGCTCACGGAAGATACACAAGACAAAGCCACTATCCACAGAGAACCTGCATTCCAACTGATGAAAACAGACAAACACGTGTTAATCAGTCAGATAGTTCTGTGCACTGGCTGGAAGAGCTGTGGAACTCCAGGGGCTGAGAAAGGGAGGCGTGAACTGGCTCTCGAGGGAAGGAATGGAGTTAGGGTGCTGGTGAGCTCTCAGTGATAGCCTGGTCTGGCTGTGGCAGGGGCCTGAGGCTGAGGTTGCAGGCTGGGGAGAGCCTCTAGTGCTAACTCTTGGACAGCGAGCAACCTTTGGTGTTCTTGACTTAAAACAAATTCTGGAGCCTCGAAAACATTGAGTTGACCTTTGGATGAAGTCAGAGTCTCAAGTTCATAAGCTCCATCTGGCCTCATTCCCCTTCTACTCTGGGTGAATGCACCTGAGGTGTCCCTTCCAGGGCATATATCAGCTGGAACCAACTGGTCACCTGTAGTCCAGTCATGTGTCAAGCCAGTCAGGAAGATGGACTGCAGCAGAACTGTCACTTAATGGACTGGCCCATGGAGGCAGTTGACTGAACCCAGCTCACAGGCTTAAGACCTGTCATTGGCAACTTCCTCAAAGCCTAAGAACAATTTTCTTTAAAGAAGTAGGTTGTGACCTTCCCCTGGCACTCAGCCATAATCTGGAATTTCTCTCCCCTAAGCCTAGGGATGGAACTAAGACCTAGCTAAGAATGCGGGGGTTTGGGAGCAGCACCCACTCACCCAGACCTACTAAATTGGGACTCAGCCCCTTGGTATCCTGTCACACCACACAGAGTGGAAATGAGCTGTTGACAACTGCTACAGCTTTGTTCCAAAAACCCACCATGTGCAACTCAGCAATAGATGCTTAGTAAAAGCTTACAGTTCAGAACCCCCAGAAATGGATCTGTGGTCCCAGACACACTGGCTTGGTCCCTCCCTCCAATCAGATCCCCTGTGGGTCAAAATCCTTTCCCAACCTGGAGTATGCTTGTTCTATTGCTAGGGGTTCTCAGGGACAAACAAGACTTTTTCTTGGTTGCTGTTTATGGTTCTCCATCTCTGGTTCTCTGGCTCAGAGGCTGACAGAGGAGCCCTGTTTTTTACCTTGAAGTTTCTTCTCAGTACCATTACCTGAGCCAAGGCCGTAAGTCCCACTTACTGTCTGGGACAGTAAGAATGAATTATTCTAGAGGCTGCCAAGCATGGTCTTTATTTAGGACCAGACTAATCTCTATTTGCTCTTCCCTCCCCATCCAACCCTCCATTGTAGACCCCAGTCTAGGATCTTCCCCCAGTGACCAGATATTCAGATCTGGGTTGGCCTCCAGTTCAAGCATAGGCCATGCTCTTACCCTCACACTGTAGCTTGTAGATGACTTTCTGCTCCAGCCGGCTAAAGTGCACTCTCCTTGAACGAGTAGTAGGACGGCCTCTGTGCAGTCTCACTAGCAATGGTGCCAACTGCTCTTTCCCTCAGCTCCAAACAGAGACCTGGAGTGGAGAAATGTGAAGGAAGGAATGTGGACCATCCTGGCAAGACCCAACCTTGCCTTGTCACACACAGCAGGGCATAACCAGAGCAGTGGCTCCCACAGATGGGAAATGTCCCTGCCCAGCCAGCCAGTTCTCAGGGATGTACTCGAGGAAGGTGCAGCTGATCACCAGGCCATGGGGGTGGGTGAAGGACATCAGAGCTCAGCCACAGAGGTGGTCGTCTTTCATAAAAATTTCCCCTTCCTCATCTTGCCTGCTTTGATAGAGGTTGGTATAGATCTAAAAGGCCTGAAAGGGGACAAGAGTCAGGTCACAGAGTCTCAGCAATGTTCTTGTTCCCCAGGAGTTCCTGGGTCTGGTGGGTGCTTCCCTCTTGTTTCAACGAGCCTCCGTGCATCATGTGTTAGAGCAGTGACCATCAATCACAACCCACTTAACACTGCTATCTGCCGCCCCACCTGGGACTGCCAGCACCTTGAAGGCAGAAAAGCTGCCTGGCACAACTTTACCCTCTAGAGAAGGAGAAGTTGGGGTGAGGAGGGTGGAGAGTGTACAACTATAGACTGCAGAGGGAGAACAAAATCCACATTCATGCCAAAATGCTAAGGGCTGTCTGTTCCAGGCCTGGGGCCTCCACTGGTCATACTGCCCAATGAAACCATCTCAGTCCACACTAGGTCTAGAGGCTTCAGCAACACCAACAGCACGTGGGTGTTCTTGTCCAGGTCATAAGCATTCTGGGTGCATTAAGTGCAGGGAAGTTCAGTTGCCCACATTGTCCTCAAAGCCCAGAGTGGGGCCTGGTTCATTCTGCAGAGACAGGAAAGAAAGTCAGGAAGGCAGTGGGCTCACAGCCTGGCGCTGCTCCCCACCCTCACCTTCCTGCCCCACTGGAGCACGGTGTGCAGAGCATCGATGGATATCCCATCTTCCAAATACTCATAGCACAGGACTGGCATGGTCAGATCTCAGGGTCTGGCTATGGCATGGGGATCAGTTGGAATAGTTTCTCCTTGGCCACCTGGAATCGGTTTAGGTTCCTGACCTTGGTGCCTATGGAGAACACATACTGCTTTTCACTTACCCCAGCTTCCAGTACAGGGGAGAAGGTGGACCCTATTGGAGATGGAAGCCCAACAGAGAAAGGGTCAAGGAGAGGACGCAGCCTGGAGCCCAGGACCGACCACCCACCAGCCTCTGCAGATGGAATGGTCTCTAATTCCATCAGCAGCTTCAGTCAGGGCCCATCCAAAGTGCTGATCAAAGCAGGTAACACACCCTGCTGGTAGAGGCAGGCTGTGCAGATGTGGTGCTGTGTTGAGCAGCCACAGATCCTCTGCAGCTCTTGGGCCAGCAGCAGAACTTCCAGAAGGATCTGTGGGGGTGGGGAAACCCCAGGCCCAAGGCTTTGCATGCAGTCTTCATCTCAGCCCATAGACAGGTCCCCTGGTTGGCTTAGTTTGGCCTTGGGGCAAATGACACCTTTATCACCCCTACAATATTTCACCTCTGGCCCTCTCACTCACTACCTTGCAGAGCAGGGGGAGTAATGCTGTGGGCAGGGGCAGGGAAGAGAAGCAGGAGCTGCCAGTGTGCTCCAGGACATGGACCCCTCTCTCTGATCCTGGACACAGTTGAGGAGGGGCCCAGCCTCAACTCTGCTCACCACACTTAGAAAGCAGGCAAGGGAGGAGGAAGGGCAAAAACAGGGTGCCAAGGCCCTGGGGCCCTTTTATTCCCTTTACCCTGCTGGGCCTCTGATGGTGGTGAGGATGAGGAGTGAGGCTTTGGACTGGGCTGGCCTGCTGATATCACGCAACTCAATTCTATCGTAGCTTGGTCACAGAGTGGACACTATGACCTCTTCTTTGCCCTCTGTTGCCAGTGCCATGAGCTCTTTATATGCCTTCCTAGGGCCTGAAGCTCGGCTCAGGGCTTGGAGGTAGAATATTGAATAGGTCGGGGCTGAGAAGAGAGATGTGAGTCTCTGCTAGGGCTGTGTGATGTGGCATCTGAGAGTGAGCAGGTGTTCCTATTCCCAGCATATAGCCATTTATTTGGAGGCAAGGAGGGGAACAAGAATTAGTATTCTAATGTGGTTCTTAATGACTACTATAAATAGTTAGGTGAAGGAATTAGGGAAGTCATAAAAATTCAATGCCAGACTGGTAATCCACACATTGTCCCTGCGCCTCCAGTATTAGTTTCCAATGAGAACCTCTTTTATATCTGTGACTGTTCCAGCCCTGTAGGTCAGATGCAAGGGTGTAAGGCTTTATTGCTGACCAAGAGTAGGCTCACATTCTAGCTGACTGATAACTTCAGCCTCCAGTGTTGCATATGGTTTGATAATTCATGCTGGAGCCTTTGAATATGACTATCTTTCCTGCATGAGGGGCCACCTCTTAAGTTTCTCGCCCAACTCCAAATGAGAACCCTGGCACATGAGGTAGGCTGGTTGCCACCCCTGCCCCAGATTTTTGTTCATTTGGTAGTACTCATTAAACCTCTGTCACAAAGTTCCACAATGAGCCCTGAAAAGGAAGAGCTCACCTCCAGGGAGACAGAACCTGGACACACAAACTCTAGCAGAATGACCCGGGTGCACAGAAGAGACCCACTGGCCACTCCTGATAGGGCCAGGGAAAGTGTGAAACAGAACATCTTGGGCAGAGACAGCACTTGACAGTCCTTTCAAAGTGTTTGTCAAGCCAGGTGGATGCACTGGATGTGTGGAGTCAAGGGGAACACATGCGGGCTCAGGAGTGATGGCAGGTGTAGCAGCTAGCCCATTCAGCTTGGACCCTTCTGACCAGAAACATCACCCACAGGTGAGCATCAAGACAGCCCACTAAGCCTCAAAAACCCCATTAAGGCTACATTCCTGTCCCAAAGGACAAGACATATGGCAAGTGGCAGGCTGACTCAGACATGAGGCACTGGGAGAAGTGGGAAGCTATCGTCACAGACTCTACAAACATCCCCCTCCCTCTTGGCCTCCACCCCTTCCTTAACCATCCACAGCGCACCCGCTCCCAAGACCTCACCTCTTGCTTTCCTATGGACCTGTTAAGTCCTGAAGTATGTTCTGCTAAAGGCTTAGCTGGAGGCTGAGAAGAGGAAAGGGAGCAGTGGCATTCAGTGTGTTCTGTGTCCTCCGAGGTTGATGAGGGGGCAGATGCCCATAGAGTCCTTCATGCCAGCCCAGTTATATCGGTGACCTTATCACACAAGTCACATTGTGAGTTTCTGCATGTAGGCTTTGTCATAAGAAAGCTTTCAACTTGATATTCAACCCAGGGCTCAGCTGACGAGGGAAGGCTTGGCAGTCAAGTATGATGGATGGGACAGGAATGAAAAACTTGTTGGCCCTGTGCCACAGCAGGTCTCTGAGAGACAGACCATTTATTCCCAGAGCAGGGTTGTCAAGCAAGAGACAGAAAGAGAAGAGGAAGAGCTTTTCCTCTTGAGGATAGACTTTAGGAAAACTTTGTAATAGGGTTAAAAATAAATTTCCTATCTATCTAAACTTTTTTCTTTGGTAGATTTGCTTTAACTTTATTCCTCTAAATAATAATGTGTTTATATGGTGCCATAATAGGTTCAGTATCTGGAACAACATGCTGCACTGCCCACAGCTTTGGGGATTCTTGGATTCTGGCTCTCAGCTACCTCATTTCTAGACACCCAGTACACCACGATGTCCTTAGGGAGGTGGGTAAATGTGTTTCCAGTTTTATGAGGGACAATTTGCATTTTGTTAGGTTGTGTATGGTTGTTGGGCAGCCAAAAGGGTAGAATGTAGCAGACATTTGTTCTAGATACCCAGCAACTGAAAACTGTCATTTACTGAGGCTGTTGGGTTACCTGGAACTATTGTTTCTACTAAAAACAGAGGATAAATGCTCCCCCTCCACATACACACCTTTAATTACCAGTTTTCAGAGTAAGGGGTTGATGTAATAGTCACTTCCAATATTTTCTTTCTCTTTGAGTATCATTATGGGCTCAACGTTTTTTAAATATATATTTACTATGATTCAGTCATGACGATTGCTATTTTTGAGCTTAAATTGTCCCAAATTTGATGTCCACGTTTTGATATACTTTTCTTGTCTAGACCTGGAATCTTTTAGTGGAAAAAAAATATTTAGAAAGCAAAATCTGGATGCCAAAGTTGATCATTGCTTCTGGGGTGTTATGGCTGTTCAGAAAACAAAAGCAGAAAATGTACTTTGAAAACTGGGAGTTCAAGGAGGTAATGGTTGCACAACAGTGTGAATGTATTAATACTTTGATGCCACTAATCACTTTACAGTGGTTATAATGGTAAATTTTATGTATATTTTACCACACTAAAAATGGTTCAAATTGAGTTCATATCCAGTTTGAATTTAATGTCACAGAGTTTTTACCTGTCTGATTTTGTATTTGGTTTCTAATATTGTTAATATAATTACTTTATTCTAGTAGTTCTTTTTGTCCACAAATATCCTACAAAGGATGCATAGCCAATATGTTGAATTCTAAAGAAACTTGAAATAATTCTTTCTGTGGGGGTTATGTTATCAATTTAATATACAGTCAGGTCCATTTGATTTATTTCTTTTTTTTTCCGGCATATTATGGGGGTACAGATTTTCAGGTTTCAATAAATGCCCTTTCCCCCCTCTCCCCCCACAAGTCTGAGTTTCCAGCATGACCATCCCCCAGATGGTGCACATCTCACTCATTATGTATGTATATACCCGCCCCCCTACCCCCTGCCCAATACCCTATAGGTCCATTTGATTTGTTCTCAACTTTAGGGTTTGCTTTTTTCCCCCATTTTCATTTAATTTTATTTTTTGACAAGATATTGTATAAGAATCACATGGTGATATGTTTGCTGTGTAGAATCAGTCATAGAACGTAGCCCTTTAATGCCACCAGGAATCCAATGAGAGAAATAAGCTAGGGTGGCTGGGCGCGGTGGCTCACACCTGTAATCCTAGCACTCTGGGAGGCGAAGGTGGCTAGATTGCTCGAGGTCAGGAGTTTGAAACCAGCCTGAGCACGAGCAAGACCCCATCTCTACTATAAATAGAAAGAAATTAATTGGCCAACTAATATATATAGAAAAAATTAGCCAGGCATGGTGGTATATGCCTGTAGTCCCAACTACTCAGGAGGCTGAGGCAGAAGGATTGCTTGAGCCCAGGAGTTTGAGATTGCTGTGAGCTCGGCTGACGCCATGGCACTCAATCTAGCCTGGGCAACAGAGTGAGACTCTGTCTCAAAAAAAAAAAAAAAAAAAAAAGAAGCTAGGGTTTTATTCAGTAGCAGAGTGATCTCCATCCAGGGTTTACTCTGACACTCCAAGGTCCCTTTTGCTACCTGTGGCCTCCTGGGGCCTTCAGTGGAACCATTTCATTTGTAGACATGAACCTTCCCCTCACAATGCAGCCTGTGGATGACCATGCGTTCTGCTGGAAAATGTTGCATGCTGTTGTTGAACCAATATTTATCATCCCAGTAATGGAACCACGTGTTGTGATGGTCTGCCCCAAAACCAAATAAGGATACCTGGGAGATGGGATAAGACAAGAGATGGCAAGCTGGATCCTGCCCTGCCCCCCACGTCCACCTACCCTTCCTTCAGCATCACTCACTCAACGGCTAGTGTGCCAGGCTTCCTCTTGGAGCTGGGAGGAAAATGGAGTTCACCTTCTCCCAGGAAGACAGACCCTGAATACTCACAGAGCAATCCCAGAGCCCAGAAGAGAGAGCATCAACTAGTTGCTCCTCATTATATTGAGGGAAGAGAAGATTCCCCTGGGAGACAAGAGATGGGCACTCCAGGCAGAGAGAGCAGTGAGTGAAAAGGCATGAGGCAGCTAGTGTGAACCCAAGAACCCAAGGAAGCCCAGTGAGGGAGCCTGGGAGAGAGGAAGATCAGGTCGTGCAGGGTCTTGAAAGCCAGGTAGAAAACTTTAGATTTAACTTGATGTCCCTGGGAAGACAGAAGTGTTTAGTGGTAGATGAATGAAGAGGTTTTGAAGGTCTGTGAATTGCAGAAGGTATCTTACCTGATCACAGGTATGCAAGGCATACAACAGAGCCACGAACCCCAAGGATGGATATGGACCCTGGTACTCCAGCCAACTTTCCTGGATGTACTTGAGGAAGGAGAGGCTGATGACCAGGATCTAAGGAAGATGGAGGAGGGTGCTGACCTGAAGCCTGTCCTATGGCTGCACACAGCCACATCCTCCTACCACTTTCCCTTTTCCTTCCTGGGTCCCTCACCTTGTCTTCATTTCCATCAGGGTACTGGACCATCCGATATCTAAAAAGGAATGGGAAGGATTTCCAAGTTATTTGACACAGCAACCTTGTGTCAAGTAAGCCTTGGGTGTACCCCAATATCCAGCAAGGATCTCTTTGGAGATCCCACTGTCACCCCCTACCATGGCCCCCATCACTGACATACCCAGGGTTTTTTGCCTTGAAGTAGTAATTTTGTTTTTGCAGTACACTTATGAACCACTCCAGAGCAGATGAATTCAATGGAAGCAGCAGCAGTTGGGCACCAGGGTCTTGAGTGCTGGCAATGTCTGGGTACATAATGCGCATGGTGGTCATGTTCCCCACATCTGCCTCAAACCCTTGGACAGGGGCCTGGTTTATCCTGGGAAGGAAGGCAAGGTTGGCATTTAGAGGAGAAGGAGGCTTTGGCCTGGTCTTCCTGGTCCCCACCTACTACCCTGCACCTACCTGAGAACCATGTCATGTTGGTTAATCCTGGAGCCAAGGCCAGAGCCCCGTAGGGACCTTGAGTTTCCTACCACTGCACAGGTCTGGCAGTTGGACTGCATGGGGCCCAGTGGGCGTCTGGAAGGTGGTTTAATCAGCTGCTGCTGCTTATTCTCAGTCTCCCTCACTAAGTTGACACTCTGAAGTCCCTGGGAGGACAGGAAGGAATAATTTAGGGACTTAGCCAAGGCTCCAGCTAGCTGTGGAAGAAGATTAGAGTCTGGGGCCATGACAGACAGATGGCTGAGCCTGGGGTTGGGCAGGGACTGGACAGAGAGCAAGTTTGTGTACTGACCATCCACCATACCAGAGCATCATAGGACATTGGCCCTTCTGACCTCTGCAGGGGCTCAATGGCGCTTGCAAAGCGTCTGTCAAACCAGTCGGACTCGCCAGGTATGTGGAGGCAGACGGAGCAACTGTGGACCTCATGGTAGCAGCCACATTTTCTGGAAGAGTTGCTGGGACAGTGGCAGGTCCTCAACTGTGTTCTCGCCACGTCATAGAGATTGTTCTGGCTGGAGAACTGGTCTAGGAAGGAGGCCATGAGCCACAATGAAAGCAGACAGGTAGCCATCACCAGACCCAAATTCCAGCATCGAATCTTCATCTCTGGTCCTGACACTGGTGTCCCGGGCAGATAGTAGATTGGCTCTGACACGTGGCACTGGGAAGGAGAAGAGGCTAGAGCCACAAAATTCCCAAGTGTCCCCCGTCCTGGTGGCTTCCATCCTGCTCCCTACCCTCTACACCACACTTCCTCCCAGCACCTCACCTCTGTGTACTTTGCCACCTGCTGTCCACTGAAGGGAAATGACAAGGCCTGGGCTAGAGGGTAAAAGGGAGAGATGACACTTCTTGTGTCCTGTGGTCTCCCTGAGGAAACTGATCCCCAAAGGGGTCTTGTGGGCCAGCCAAGCTATTACTATATCAGAGACCTCATCACAGAGGCCACATTGTGACCTCTTCCACATGGGCTTACAAGCAAGCCCCTTCTTCACCTTGGCACTCAGCTCAGAGCACAGATGCCAAGGGAAGCTTGGAAGTCAAGTGCCAGGGGACAAGAGGGCATGGAGGGAGAGAATAAGTGTCCTGGCTGGGGTGGAAAAGCAGGAGGCAGAGAGGGAAACAGGAGGACCAGCTGGAACCTCCTGGTCAGAGAGAACTTCCCATACTGATGAACATGAATATTGGGTGCACGCAACTCATCACACCTCCCAGGGGCTGACTTCCTTTCATTTTTAAGAATTGTTATTGGCCGGGCGCGGTGGCTCACACCTGTTATCTTAGAACCCTGGGAGGCCAAGGTGGGAGGATCGCTCAAGGTCAGGAGTTCAAGACCAGCCTCAGCAAGAGTGAGACCCTGTCTCTACTAAAAATAGAAAGGAATTAGCTGGACAACTAAAAATATATAGAAAAAATTAGCCGGACATGGTGGTGCATGCCTGTAGTCCCAGGTACTCGGGAGCCTGAGGCAGAAGGATTCCTTGAGCCCAGGAATTTGAGGTTGCTATGAACTAGGCTGACACCACGGCACTCTAGCCCAGGCAACAGAGTAAGACTCTGTCTCAAAAAAAAGAATTGTTATCAAGGTAAATATATGCAAATTGTTGTGCATTTTTTTTGTAAATAATGTAGTTCAGGAAGGTTTTACATGTAGCCACCGTCTCTTGCCCACCCCGACACCTCTCCCTAGAGGCTGCTTCTTCTAACTCTCCTGGTATTTGCTTCTGTATCTCTACCGAATATGCTTATACCAACATATCACAATGTTATATCTAGAATCCCTGCTCTATAGCATCACACCATTATGTTTAGTAATAACCACTTGGTCATCTTGGTAACTTTATGACATGGATCCTACCCTCTCTCTGTGTCTCATTCTGTCACTTTGAAATAAGTTCACTTGAAGCCCTTTCCTCTAAATGAGAATGTTATTCTGAACTCTTCTATTTGTCAATTATTTTCCCCTTACCCTTCCCAACACTGGCAACTTGAACTTTTATATCGTCAAAGATGATAACATCTACATTCCGTTGTATTTTTAGTTGTTTGGCTAATTTCTTTCTATTTATAGTAGAGACGGGGTTTCACTCTTGCTCAGGCTGACCTCAAACTCCTAAGCTCAAGCAATCCTCCCACCTCGGCCTCCCAGATATATTTTCCACTTGAGTTTCCAGGTTTTGTTTTGACATTTCAGCCCTTAACCCATCTAGGGTTGAATTTTTATGTATGCTATGTGGTAGGGATTCAATTTTATCTTTGTACATATGGATAACCATTTTTTTTCCAGTTCCATGTATGGAACAGTCTACTTCCATAGACTGTTCTAGCAAATTCTACTTCCTCCAAAAATAGTAAAACTGATTAATTTGATGTGTTTGATCACATTGAGAGGAAATTTGCCAACCTCTCAAAGTTTGGCAAAGAATTAATGATGGGTACATAGGAAACTAAGCAATTTTTTAAAAGCCACAATAACTAAAATGGTGAGGTAATTATGTTTTGGAGGCTGGAAAGGGGAATAACTAAGGGGAAGAATGGTGTAAGTGGCTTAACTATTTTTCTTCCAGACTAGGAACCAATAGATAACAGCTGAAAACTGAAAAAAAAAAAAAATTAAAGCAATATACCCACGTTATTCCCCAGTGCTTGTTCAATGAGCATAGGAGCCAAATGCTCAGAATAGAGGCTATATGATGGATGACAACGTGGACTCCTCACCTGGGCTCACCTGACTATTGCTAGTCTGAATATCAAATTTGCCAGCACCAACCAATCCCCCTGATGTGGTGCCACTCCCCAAGGAAACCACCCAGCCACCTGGTGGCAGCCATTTGTCCTTACTGGAATAGACACTTATTCTGGATCTGAACTTTCCTTGCCTGTCCATGATGCTTTGAGAAGTGCCACGGTCAGTGGCCATAGAGGCCTTCTTTTCCGCTATGTTATACCACTCAGTGTAAGAAATAAGGCGACCGGCTGCTGCCCTTGGGACGCACTGGCCTCATCACACACTGGCCTCCCCCAGAGGCAGCCAGCTCATGGAACAACAGGCTAGCTATGAAGACTTAATCTGGGCTCCAGTTCTAGCAAAGTGATGAATTAAAAGATAACCTGAAAATCCTTCTACAAATGCCCAGAACTGCTAGATAAAACATAATATTCAAATTTTTAAAAACTATTTATTTTTGAATGTATAATATGGGTCTGTGGTACATAATCCAAAAGGTACAAACAGTAAATGAAGAGAAAAATATCCATCCATCCCTTGTCCCCCCTCACCTGTCTGCTCCCCGAGGCCATTGCTAATGCCTTAGGTACCCTTCCCAAGTTAACTGGAAAATTTACAAACATACATATAGACATACCAAATATTATTTTAATAAAAATGATCTTAACTATAGAGCAAAGGTCAAAAGAAAAACAGGAAGTCCCCAGAGGCCAGAACTGAAAAGAGAACTGAAAAACAGTCAAGAAATTTAGGAGTTTTAAGGCCCAGGTGGGCAGAGGGCCTTGAGCCCAGAGGAGGCAGAGGATTGGAACTGAGGCCCCTAAGAAAACTCTGAGAACCTCAAAATGCTAAACCTTCAAGTGAAAAGCTGGACTAGAGAAGAAATCTACCCTACAATGGGGCTGAAACACGGAGACTTCTCTTCGTGGGAAAAGAGCCTCCTTCTTTTCCCATGAAGAGAAGCCTCCCCCTATGACTCAAAGTGAGTTTGCACTTTGCATGGATTTGGATCTAAATTACACCCACCGCGTGCTCTGGGGATCAGGTGTGCCCTGAGCTCTGGAGGTGAAGGCACTGTGCTTACAGGTAAGAGAATCAGGCCAGGATTTTATTCAGCACCAGACTGATCTCCATACAATTTCCTCTTGCCCATTACCCCTGAGAGTCTCCACAGTCACACTGCTGCCGTCATTGCTGCTGTAATCCCAACACTCGCCTGCATTCACGCCCAAGGACTAGGACTCGTGGGACTCAGCTGGACATCATGTGTGGATGGTGAGCTTGCCCACACACTGTAGCTGACGAACAACTTCCATTTCTGCTTCTGCACCATCCAGGGACAATATCTCCTTGGAGCTGTTGGTCTGATTAGCATGCTCCTAGTAATAGAACCACTTTCCTTGCTGTTCTGATCCTAATCCAAAGAGGGTGATCTGGTGGAGGACAAAAGGGTGTCACAAGCAGACTCCTGTCCTTACCCCATCTCCCCTCATTCAGCATCTAGTGTGACAGGCCGCCTCCAGGAGCTGGGAGGAGGGCGGAGCTCACCTTCTCCAGGGAACACAGTCTTGAACAGTGAGGTAAGCACTCCCAGAGAGCCACCCAGGAGCCCAAAAAGAGAGCATCAACTAGCTGCTCCTCATCATGTTGGAAGGAGGGGGGCACAGGAGGAGGGCATTTCACCTCTGCCCTCCTTCTGTGCCCCCCTTCTGCACAGGAGGAGGGCAGAGGTGAAATGGCATGAGGCGAGCTGGGCGCAGTGGTGCGCCTGGAGTCCTGGCTGCTCGGGAGGCTGAGGCAGGAGAGGCGTTGAGCCCAGGAGCTCTTGCCTGGGCACAGATGTGCAAGACACAGAGCACAGCCATGAGCCCTAGGGATGGCCCCTGGCTCTGGTCATCCAGCCAGTTGCCCCGGTGGTATCTGGGGCCCTCCCCACTGTAGCCCATAGCCACATCCTATTCTTTTCTGTCCCCTCACCTTGCCTTTGCCATGTCCCATGCCATTAGAAAACTGGGCCATCTTCTGAAATCTAAGAAAGAATTGGAGGTGGGGAGTTTCAGCCGCCCCAGGTGTCCCCAATAAGCTCTCAGAGGGTTTCCCCTGAGTGCCTGCTGTCGCCCCCTGCAGTGGCCTCCCCTCGCCCCACACTGAGAATGTCTGGGACGACTCCATCACCTCGTCACCCAGAGCATCTGAAGTCCTTGCCAGGTCAGGAAGCAGGAGCAGCAGCAGCAGCTGCCTCCAGGAACCTTGGTCGCTGGCGTTCCTGGGACAGATAAAGCACCCTGTGGGTTAGTTCCCCACGTCTGTCTCGGAGCCCCAGATCAGGGCCGCATTCACGCTGGGAAGAAGCGCAGAGACTAACAGGACTTTGGGGCACGCCTGGCCTTCCCGCTCCACCCTGTCCTCAGCACCCACCTGAAGGCCACGCGGTTCCGGTCCATGTTGCTGCTCAGGCCAGAGCCAGGCAGGATCTGTGGGCTCCCCAGCATCACGCAAGCCCCACAGGAGAAATCAAAATGGCTCGCTGAGGGTCTGAGAATCACTTTAAATAGTGTCGTCCACACTTTACCAAGCTGACTCCCTGAGTTCATGCCCTGGGAACAGCAGGAGGGAGGAGATTGGGGCTGGGGCTGGGTGAAGGAGCACAGACCTGGGAGGGTGAGGCCTCCATCCGGAGGGCAGGGGTTGTGGCTATGGAGACGGGAGATGCACCGAGCCCGGGCCCAGGGGAGGGTTTGGGCCAAGAGGAGATGGGTGAGGCCTGGTAAGGCTGCAGGATGGGACTGGGCCCAGGGCTGACCACTGACCAGCCACCAGAGCACAGCGTCAGAAGCCATAGACTCTTTTTTCCTCATCAGGTACCCCTTGGTATTCTCACAGTATGCATCAAACCAGTGACATCCTCCAGCTGCATGGTGGCAGGAGGAGCAGTTGAGGGTCTCAGAAGGGCAGCCACACTTCTTGGGTTTGAACCAACGGCAGGTACAACTCCATGGTACCAAGTATGTCCGTTCTTCCTGGAGTGCTGATTCAGCAGGTGTCAGGTCCAAGCAGGTGGCCATCAGCCATAAGATGAGCACCCACAAGACCCACAGAACAAAAATCTGCCAGCGCTTCATGTGCGGCCCAGGCAAAGACTCCGGTGGCAGGCAGCGTACTGGCTTCTCTGCCTGGAAGGAGGAGGGGCTGAGACCAAAGGCAGCACCAGCGTCCCTCTGTCCTGTCAGCCTCCCTGGCTCCCCAACCCTCCACCCCACCCCTCCTTCCAGCCCCTCATCTCCTGCCTCCCTATCCATTTGCTCACCCCCAAAGAGGTCTCTGACTGGGTGTGGGATGGAAGATGCCCTGGCAGAGAGAGAACATGAGTCTAGTCCTGCAGGAGGGAGGCCTGGCTCCCCTTGGAGTCCTTGCTGCCATCCCAGTTACGTCGTAGATCTCATCACAAAGTACACATTGTGACCTCCATCCTTGAGCCTGCCTGGAAAAAGCCACCACCCTGTCCTTTCTCTGACATCCAAACTGCCTGCACTGAACATAAGATCCACAAGGACAGGGGCCAACCTTGTCTCTCTTCACCTCTGCATCCCCAAGGCTTAGAATCACTTAATAGCTATTTATGGAATAAATGAACAGGGGTTGGGGGGAACTTTAAACATGATCTGTGTGTTGTGACCCTCTCCAGTTGTGTGACTTCAGCTCAGTCCTCCCTTTTGTCCTCTAGACCCTTTCTTTGACAGCCTACTGGACTTCCACTTAGATGTCCCAGAGACATCTCATTGGAACAAGCCTGAGACCAAACTCATGATGTTCCCTATGAACCAACCCTTCCCAAGACTTCTCTGTCTCAATAAGGGTCCCAGCCTTCACCCAGTTGTTGAAGCCAGAACCCAGGTATTCTTCATTTCCTCCTTCTGCTATGATAACCAAATCCATTTTAGTCCATCACAAAGCCACCTTTTTCTCTTCATCTCCACTGCCACCCCCTTAATTCAGTCCTAGCTTTGGGAAGATATTAAAAAATAAAATGAAAAACTTTGAGTTGTTTTTAAGGTTTTAGGGGGAAAAACAATCAGAATTTTATTTTTTTTAATCAAAACATTTTCTTCGATGGGATGAGAACAGTAAAATTGTTTATCTTAACTAGTGGAAACCTGCACTGGATATTTTATAGCTTTTAAAACAATTCATCAAAAAATCTGAATAAAGTCTATGGGCTGGTTAAATCATGCCAATATCAAGTTCCTGGTTTTAATAATGTACTATAGGTACTATAGGGTAAGAGAGTTGGCTGGGCGCGGTGGCTCACGCCTGTAATCCTAGCTCTCTGGGAGGCCAAGGCGGGTGGATTGCTCGAGGTCAGGAGTTCGAAACCAGCCTCAGCAAGAGTGAGACCCCGTCTCTACTATAAATAGAAAGAAATTAACTTGCCAACTAATATATATACATACAAAAAATTAGCTGGGCATGGTGGCGCATGCCTGTAGTCCCAGCTACTTGGGAGGCTGAGGCAGAAGGATTGCTTGAGCCCAGGAGTTTGAGGTTGCTGTGAGCTAGGCTGACGCCACGGCACTCACTCTAGCCTGGGCAACAAAGCGAGACTCTGTCTCAAAAAAAAAAAAAGAGAGTACTAAGGGGAAATGGGTGATGGATGCATGGGACTTCTCTGTACTATTTTTGCAATTTATTGTGTGCTTATAGTTATTTTGAAATATAAAGGTTTTAAAAATCATCTAGGAAAAATGCATAGTAAACTTTATTGATGTTTCATTTACATCAACTGGTATAATCTTTTTTATTGTTGTAAAACACTCATAAAATTTAACATTTTAACCATTTTAAGGTGTGCAATTCAGTGACATTTAGTACATTCACAGTGCTGTGCCATGATATCACTATCTAGTCTCAGAACATATTCATCACCCCAAGCATACTATAATCAATAATACACTGAATAACACTAGAGAGAAAAATAATGATGACATTTGTGTACTCACTATCCATTTTTTTTTTCCAGATCTCAACATTTCCCTGTTTTTGGTGTTCTGGTGTTTAGGTATAGATAGATGTTCATTTATTCTATTGGAATATATTCAGGCTTCCTGAATATGAGAACTCAGGCCTTTCATCAATTTGGGGTAATTCTCAGCCATTTCTTTCAAATATTGCCTCTCCCTCATTATTACTATTTGCTCTCACTAGAACTTCTATCAGGCAAATATTAGATTCATTCTTTCTACTCTTCAGGTATCTGAATCTCCCCTTTATATCTATGATTTTATTTCTCTATTCTTTATTCTGGGTAATTTTTTCAGCACCATCTTTCAGTTCAATATTTCCCTCTTTAACTGTGTCTATGGGTTTTTAGTTGTTGTTTGTTTGTTTTGAGACAGAGTCTCACTTTGTTGCCCAAGCTAGAGTGAGTGCCGTGGCGTCAGCCTAGCTCACAGCAACCTCAAACTCCGGGGTCAAGTGATCCTACTGCCTCAGCCTCCTGAGTAGCTGGGATTACAGGCATGCGCCACCATGCCTGGCTAATTTATTGTATATATATTTTTAGTTGGTCAGTTAATTTCTATTTTTAGTAGAGACTAAAGGGTCTCTGAGGTTCTCACTCAGGCTGGTTTTGAACTCCCGACCTTGAACAATTAGCCCGCCTCCGCTTCCCAGAGTGCTAGGATTACAGGTGTGAGCCACCATGCCCAGCCTGTTTTTATTTGTTTGCTTTTTTGAGACAGAGTCTCACTCTGTTGCCCTGGCTAGAGTGCCGTGCCATCAGCCTAGCTCACAGCAACCTCACACTCCTGGCCTCAAGCAATCCTGCTGCCTGAGCCCCCCCAGGTAGCTGGGACTACAGGCATGCACCACAATACCTGGCTCATTTTTCTATTTTTATTAGAGACGGGCGTCTTGCTCTTGCTCAGGCTGGTCTCAAACTCCCAAGCACAAGCAATCTTCCTGCCTCAGCCACCCAGAGTGCTAGGATTACAGGTATGAGCCACCATGCCCAGCCTAATTGGTTGTTTAACCCACTACTCATTTTAAGATGTTTCACAGCAGGAAGGTTTCCAGGATTAAGTTGCATATTGTTGGAACTTGAACATTTATTATTAATTTCTCACTGGTCATTGTTTTATGACTTGTGTAATTACCTAAATAAGGTCCTCTAAATATTGAAGGAGGGCTTCTCCTTGGGTGGATTGTATCATAGTTAAAATAAAAAGTATCTGCCTGAGACTCTCTTCTTAGCCCAGCACTTCTCAAACTTGAGTGTGCCTCAGTATCACCCGGAAGGCTTAACAAAACACACAGAATGCTGGGCCTCATCCCCAGAGTTTCTGATTCAGGTTTTCATGGGTGGGGCCTGAGAATGTGCATTTCTAACAAATTCCTAGGTCATTCCAGTTCTGCTTGACCACACTTCGAGGACCACTATCTTAGCCTGACATATCTAGCCAGCAAAGTATTTTACAGAAAAAAAACTGAATCTTTTCTTAAAATGGAAACTCACGGTCTAACTATATTTTTGCTTTCTCAAGAGGGGCTTATAATGTCTTCCTTCCATAGCCTGCAATTGCCTATCTGGTATCTCTGCTTCTGTTCTACCTCGCCCCTCACCCCCCATCCATTCTTTATCCAGCAACTATCACGATCTTAAACTAAGGTTCTGCTTGAACCCTTAGAATGGCATCTCATTGCACTCAATAAAATCCAGGTTTGAAATAGCACCTGCCAGGTTGTTCTGAGTGTAGAATGGATTGTAGCAATGATGTATTGTCAGCATTCAGTTTTCTCCTTGCCTCTCTCCTTCTTTAGCAAACTGCAGCATGAGGGCACAATTTCTGCCTGAGATGAGACTCCCATCGCCTAACTTCTCCTGAGTCAGGCTGCTACATGGCACCCAGCCCAGTGTCCCTCCCCCTTTTCATGGAAGCCTTTCCTACACCAAGTTGTCAGTCACTTTCTCTTGTAGACTCCCACAGCCCCCTGTGCCACCTCTTATCAAAATTCTGATCTTAAGTCATTGAAATGATTTGACCATGCACCTTGAAATAAGACAGACTGCAGGTTAGATCTTAGCTTTTAAGATCTTAAAAATCTTAAAGATTCTTAACCACTTAAAGCTTTTAATCAGGGATAATAATAGCACATAGCTTCTAAGGTTGTTTTTGTTTGTTTTTAGAGACAGCATCTCGCTATGTTGTCCAAGCTGGCCTCGAACTCCTGGGCTCAAGCAATCCTCCCTCAGCCTCCAGAGTAGCTGGGACTGTAAGTACGGACCTTTGTGCCTGGCCTAAGGTAGTTGTGAAGATGAGCTGACATGATATAGATGAAGATAAAGAATCTATCACCACACTGGCCACATAGTAGGTGTTTGATAAATGTTAGCTATTATTTATTATTGCCTATATCCTTCTAGGCTGTGACCTTCTTTTTTTTTTTTAGTTTTGAGACAGAGTCTCGCTTTGTTGCCCAGGCTAGAGTGAGTGCCGTGGTGTCAGCCCAGCTCACAGCAACCTCAATCTCCTGGGCTCAAGCGATCCTGCTGCCTCAGCCTCCTGGGTAGCTGGGACTACAGGCATGCACCACCATGCCCAGCTAATTTTTTGCATATGTATTTTTTAGTTGGTCAATTAGTTTCTTTCTATTTTTAGTAGAGACGGGGGTCTCGCTCTCCCTCAGGCTGGTTTCGAACTCCTGACCTTGAGCGATCCACCCACCTCGGCCTCCCAGAGTGCTAGGATTACAGGTGTGAGCCACCACGCTTGGCCGACTGTGACTTTCTTAAAGGACTATTCTACTTCAACTGTCTCTTCCTAGGACTCAACATAAGCAGGGAGCACATCGTGTGTGTATGTTTGAGTGTTGTTTGCATATATAAATGAATACATTTTAAAATGTGAATTTAGTGCAATATTTGAGCCACTCAGATTTTTTTTTCCTGTACTGGCGGTTTGGGTTCTATGTGAGCAATAAAGTGAAGATTCAGGAAAGTATTTCTCAAACATTAATGTGTATATTAATTATTTGGGGAGTCTTGTTGGAATGAAGGTTCTGATTCTACAGGTTTGGGGGGTTCTGAGATTCTGCCCTTCTAACAAGCTCCCAGATGAGGCCAATGTTTCTGGTCCAAGGACCACATTTAAGGAAGCTAGGCTTGAGAGTTAATTCCATCAGCAGATCCCTTACTACATGTTTTTGATAAAATTCTTGGTCCTCCCAGGAATCTGAAACCCAGGTAAAAGAAGGGGATCCCAAGTGTCCTCTGCCAACCTCTTAGCTCAGGAGACCCAACACCTTTAGCTTCATTGAAAAGTCCTCCTCCAATTTCCCCCAAAGGTGTAAAATGAACGCTTCCAAATCTTTTTCTGTGATCATATACATATTCCCCCATCTAGGATTATTTCTAATTTAAAAATGGAATCATACAATGTCCATTACTTTGCATCTTCTTTTTCCCCTTAAAATACATTCTTAATATACCTGAAGGAGTACATCTACCTCGTTCTTTTGAAAAGCTGTATAATATTCCATAGAATTAATGTACCATGATTTATTCAACCATTTACTCAACCTGTTGATAAGCATTTAGGTTGGTTCCAGTTTTTTGCCACTGAAAAATCTCATGCATATATCTTTATAATCTGGTATGCTTTTTAAAAAAATAAATCTTTGAATGGAAGGGAGAGATTCAATATTGTGGGGTGTAACAACCACCCAGCAACATGGTGCTTTTATTTCCTAAAGTGGGATTCCTAAATTGAAGTCTTTCATATTTTAATCCTTACAGCTGGATTACTGTGGGAGCTATCCCCCTGGAGACAGTGGGCTATAATGAGAAGTGTCGGGGTAGAGCTTAAGCTCCACAACACTGAGTCTAGGCCAGGAGGGGTGAAGTATGTCCATGAGGAGACCAGGGCCGGGAAAGCACTTTCGTGTAATCCAGGAAGCAGCACTCAGGAGACGCGTTGGGACGCTGTTTGAGTAAAAACCTGCAAATCCCTGTTCCCAGAGTACTTTAGGCCCAGAAGAACTGGGTTGGAATCAGGTCCTGCCATTAATTGGCTGTGATCTTGAGCAAGTTACTTAATTTCTCCAGGCCACAGTTCGTTCTCCTTGGAAAATAGAGATAAAAAAGTCACACCTGCTTTCAAGGGCGGAGATTCTCATACTTCAGCTGCATCAGAATCAGCACCTGGAGTTTCTCATTCAGTAGGTGGGAACCAACTATTTGCATTTCTAACCAGTTGATAATGATGCTGCTGGTCCCGGGATACTTTAAAAACCACTGTTCTAGGATGTTCCAAGTGTCTGAAACATTTGGCGCAGTTCCCGCACAAGGCAAGCTAACACTATTATTAATTTCCAACCTGCAGAGGCCTTCTCCCAACACCCAGGTTGCTACAGGACCCACCTGCTGGGGAGAGGGACCTTGGCAGCAACGGTGGGCGGAGCCGCCCGTAAGAGAACGCTGAAGTGGGGGATGGGGGGGAGGCGTGCGCTCTGCTGCGCCTGCGTGAGGAGCGAGGGGGCGTGGCTCGGAGCCGGAAGCGGGAGGCTGCAGGGGCGGGCCGGCTGGCGTCCCCTTTCCGGCCGGTCCCCATGGAGGCGCTGGGGAAGCTGAAGCAGTTCGATGCCTACCCCAAGACTCTGGAGGACTTCCGGGTCAAGACCTGCGGGGGCGCCACCGGTAGGCCGCAGCGGGGCGGGGGTCGCGGGGAGGGGGGTGTCCTAGAACCTCGCCCTGGCACCTGGACTCTGATCGGCCTGCCGGAGTCTGAGGGACCAGAGCAGAGGCCATTCTGACCCTTGCTCCCCATTCTGCAGTGACCATTGTCAGTGGTCTTCTCATGCTGCTACTCTTTCTGTCCGAGCTACAGTATTACCTCACCACGGAGGTAAGGGGCGGGGCCTGGCGCGTGGGCGGGGCTTGACATTCTAAGGGTAGGACCCTTAGGGTGGGAGTGAGGAAGGAGAGGCGTAGGGCTAAATCTTACTGAGGTAGCCCTGCTCCAGGTGCATCCTGAGCTCTACGTGGACAAGTCGCGGGGAGATAAACTGAAGATCAACATTGATGTACTTTTCCCGCACATGCCTTGTGCCTGTGAGTACCTCACCATGGGTGAGAGAGTTGGGAGTCCCAGGGTTCTCATGTGGGCTTCCACATTCACCCCTCCAGCCCAGGTTCTGGACTGGATCCCAGTACAACTTCCTTCTCCTAATCCTGTCCTGCCCCAAAACAGTCCCAGTATCCCAATCCTCCAAAACCCAGATCCCCTTGTCCCTTGGATCCCAGTACTTTAGTCTGACTTCCTGCTTCCAGATCTGAGCATTGATGCCATGGATGTGGCTGGGGAACAGCAGCTGGATGTGGAACACAACCTGTTCAAGCAGCGATTAGACAAAGATGGCATCCCCGTGAGCTCAGAGGCTGAGCGGCATGGTAACCAGGGAAGGGGGCAGGGTCTCATATCCCAGAACTGGACATCCCTGAGCTCTAACTTCAGACAAGTGGCCGTGGCAGGCTCCATGACATTTTTTTTTTTTTTTTTTTTTTTTGACTAGAGTGAGTGTCATGGCGTCAGCCCAGCTCACAGCAACCTCAATCTCTGGGGCTCAAGCAATCCTCCTGCCTCAGCCTCGCCGAGTAGCTGGAACTACAGACATATGCCACCATGCCCGGCTCATTTTTTTTATATATATTAGTTGGCCAATTAATTTCTTTCTATTTATAGTAGAGACGGGGTCTCGCTCTTGCTCAGGCTGGTTTCGAACTCCTGACCTCGAGTGATTTGCCCGCCTCGGCCTCCCATAGTGCTAGGATTATAGGCGTGAGCCACCGCGCCCGGCCGCTCTGTGACATATTAAACAACTAAGACCTAAAGGAGTCAAGTGGCTTATCTAGGGTCCCCAGTTAGTGAGAATCACAGTAGGCTGAAATCCAGGCTTCTAGCCTCTCTATATATTGAGTAGAGTACTCTACCTGGTGTCATTCTCGGAGATCCTTAATCCTTCTTATCGTGGTTTGAGAAACAGAAGTTTGAGGATGGTCTTATGTGCTGTTGCCCTGGTAGACATGGACCCAGGCTTCTCTGAGTGTTCACTTTCCCAGCCCATTAGCTAAATTCAGCCCTTAATGCTCTTCCCCTTTGGAATGTAGGTGGCTCAAAGTTAAGAGTTGGTTCTCAAGTCAGATTGCCTGGGTTAAAATCTAGTTTTGTCTCTTGCAGTCTGTGAGCCTTGGCTATAAAGTGGTGATAAATGGTAGTACTGACCACATGGAATTGTAGGATTGAAAAATGCATGGTACAGAGTGGGTGCTCACTTTTAGCTTCCTTTCCTTTATTTTGGTGCCCCCCCTGCCCCCGCCAGTGCCTCCATTAACTCAGTTTCCCACCATAGCAAAACAGTCCTCAAAGCTGAGATTTTTCACACCTTAAGGATTGCTCTGGTGGTGAGCTTTATCATTCGTTCATTCCGCAGATATATGTGGAACCAACAGAATTTGCTGTAGGATTGGATACAGTGTAAGAGAACGGAATCAAGGTTGATTCTAACGTTTTCAGCCTGAGCGAATGAATGATTTGTGATTAAGATTACCAGAGGAAGAAAAGGGATTATTTTTTGGTGGGAGGAGTGAGCAAATGTTAGATACCCACTACTGTGTAACAAATTACTCCAAAAGTTAGTAGGTTAATACAACAAACATTTGGGTTTTTGTTGTTGTTGTTGTTTTTCAGTTTCCCTGGGTTAGGAATTTAGGTGTGGGTTGGTTAGGTGATTCTGGCTAAGGTATTTTATGAGGTTGCAATCAAGTGGTTTCCTGGGGCTGTGGTTGTTTGAAGGCTTGACTGGAGCTAGAGGATCTACTTCTAAGAGGGTTTGCTTGGGTGGCTGTTGGCAGGATGCCTCAGGGCCTCTCTGTATGGGCCTCTCAGTAGGGCTGCTTGAGTGTCCTCACAACATTGCAGCTGGCTTTCCCAACTTGGATCTTGTAAGTGGTCTAAGAGAAGGTAAAAACCACAACTTTTTTTATGACCTGGCCTCAAAAGTTGCATACCGTCACTTCTACAATACCATACTGGTTATACAGGTCAGCCCAATTTATTGTGGGAGGGGACTACATAAGGATGTGACTACTAGGAGGTGGGGATCATTGGAGACATCTGGGAGGCTGGTTCCCACTGGGTAAGATCAGCATTTTGGGGAGGAGAGATTTCAGGTTTGGGACATGTTAAATTTGGGATGCCTGTTTTATACTCTGGTCATGTTAAGGGGCCAATTAGATGTGCTACTGTAGAATTTAAAGGAGTGGAGCTGGAAAATTTAGGAGTTAGTAGGATATAGATGGTAAAGCCATTGGATTAAGTAAGGAAACCTCAGGAGTGAATGTAGTAGGTAGAGGAGAGGTTTAGGGACTAGACTGTGAGCCCCTCCAATATTTAGAAGTCACGAAACGAGGATCCAAGAAGGAAAATTGAGAGATAGCCATTGAAGTAGAAGAGATCCAAGAGGTATCCCAAAAGCCAAGTGGAGAAAGAGTTTTAAGGAGAGTGAGCAGCTGTGTTAGAAGCTACTGATAGTTCAGGAAGATTAGTGAGAATTGAATGTTGCAGTTGGCAACACGGAGATCACTGGAAGCTTGGAAAGGAACAATTTCGATACTCTTAGGGTGAAAAGGGATGAAAATCTGATCAAAGAGCAGAAATAGAAGTGGGGACATTAAGTACAGGTGACACTTTGAGGAGTTTTGCTATAAGGGAGAACAGAGAAATGCGATGGCTGGAGGAGAATGTGGGTTTGGTGGTGAGAGCAAATGAAGTTCTGTTGCTTCTCTTTTCTTACTGGAAACTGAAAGCAAGGACATTAACTAAGACTGAGGGAAGAGGAAGGGGTTTGAAAGCCCACGGAGACAGGAGAAGGTCTAAAGTAGTCATCTCAGAGAATGGGAGAATGAACTGATTGGGGAAACGAAGTAGAATGCCAGCAGTTGTAAGGAAGGTATAGGTAAGCAGTAGGTACAGAGAATCCATTATAACTGTGGTTTGGGTTTTGCTGGGTTTGTGTAACAAGGGGACAGTGAATTATAGTTACATGCAGGAGAGGCCGAGCGTGGTGGCTCACGCCTATAATCTTAGCACTCTGGGAGGCCAAGGCGGGCAGATTGCTCAAGGTCAGGAGTTCGAAAACAGCCTGAGCAAGAGCGAGACCCCATCTCTACTATAAATAGAAAGAAATTAACTGGCCAACTAATATATATAGAAAAAATCAGCCGAGCATGGTGGTGCATGCCTGTAGTCCCAGCTATTTGGGAGGCTGAGGCAGAAGGATTGCTTGAGCCCAGGATTTTGAGGTTGCTGTGAGCTAGGCTGACGCCATGGCACTCACCCTAGCCTGGGCAACAAAACGAGACTCTGTCTCAAAAAAAAAAAAAAAAGTTACATGCAGGAGAATAATTACAAAGGACCATGGAACTTAAGGCAGGAAGTGAGGACATGAAGGGGTGATAGTGTTGGTAGTACCAATGAATTGGTACTAGAGATACCAGAGATATCTGGATACCAGAGATAGGGAAGTAGGAAAATAAAGGTAATATTCAGATCCTTGAAGTTGAATTTTGGAAGCTTTGCAGTTATTGGTAATGACAGAGTCTAGGTGTGAGCCATGGAAATGGGTGGCTGAGGTGGGATGAGAAAATAAAAAGATTAATAGTGGACAGGAGGTCAAGGTATTAAATGTTTTGAAATCACCAATTATGATGGAGTAAGTAGAAAGATGCAGAGAGCCAGTGCAGAGGAAGAGGTCTAAGGAAAAGCAGCATGGTGAATCAGTTAAGGGCATGCTCTTTGGAATCAAGGCTGAAATCTGCCACTAACTAGGCTGCATTGGGCAAAGTCACTTCTCATCTGTGAGCCTCAGCATCTTCTCAAGTGGGGATAATAACCTCCGCCCTCGTGGGGTCATTGTGAAGTTGAAATGAGACAATGTATATAAAGTACAGTGATCTGTACTCAGCTGATGTTTAGTATTTACTGATACTGTTTTCTTGCTATTACTTTTATTAATATATGTGTAGAAGTCCTCAGTGTCTGACTCAGCATGGACTGTATAAATCTTTGCTATTTTTTTTTTTTTTTTTTTTACTATACACAACAAAGACAAAATTCTTTGCTATTTTTATAACTTATTATTTCCAAGCCGTTGACCAAAGAAAGGGCTCATGCAGAGGCTGGGGCCACACCTTTCACCATCTTCTCTCAGCTGATGCCTCTGCCTCTGCCTTCCCCTTAGAGCTTGGGAAAGTTGAAGTGACGGTGTTTGACCCTAACTCCCTGGACCCCGATCGCTGTGAGAGCTGCTATGGCGCTGAGTCAGAAGACATCAAGTGAGCTGGACCCTGGGGTTAGGGGGAGCGGGGTTCCCATCAGGTAGCATCTGTCAGCCTCAGCCTCAGTCAGACTGTGGTAAGGGGGAGGTCGGACCCAGAATCTGGAGGCGGTGGGGTGCGTTCCTTGATCACGATCCTGGTGCAAGTGGCTGAGGCTTTGTGACCAGGCCCTGCCTAGGAGCTACACACCTAGGGATGAGGCTAAAGTGGTCTCTACCCTTCATCCTAGACGAGTGGTTTGGAGGTGGTCTTTGGAGTCCAACTGCCTGGGTTCCACCTGTGTCCTTGGGCCAAGCCACATAACCTCTCTGTGTGAATAGGGACAATACTGACACCTTCCTCACAAGTCACATAAGGATTAAGTATATATCATATGTAAAGCACTGGGGTGGAAGGCCCAGCCCAGATCATTACACCCTCAATATATGGTAACTGCTGTTGTGTTTCCCAGGTCCTGACCCCTGACAGGCTAATTCAGCAGGTCTGGGGTGGGGCCTGGGAATATTTACCTTAAAAAAGTTTTTATTGTGATAAGATATATGTGACATAAAATTTACCATTTTAGCCATTTTTAAGTGTACAACTCAGTGACATTAAGTATAGTTACAGTGTGGTATACTTATCACCACTTTCTTTTTCACAACTTCATCACCCTAAACAGAATGGTAATATGTTTTGTATGGTTTTTTTTTGAGACAGAGTCTCACTCTGTTGCCCAGGCTAGAGTACCATAGCGTCAGCCTAGCTCACAGCAACCTCAAATTCCTGGGCTTAAGCAGTCCTTTTGCCTCAGCCTCTCAAGTAACTGGGACTACAGGCATGTGCCACCATGCCCGACTAATTTTTTCTATATATATTTTTAGTTGGCTAATTAATTTCTATTTATAGTAGAGACGGGGTCTCGCTCTTGCTCAGGCTTGTTTCGAACTCCTGACCTTGAGTGCTCTGCCCGCCTCGGCCTCCCAGAGTGCTAGGATTACAGGCGTGAGCCACCATGCCCTGCCGGGAATATGTATTTTTAACAGTCCTGCTGCCACTGAAGAAACACGCTTGGAGAACATCTGATGGTCAGGGATGAGGCTAGCAGTGCTTCATTAGCAGGCAGATGTGTTTGGGCTTTATTTCCCAAGATGCCAGTGTTGGTCTCCTGCCTCTTTGACACACTCAGCCAACGCCCCCTCCTACAGGTGCTGTAATACCTGTGAAGATGTACGGGAGGCATATCGCCGTCGAGGCTGGGCCTTCAAGAACCCAGACACTATTGAGCAGTGCCGGCGCGAGGGCTTCAGCCAGAAGATGCAAGAGCAGAAGAACGAAGGTTGCCAAGTGTATGGCTTCCTGGAAGTCAACAAGGTACTGGGGGAGATCGTGGCAAGATAGGGCCAGCCGGGCTGGGCGAGCTCCATGGTGAACCAAGGGCCCACTCAGGTCCTTAGGAGGCAAAGGGAGGACACAGCTGGAGAATGAGAGGGAATATCTCCTACAGGTGGCCGGAAACTTCCACTTTGCCCCTGGGAAGAGCTTCCAGCAGTCCCATGTGCACGGTGAGTGATCCTACATCGGCTGGGGAGGTTTAGACACTGGATACCTTCTTGGCGAGTTTGACTGCCCTTCACCTGCCTGATGTTCTTATGTCTTTGGTCCAGAGCAGGCTTTCATCTCAGGGCTGCGGTGGTTAAAACACAGGGTGAGAAGCCAGGCTGCCTGGATTCAGATACCAGGTTCACACCTTACTGGCTGTGTGACTTTGAGAAAGTTTCTTAATCTTTTTGAGCTTCAGTTTCCTACTTTATAAAATGGTGATGACAGTACTTATCTCACAGGGTGCAGGTTAAAGATTATAGCATGCAGCAGACACAATGGCCCATTCCTGTAAGCCTAGCACTCTGGGATCCCGATGTGGGAAGATCACTTGAGGCCCGGAGTTCAAGATCAGTCCAGGCAACAGCAAGGCCTCATCCTTACAAAAAATAAAAGCCTGGTGTGGTGGCGTGCGCCTGTAGTCCCAGCTATTTGGGAGGCTGAGGCTGGATTGCTTGAGCCCTGGAGTTTAAGGTTGCTGTGAGCTAGGCTGATGCCACAGCACTCGAACATGGGCAACACAGCAAGACTCTGTCTCAAAAAAAAAGAAAAGGAAGTCTTAAGGACCAAAACAAGGCAGGATAAAGATGATGGAGGTGAGGTTGTAGGGTGCAGTGTGTGTGTCCTATTTTAAATAGGGTCGTCAGGGAGAGACTCTCTGATGGGGTGATATTTGAGCTAAGACTTGGAATAAGTAAGGGAGCCAGCCATGTGGTTGTCTGAGGGAAGTGTTGCAGGCAGAGGACGGTAAATGCAAATCCCCAAGGCAATAATGTGCTTGGCAAATTCAAGGTTCAGTAAGAAAGTTAGGGTGGCTGGCGCAGTGTGAGCACGGGAGCGTGGTTGGAAGTGAGGTGAGAGAGGTAACGGGGCCAGGTCACATAGGGCTTGCAAGGGCATTGTAGAGACTTGGGGCTTCTACTCTGCGTGAGCTGGAAAGCCATTGATGGGCTTTGAGGAAGTGGGGCCTGATCTAACTTAACTTGAAAGGTGAGCAGCTCTCCTACCACTCCATGTACAAGACTAGGGGGGAAAGGACAGAATCAGAGACCAGTCAGGAGGCTACTGCAGCCATCAATCCAGGCAAAATATAGTGGGGTGTGGACCCACCTGGCAGTGGAGGTGGTGGGAAGTGATTGGGTTCTGGATATATTTTGAAGGCAGAGCTGGGAGGAGTTGCTGGTGGGTATGAGGGATAAAGGAAAGAGAAGTCAAGAGTGCCTGCAAGGTTTTGTGCCTGAGTGGTGAGAAGGCACCTCATCCAGTGAGATGAGGAGACACAGGGCAGGTTTGGATATCTGGGACGGAGTGCACAGCAGGTGTTCAGCTTCTGACACGTTCAGACCAATGGGAATTGGGTGTCCTTTTAGGCACCCAGGATGTCGAGTAAGCAGTTAGCTATTCAAGCCTGGAGTCCAGGGGAAGAGCTTGCCTGGGGACATGAACGCTGTAGTCCTCAGCATATATAGGGAGCCGTGAGAGTGGATGGCATCACCCTGGAGATGAGGGTAGCCAGAGGAGGAGGAGCTAAAAGGGCTTGTGGCCAGCGCCCACATGAGAGGCACCAGCAGGGAACCTGGTATAAACACTGGTGAGGTAAGAGTGCCAGCCACGGGGTGGTGTCCTGCCAGCCGAGGGACATGTCTTTCAAAAACCATATCAGAGGCCGGGCGCGGTGGCTCACGCCTATAATCCTAGCACTATGGGAGGCCGAGGCGGGCAAATCACTCGAGGTCAGGAGTTCGAAACCAGCCTGAGCAAGAGCGAGACCCCGTCTCTACTATAAATAGAAAGAAATTAATTGGCCAACTAATACATATATAGAAAAAATTAGTGGGGCATGGTGGCACATGCTTGTAGTCCCAGCTACTTGGGAGGCTGAGGCAGGAGGATTGCTTGAGCCCAGGAGTTTGAGGTTGCTGTGAACTAGGCTGACGCCACGGCACTCACTCTAGCCTGGGCAACAAAGTGAGACTCTGTCTCAAAAAAAAAACAAAAAAACCGTATCAGATGCTTCTGGACATCAAGCAGGGATTGACCATTGGATGTATAACATGGCTGTCATTTGTGGCCTCGACGGAGCCTTTTGGGCATGATAGGGACACCATGGAGTGGGTTGAGGAAGGAATGGGGAGGAGGTGGAGCAGTGGGGAGAGACAGCGTGACTATGGTTTGCACTAGAGGGAGGAGAGAACACCGGCTGGAGCTGGAGGGAGGTGTGGAGTCAAGAGAGCCTCACCAAGGCGTGTGACGTGGCAGAATGTTAATATGCTGTTGGAAATTATCGACAAGAGCAGAATGATGCAGAGATGAGAGGGACAGTTGCTGGAGTCCTTGAGACGGAGAATGAAGATGATCTAGTGCCTCTCACAAGTGCAAAGGCCAAATTTAGCAGGAGGGAAGGCAGACTGTCGGTGCACGGAGGTTGGTAGCTGGAGTGGTGGAAGCAGGTGGATGGTCTCTTCTGAGTCTTCTGTTTTCTCTGTGGTATGGGAAGCGAGACCATCAACTGAGAATGAGGAGAGAGGGAAGAATGTGTTACCGATTTGAGAGAGAAGAAAAGATGTAACTGGGCACTTTGGGGCAGGAGAGTGCAGGGACTGCGGGAACAGGATTGCCAGGCAACGCTAGGGCCCCCCTTGGAGTGGGTGGCTGTGAATGGAAAGTGAGACGGGTCTGTGTGGCTGTCTCGTTTTCCCAGCTGTGTGTGGGTGGCATAGCTTAGGGCACTGGCATCACCAAGGGCTTGTGCTGCCAGGTGCTGCAGCGGTGAGGGAGTCCGAGGAATGAGTAAAGAAGTGATCCTGGTAGTAGACCACAAAGTGTAAGCTGGCAAAGGAGGAAAAATGGGATGTAGGGATGGGGGTGGGAGCCAGGAGGAGCAATGGACTGCAGGTCCTGGGTATGGTGTCAATGTGGTGTCAGTTTTAGGGTGCTGGAGAAAATTAGAAAGCTGGTGGTTAGAGCATGGGATACTTATGGAGGGGTGTGGTTATTAGGGAACGACCAACAGAGCGAGTGGCTTGGGTAGGTAGAGCACAAGATCAGGAAGGAGGGGTTCCTGGGAAGCCAGTGGAAGGGTCATCTGTGTGGGCAGGGAATCACCAGGAACCAAGGCTGGTCAAGGGCAGGTGAGAAGTGGCCCTGGAGGTTCTGCGTGGATCTCTAGGTGACTGAAACAAGCTTTTCCCTGAGCCTCAAAGCTGGGAATTTTTAGGGCAAAGGTAGGAACAATGATGTGGAAGTAGCAGTAAGGAGCAAGAAGGACCTCTCTTCAGGCCAAGGGGGGTTGGGGGTGGGTGTGGAAAGAAGGTGGGATGCAAAGGGTACAGTGCCTTGAAGGAACAGCCGACTGTGACTGGAACAAGAGGGTGAAGGGGATGCTCAGAGGTCAATGCCGGGGTTTTATGATGACCAAGCGACAGAGGGCCCAGCGGAAGGGCTTGGGAGAGAGGGAGGGAGTCAGGGTCAGATTAGGGGATGTGCAGAGCCACAAGGTGATAGAGCCCAGGGGATGAAGAGGGCCTGGCTCCTGAGCCGCTCACAGTGACAGAGGTAAGCAGGATTAAAGTGTCCCATGGAGACAGCCCTGCTGGTCTTCCAGGCGGTGTGTGGGGGTTAGGCAGGTGGGTGGGTCTGGGGCAAAAACCTCTTTATTCTGCAGGAGGCCAGGGAAAGGGTGGTCTTGCTGGGATTGTAGGAAGATGATCAGTGTCAACTGTTGGCACAAGGCCATGCGGGTACTCAGTAGGACAAGGCCAGAGTATTCTCTCTGCTTCCTGCTGGGGCTGTGGATCCCAGGACCAAGGGTGCCCTGGACATTCAACCAAGGATGTTCAAACACAAAGCTACAATTGCCCGAGGCCAGAGGTTTGGCTGAATTGAGGCCCGGGAGGTATTTTCTGACATCTTTGTTGACTTAATAGGGGGGCTAATCTCATATTGTAAAGTTTACCAAGTATTTTCCCGTCTGGTCCTCAGGACTGCCCTTTACAGAGGAAAACACTGAGGCCCAGAAAGGGCAAGTGATTTGCCCAATGTTACACAGCAAGAAAAGTGGCTTTTTGGGCTCTAGGTCTTTTGTTCTTCCTAGACCATGATTCTTCTCACCCCTCTTGGGCTCTCTCTGGCCAGGGAAGGGCTTTCTCAAGGAGGGGACCAGGAGGCGGCTTGTTGGCGGGGCCAGACCCTGTTGCTGAGGCAGAAATGTTCAGTCCTCCCTCCCGCCACATGCCTTCTCCACATTCTCATTGTGAAGTTCTGAATCTGTTCTCTTCCTCCTTTCTCTCTCCTTCCCTCCCCCACGCTGCAGTACATGCTGTGGAGAGTAAGTGGCCCTGCCCCCAGGGAGGCCAAGCCCCCACTTCTGGGGCAGCCTGCCCTCCCAGGATGGGGGGAGATTGGATGGGTCTGGGATTGGCCCCTTCTCTGGCCTGGCTGCTGAGTATAAAAAGCTCTATGTGTCTTTGAGGTACAGTTCCTACAGCAGGAGGGATTGGGCTACAGGGCAGGAAGAACTTGTTCTGGAACAAGTTTGGTATGGGGTGCCCATGGGCTGTGCCTGGGGGACTTTAGGGGGGCAGGGGAGTGGGGAAAATGTGGATAGCATTCTGTTTATTCTCAGATCCTGCCTAACTTTGCAGCTCATCGATTTGCTGTCAGCTCTAGTTAACTAGAGACCATAGTTGTGGGTTTTGTTTCCTGAGGTGCCGGCAGGGCCGTGGTGGGAGTGAAGGCCTGGAGTTCCGGTGTCTGTCATGGAAGGAATGGGATCCGGGCTCTCCCACAGGCCTAGGACAGGCCCTATCTGGCTGTCCTTAAGCAGGACCAGGAGGTGCCAGGCTAGACAGTGAATGGGGTCAGAGAAGAGCCAGGCGGGCCACACTCCAGAGGGAAGAGTGAGGGGCTGGTCCCACTCCCCCTGACAGCACCTTCTCTCTTTCTCCTAGTCCATGACCTGCAGAGCTTTGGCCTCGACAACGTATGTACCAGGTGGAGCCTGTGGGGGCAGGTGGGGTGGGAGACTCCTTTGCTGCTTCATTTCTCTGTAGGGACATGCCAGGAGGGGGACCACATGTGGAAAAACAGTTCCTAGGAAAAGCACGGTGGCTCACGCCTGTCATCCTAGCACTCTGGGAGGACAAAGTGGGTGGATCATTTGAGCTCAGGAGTTTGAGACCATCCTAAGCAAGAGCAAGACTCCATCTCTACCAAAGATAGAAAAAATTAGCCAGGCGTGGTGGTGCATGCCTGTAGTCCCAGCTAGTCGGGAGGCTGAGGCAGAAGGATCGCTTCTGAGCCCAGGAGTTTGAGGTTGCTGTGAGCTAGGCTCACGGCACTCTGTCTCAAAAAAAAATAAAAAATAAAAAGCAGTTCCTAGGACGTAAATGGGAGATTCCTTTCCTGTGTCAGGCAGGCTCTCCCCTTAGCTCCACAGCTTTTCCCAGACAGGTCCTCTCCTTCCCTTCTCCCCAGAGACCCAGGCGTCCCCATCTGCTGCTGTAATATAGAGCTTTGGGTGGCTGGCTGGGGACCGTGGGCCTTAGGCGCTGGTGTTGCTTGCAGATCAACATGACCCACTACATCCAGCACTTGTCGTTCGGGGAGGACTACCCGGGCATCGTGAACCCCCTGGACCACACTAACGTCACTGCACCCCAAGGTACCAGCCCGGGAGATAGCCCCCAGACACCAAAGACCCACGAGGCACCCATGCCAGTGCTCTCTTCCCCCCGCAGCCTCCATGATGTTCCAGTACTTTGTGAAGGTGGTGCCCACAGTGTACATGAAGGTGGATGGGGAGGTGAGTCTGAGGGAGCTCAGGTGTCAGAGTCTCCGCTTGGTGCCAAGTACTTGAGTTCCTTCATTTAGTTCCTTCAACCCCGGAGGTGAAGTGCTGCTCTCATCCCCATGTGATGGATGAAAACCCAAGGCTTAGAGCGGGTAGGTGACTTGCCCTCATAGGCAGAGTTTAGGCCCAAGGCTGGCAGGTTTTAAAACACTTCTCTCTTCTGCTGTCTAGACACCTCCATCCCTTCCTCCAGCGCCCACTGTGTCTGCCTCACTGTCCCCGGTCGACTGCCCTTGGGCTGGGGTTGCCAGGCCAAGCCTTCATGGGCCCCTGCTCCCATTTCTGCTGTGGCCAGGAAGCTGTAGAGTGTGAGGGACTGAGGGTCAGGAGTCAGTCCTGGCCTTGTTGGTACCACACTGGGGGTTGCCTTGGACCCCCAGTGAGAGCATCCACCAGATGCAGCTGGGATGGGTAAACTGACCAGAGGGCAAGTCAAGATGGCAAGGCTGGGAGCAGGGGTTTTGGTGGTCCCCAGGCCTTGGAGCATTAGCTGCCAACATGGTGCCTTATTCTGTCCCTGCACACAGTGAAGACACAGCGGGACAAGAGGCAGGTGCAGGGGTGGGGCTGATGGGGGCTGGAGCCGGGTCGTAGACCTGGCCCTTACCTGGGCTCCCCTCTTACCCCAGGTGCTGAGGACAAATCAGTTTTCTGTGACCAGACATGAGAAGGTCGCCAGCGGGCTGTTGGGTGACCAGGGGCTTCCCGGAGTCTTCGTCCTCTATGAGCTCTCACCCATGATGGTGAAGCTGACAGAGAAGCACAGGTGAGGGTGGGGGGCACTGGCCAGGCCTGGGCCTGTGGGAGTGGGAGCCCACTGAGCCCACCTGCTCCCCCGCCAGGTCCTTCACCCACTTCCTGACAGGCGTGTGCGCCATCATCGGGGGCATGTTCACGGGTAAGGAGCCCCCGCCATCTGTGGGGCTGGGAGCACAGTACGGGTGGGTAAAGCCTGGGCGCCACATGTTGAGAGAGAAGGGACACCTTGAGGCCCAGTGGAGATTCTGGCTGGGCCAGTTAGGTGACAAGGCTCTCAAGGTCAAGTCAAGGGCCCCGCTGGGCCAGTGCCAGCCCCCCTCTCTCCCCCAGTGGCTGGACTCATCGATTCGCTCATCTACCACTCGGCACGCGCCATCCAGAAGAAAATTGATCTGGGGAAGACAACGTAGTCATCCTCTTTCCCTTTGGTGGTTCCCCTCTTCTGTTTCTCCACGGCCTGTGGTTCAATCCCCAGCCACCCCACCCCGCCGCCTCAGAGTGAGCCCAGCCCCAGGGCCTAATCTATTGATTGTGATAGTACTCACTGGTCTCCGTGTGATTCTTGGGCTGGCTGGCCCCTTATCACAGCCACTTAACTACAGGCAGTGACAGCTGCCCTCTGGGAGCCCCACATGGGCATCCCCTGGTTAACAGGGTCTTAAACTAGACAGACACCCCCCCCTCAGCCCTGTCCACTTCTCCACTGTGGTCTTTGAGCTTTTGGGGTTCAACTCCGGGGTTCAGGCAGACCTTTCCAGGGTGAACATCCTGGAGCCACCGTTACAGGGCCCTGCATGCCAGCTGGGGCTGCCTCCTGCCACTCTGGGCTCAGTCACCTGACCCTGCGCTGGCTCTTGCTGTCGCTGCAGTGAGGAGTCCTGCCAGGTCCTCTGCCATCTCCGAGGTGGGAAGTAGCAGTGGCCGTTCTGGAGCAGGGCTAGCATCAGGCCCCTGGCTCAGGACCTAAACACAGCTTCCCATGAGAGCCCTTTCCACAGGTGCAGAACCAAGGCCAGTAACAGCCAGTCAGTTTATCAAATCATGTGTCAGGGAGTTTTGATGTAGTAGTAGGGGAAAAGCAGGGTGATCATGCCAAAACCTCTGGAGTCAAGCCTGGGATCCAGCTGTGGAGTGATCACGTCAGAGCTGTGTGACCTTGGACATATAGTTAACCCCCCTTCACAGGCATCAGCCTTATCTATAAGTTGGGGGCAATAGAGCTGGCACTAGTGAGCCTTGTTGGTCACCAGGAACCATTCCCCCCGAATTTCTCCTGGGAGCCCCTGTCTACTCTCTCAGCTTCCATGATTTGGGAGGAGGGTTGGTGTCCCACCCAGAGGCCGCCTGCAGTCACATACTCCATGCTACCGGCCACAGTACAGGCCTGGCTCTATCAGGAGCGGGAGAGCTTGCTGTCCTCATGAGTGGGAACATGGGGCAACCCTGCATTTCCGAGGGGGAACCTGTCTGAATGAATGTCCCAGAGGAGAGCTGAGCCACAAGGCAGAGACAACTGGCTTTGATGACATCATTTGAACACGGTGATAAGCTGCACCTGAAGCCAGCCACCCAGCCAAACTTTGGGAATTAGTTATGCAAGCCAATAAATTCCCTTTGTGTTTAAGCCAGTTTAGGTTGGGATGTCTGTCACTTGCAAGCAAGAGAGCTGTAACAGGTGTGTTACTCGGGGTAGTAAGGAATAAACAAGTTAGTGAAGTATGTAAAGTGCTCAGTTGTCCTGCAACTGCAGAAGCCTCCGCAGATTAGGTGAGAGGGACCCAGCCACCAGCAGCAGGTAGGCCCCATTCTTCCCTGTGGCAGGGCACATGGGCCACCTCCCTCCCTGTGCATTCTTCCAGGAAGTCCCCAGCACCTGAGGTCACCCCAGATCATCTCTGTTCTCTGCCACCTAGAGGAGCTGGCCTTGTACACCACAGTCAGGTGTCAGTGCCTGTGTGATGAGGTTTATTCAAAGAAAGCTCACTGGCAAGGAGGAGTGGGAGTTGGGCTGGCACCATGGCGTGGGTGTTCAAGCTGAGTCACTTGTGGAGGGGGCGGAAGATGACCTGGCTGATCTGGCCGGGGATGGTGTAGAAGACGAGGAGGAGGAAGACAGTGATCAGCGCCAACAGCAGCAGCAGCACCAGGATGCGCCAGTAGCGGCGCCAGATGAAGAAGACGAAGGTCTTCAGCGGGTTCACGAACCAGTTGAAGGAGGTTTTGGGGCGGCTGTTGGGAAGGTGGTGTCAGGACGACCAGGAAGCCCATGCTGGCCGCCCCCGCTCTCCCACCCCCTGTGCCGCCCACTCACTTAGGCTTCTCCAGGGGCTCTGGCTCCTTCCGCCCCTTCCCCACCGGCCGTTTCTCAGCCTCCTCCACAGTCAGCAGCTCAAACTCTGCCTCCACCTTTCCCTAGAAAAACACTCCTGCGTCACCAGGAGCAGAGGCCCAGTTCTGCAGCAGGGTCAAGCCTGCCCCCTGCCCCAGCTGCACCCACCGTGAGGATATACACATTGCCGCCTGTGTCTCTGAACTCCAGGTCTTCTGGCCTGCCCTTCCTCCTCTGCTTCCGTCTCTTCTTGCCAGCCTGGGCCTCCTGCGCCTCCCGCTCCACATCCTCCGCCTCCTGCAGCTTCACCATGGGCCACCAGCCCCTCAAGCGGCGGCAGCGAAACAGATTGCACCTGGGCACAGCCCCATCACGGGCCAGCCGGACAGAGCAGAGCTCAGGGACCCGGGCCCCCCGCACCATGTCTGGCAGCTGCAACTCCAGGGATCCTGCAAGTGCAGAGCACAACTGAGATCAGACCTGATGGGTGGGGGGTGAGGAGGCAGCGCAGCAGGGTGTTAAGACATGAAAAATTAGGGTGTGGTGGTCAGGCCATAGCTGTGGACCAGGCACACCATAGCCTACTGTGACCAGCAGGTGGTCAGATCCCAGTGGAAGGGGCCAGGGATTGGGATCCAATTGCCAAAGCAAGGACCACAGGCTAAGGAGTCACTATCCAGGGTGACTTGAGCGTGGGTCAGATTGGAACTGGTCAGGGACTTTGGGAAGGGAGGTGACTGTGGTCTGAGCAATTAGGTCAGAAAGCATAGGTTCAGATCTAGGGTCTGAAGTCCCAGGATTCAGGGTTGGGTCAGAGTAGAGAACCAAGGGACAGGAGTTAAGGGACAGGGGTGAGGTTGGGGAAGGCTGAGCAGTACCGAGGAAGTCATTGGCGGAGATGCGATCATAGTCCCAGACCTGCAGGACCAGCACGGCTGGCTGCCGGAACTCGGTCTCCTCCAGGGCAAAGGGTCCAGGCCGGCGCCGGACACTCACCTCCCGCTCCGTGGGGAGGTAGTCAAAGCGGAACACAAAGCGCCAATTGAAGTTCCCCTCCCCAGTCAGGGAGTTGAAGTGAACGTCTGTCTCCTGCTTGTCATGCTCCAGCCCCTTCACCCAGCTGGGGTCATAGGAAGGACAGGCCAAGGCCGGTGGGCACAGGCTGGGGCCAGGCCCAGAACCTGCTGCTCACCCAGTGTGGCCCACAACTCAACCAGCTCTAGGCACCATAGAGAGCCCGGGTACAGGCTCTGGACTCAGCCTGGGGCCCACAGCCCAGCTTGCAGTCCCCAGTTAGTGCCATCCCCACTGTGCCCTCACGACTTAGCAATGTCTCCCTTAGTGCACAGCCATCGGCCTGGCCTGCAGGCTTACCTCTTCACATAGATGTCACTCGACATCTCTCCAGTGAGCGGGTTCACGTCATCCAGTACCACATCTTCCGTGTTCCAGATGATGACTCTGAGCTCATAGCTGGCGGATGTATTGGGGGATGGTTTTCAACCTTTGAAAACCTGGGGCACTCGGGGTACTGCAGGAGGCAGGAAGGACCTGGGCCAGGGCCACTGACATTCACCGAGCACCTGGGGTGTGCCCAGCTGGGTAATCAGGATGCCTGTGGCCCTATGAAGGGACAGCCACAGCAGATGGCACCAGGAATGGTCTGCCAGCCCAGCCTGGGCCAACGACTTTCTCCCATAAATTTGGAATCAGGACCCTGAACCATCAAGTAAGGGGACTCAGATGCAGAGCTGGAGCCCACTGTAAGCTGAAGTTTGGGGTGCAGAAAAGTGGTTAGCAGAGAAAGCCCATCTGCAGAGAGGAGTGGGAGGCTGGGAGACACAGTGGAGATGACAGCCTGCGTGCCCTGAGGGGCAGAGGAGGAGCTGCAGCATTCTGGATCCTACCCTCATGTGGCTTTGTCCTTGGCTGTCATGAGGATGCCTGGATAGCTGTTGGTTTCTCCTTGCCCAGCATCAATTTCCACTCGTTTGTTGACAGCACCCTGATTTTCTGCTGGTGATCTCCCTACCAAACCACCCCCACTGTCACTCTAGGTAATTCTGGTGAGGCACGTCACCTAGGACTGGCCAATCAGCTTATTACAGCCCTGTGACCAGTGACTGCTTCAGGGAGAGCATTTGACCCGAGCTGGTCTAATGAGAGTCAGCCCTGAGACTTTGGCTTTAACTGGGAAAGAGATGTTCATTCCTGCTCACATGGCCTGGCTGAAATGTAAGCCTGGCACTATTAGAAAGCACCTTGCCCCTAGACTCCCAGAGGGTGACACCAAGGAAAGCAGAGCCCAGAGGCAGAGAGCGACAGACTGCTGACATCTGAGCACCTGGATCCATCCCCATCTGAAGTGGCTACGCCCTACACAGAACTCTAAACTAGCTCAGGTTGGAAGGGGGTTACTGAAAGGTATTTGGACTCATTCCATCTCCAAGTGACAGACACCCAATTTATAATTGCTTATGAAAAAAAGGGAATTTAATGACTCACCTAACTGAAAAGCCTGTGGCCAGCAGCCTCTGCCAGCTCCACTGGGGGCCCAGGTGTCAGTGGACCCTTGTGCAGGTAAACCTTGCCCTGCTTTGGAAGGAGGGGCCAGAACTCTCTCACCTGATTGGCTGCCGAGGCTTGATGTCAACTGGAGGTGGGGCAGGCACATCTCTGGGAAAGATGTCAATCCACATGTGAAGGGATCCCTGGGGACACAGGACCAGGCTGGAGGGTCTGGGTAGGGCCCCACCTTCCCTGACAGCCCTGTGGCCAGAGGATATGCCTCCCCTGAGGGAGAGAAGAGCTAGGGTCAAGAGAAGAGCTAGGGTCAAGAGCAGAGCCAGGCAGATGCTGGGGATAAGGATGAAGGTGGAGTCTGACGTGGTGGTTCCAGGGTCGAGGTTAGGTTGAGGGGTCAGGGTTCAGGGCCCAGATGTGGAACTTGAGGTTAAGAGTTAAGATGTGGCCAGGTGCAGTGGCTCACACCTGTAATCCTAGCACTCTGGGAGGCCAAGATGGGAGGATCACTTGAGGTGAGGAGTTCGAGACCAGCCTGAGCAAGAGTGAGACCCTGTCTCTACTAAAAATTAGAAAGAAATTAGCCAGACAACTAAAAATATATAGAAAAAATTAGCCGGGCATGGTGGCGCATGCCTGTAGTCCCAGCTACTCGGAGGCTGAGGCAGTAAGATTGCTTGAGCCCAGGAGTTTGAGGGTGCTGTGAGCTAGGCTGACGCCTCGGCACTCAAGCATGAGCAACAGAGTGAAACTCTGTCATTCATTCATTCATTCATTTATAAATAAATAAACAAATAAATAGAAAAGTTAAGATGTGGCATTCCCGATGTCCAGATCTTAGGAGTCTGGGATAGAGGTCAGGTTTGGGACCCCAGGTCTGAGCCTTGGTGGCCCAGGGGTGGGGTCCTACAGAGTCAGAGGTGGGAGTATGTAGCCCAGCATGGAGTGGTCCCCAGCATCAGGAGGCAGGGTCAGAAGTGGCAGTGTGGTGCCCAAGAGAAAGACTTGGGGGGAAGGGGACCCTGGGGGCCCAGGCTCCAGGTCAGATGGGAATCCTAGGAGCCTGGGAGTCTTGTGACTCTTGGGTTGGGCCTCCAGCCCTCCCTCACCTGCAGCAGCCCCGGGCTGCGGGGATGGTAGAGGGGCCGTGTTTCTACATGCTCAGGTACCAGCTGGATCCCAAAATCTGGCATCTCCTGCCAGCGCCGCAGCACAAGCAATGCCTGTGCCTCCTCAGGGGCCCCACCTGCCCCTTTGGAGGCCCCCCTACCTGAAACAAGAGGTGTGTGAGCCTGGGTTCCACGCAGTTCCCAACCCTTCCCCCTTCCTCCCATCTCTCCGTAGGAGCTCTAAGCTGAGGCAGCCCATGTTGGCTAAAACCTGTGATAGGAGGGAAACCTTTGTAGGAGGGCAAAACTGCAACACATAAAAAGCAGGGGTGGGTGGGAAAGGTGCTGCTATAACTTTCCACAGTCCTTTGCTCAGACCCTCTCAGAGAATAGGCCACAGGCCATCTATGAGGCATGAGCTCAGTTCTGCAGCCATGCTCTGTTGTACGGGATGCCCTACGGGGCCACCCTGTGTTCTAGGAACTTGATTAGTGACGGCTCTGAGGGCTCCACTTTTGCTCTTTGGGGATTTCATGGTCACCAACAAAGAGCATTTTCTCCCCACCATCTAAGAACCTCATCCTCGTCCTTACTCAACCAAACCCACCTTCTCTGCTTACTAAAGAAAGTGGGCTCTTTCAGTGGGTGCACTAGACTGGGCCCCTGGGGCCCCTGTACCTTGTTCTACCGCCATCTTTCTCCCTGTGGCCTGTCCAGCAGAGAAGGGCTGGTACCTGGAGGCAGGGTCTCAGGCGGTGTCGGAAAGACTTTGCTGCCCACCTTGACAGCCTCGGCTCGGTATTCAGGGGCAGGGAGGCCACGGCGTTGGCACAGACCTGCCAGGATCTGCGAAGGCCGGAATGCATCACGCCAGGCATTGTACCCATCCCTGCAGGCAGAAGCAGAGGATGCCTCAGCTGAGACCAGCATATGGACACACTCAGGCACAGGGCCAGGGATGAGGACCCTTGAAGACATGGCATCCAGGTTCATAACTCCAACAGGAGACAGGTTAGCTGTCACTTATGATAACAATGAAAATCAAAGGAATACACCAGGGGCTTCTATGGAGATACTGATGTTATATCTTTATTCTGCAGATGAGAAAAATGAGACTCAAAGAGGTCAAGTAACATATTAGTTACAGGATCCCAATTCCCAAGCCCACATCTTGATTGCTGAGCTATAATGTCATGGTTGGTGGGGGTGGTAGGGCTCCCTTCTATGAAGTCATAGGATCTGGAGACACAAATGGGAATGTGAGCTTGAACATGTTTGGTCAGAGACGTAGAATGGCTCCCAAGGGCCCTGCCAAACTTACACATCATACTGGGCGGCCAGCCCACAGTTTGCTCTGTGGTGGCTGTAGAATCGGTTTTCTAAGTCAATGTGGGTCTCTCCAATGAGGTCGTCAGAACCCAGGAGGTCATGATCAAATACAGCAATGGTCAGCTCCGGCTCAGCAGGGAGAGAGATGCTTAGCTCCAGGACCCTGGCCAGGAGGGAGAGTGGCTGAGGACACCTCCGTGCCCTAGGAGGTGGTCTGGGGTGGGGGTGTCAGCAGCCTCTGTCCATTCACCCACTGTTCCTCCAAACCCTCTCCAGAGCCCCAGTCTCACTCTCCAAAGATGGGGTTCAGCTGCTTGGGGATGTAGCGCTCCTTGGAGTCCTGCCGCTCTCGGCCAGCGCTCACCACCACATAGGGGTCTGCTTTGCCATTGGGGTCTGCTGGAGCCAGGTTGGTAGCCTGGGGGATGATATGGTGTGGAATTGGGAGAAGCATCATGGTCATAGTCCAAGGTTAACCCTGTTGGACCTAATCTCAGATTAGGTGTTAAGCAGGAAGTTACCAAACATCGCACTGTGAGGAGTTAACTGAAAGGTTGAACATGATGACTTGTGTTCTCTTTTCAATTAGTTATGAAATACTTAAAACATATGAATAGGTATAACAAAAAATATAATGAAACAAAAAGTATTTGGAAAGATGTATGAGGGACTTGTTCAATTTATAATTTTCTGTATTGTTTAAATTTTCTTTTTCTTTTTTTTTTCACACCCTCCTCCTTGCTTGACTTCTATTTTTTATCATGAGCATATGTTACTTTTTAAATTAAGAGTATTTTAACTAAATTAAAAAAAATACATTGGCCAGGCTCAGCAGCTCACGCCTGTAATCCTAGCAACTCTGGGAGGCTGAGGTGGGAGGATTGCTTGAGCTCAGGAGTTTGAAGCCAGCCTGAGCAAGAGTGAGACCCTGTCTCTACTACAGAAAAAATTAGCCAGATGTGGTGGCAAGCACCTACAGTCTCAACTACTCTGAAGGTTGAGGCAAGAAGATTGCTTGGGTCCAGGAGTTTGAGGTTGCTGTGAGCTAGGCTGACATCACGGCACTCTAGCCTGGGAAACAGAGCAAGACTCTGTCTCAAAAAAAAAAAAAAAAAAAAAAATACATTGAACATGTGTGTACCCAGCTTAATAAGATATTACCAACAAATTGTTATTTTCTTTTTTTTAATTTCTTCCCCTCCTCCATATAGGATAGGATATATATATATATGAATATATGAATATATTACCAATTGAAGAGTGGGAAATCGATGCTATAGTTTGGATGTTTGTCCCCCAAACCTCATATACTCATATACTATTTCACTCATGTTGAAATTTGATCCCTAATGTTGAAGGTGAGGTCTAATGGGAGGTGTTTGGGTCATGGGGATGGATTCCTCATGAATAAATTAATGTCCTCCCTGGGGGGGAGGTGAGTGAATTCTCCTGTTAGTTCCTGAGAGAGCTGGTGGTTAAAAAGAGCATGGTACCTTCTCCCTGTCTGTCTCTTTCTTACCTCCTCTCTTGCCATGTGATCTCTGCACATGCCAGCTACCCCTCACCTTCTGCCATGAGTAGAAGCAGCTTGTGGCCCTTGCCAGATGCAGATGTCCAATGTCTTTCAATACAGAAAATTATAAGTTGAATAAGTCCCTCATACATCTTTCCAAATACTTTTCTAGACATCAGAATTGTGAACCAAATAAACATTTTTTCTTTATAAATTACCCACCCATCCTCCAGTATTCCTTTATAGCAACACTAAATAGACTAAGACAAATGGTCTGTCAAGATTTCAATTATTTGCATGTCCTAATTACTATTAAGGTTTGGCATTTTTATATATGTTTATTGACCAGTGGAATCTCTTCTGTCAATTGTCTTTTTATATTCTTTCTAGATTTGTCTATGTGTGTGTGTGTGTGTGTGTGTGTCTGCTTCTTATAGATTTGTAGGATTTCCTTATATGCATTGTGGACACTAATCTTTTGTTGATCATATATAAGGTAAACACCTTAGTCCAGTCTATGGCCAGTCCTATCATTTATTTTAAAATGTTTATGGATGCCCAGAAGTTTAATCTTAACATAATCAGACAGGCGTGGTGGCTCACTCCTGTAATCCTAGCACTCTGAGAGGCCAAGGCAAGAGGATAGCTTGAGATCAGGAGTTTCAGACCACCCTGAGCAAGAGCGAGATCCTGTCTCTACTAAAAATGGAAAGAAATTAGCCAGACAAATAAAAATAGAAAAAATTAGCTTGGCGTGGTGGCGCATGTGTGTAGTCCCAGCTACTCGGGAGGCCGAGGCAGGAGGATCGCTTGAGCCCAGGAGAGGTTGCTGTGATCTAGGCTGACGCCACTGCACTCTAGCCCAGGCAACAGAGGGGAACTCTGTCTCTAAATAAGTAAGTAAAAATCCTAACATAATCAAATGCATCATTTGTCTCCTTTTATTTGTACCATTTTACATATTAAGAAAATTTCGGCCAGGTGCAGTGGCTCATGCCTGTAATACTAGCCCTCTGGGAGGCCAAGTCAGGCGGATTGCTCGAGGTCAGGAGTTCAAAACCAGCCTGAGCAAGAGCCAGACCCCATCTCTACTATAAAATAGAAAGAAATTAATTGGCCAACTAATATATATAGAAAATATTAGCTGGGCATAGTGGCATATGCCTGTAGTCCCAGCTACTCAGGAGGCTGAGGCAGCAGGATTGCTTGAGCCCAGGAGTTTGAGGTTGCTGTGAGCTAGGCTGATGCCACGGCACTCACTCTAGCCTGGTCAACAAAGTGAGACCCTGTATCAAAAAAAAAAAAAAAAAATTCCCCACATCCAAGTTCATAAAGATACTGAATATTTTCTTATACTTCTATGAAATTGATAAGTTTCCTATTGCCCACCTTTCACTGAGGTCCTGCTTCATGTGAGGGTCTTGGTACTGGCTCCCCACCTTGCATAGGCTATAAGAACCCAAGGCTCAGGGGCCAGGTGTGAACAAACCCTCTCAAGACAACCTAAGCTTCAGGACTGGTCTTCCTTTTCCCCCTGGGATTCTAGTTGCCTCTATATTTGGGGCCTGATGGGATTTCTTTTTTTCTTTTTTCTTTTCTTTTTTTTTTGAGACAAGGTCTCTCTCTGTTGCCTGGGATAGAGTATAGTGGTGTGATCAAACTCACTGCAACCTCACACTCCTGGGCTCAAGCGATCCTCCTGCCTCCCTCCTAAGTAGCTGGGACTACAGATACCCACCACAATGTCTGACTAATTTTTCTATTTTTTGTAGAACCGGGGTCTCAAACTCTTGCTCAGGGTTGGTCTTGAACTCCTGAGTTCAAGCGATCCTCCTGCCTCAGCCTCCCAGAGTGCTAGGATTATAGGAGTGAGCCACTGCACCCTGTTGGGATTTCCTTTTCTTATGGGATTAGCATCCATTTCAAAGACTGTTTACCTACCATTTCTAGATGCATTCCATCATACCATATAGTCTGTCATACTGTGAGAAGCAGAAGGTCAAGATGACTTCTGTTATCTAATTATGCACTAGGATTCTTAGATTATGATAGAAGAGTGCATCAGAACATTTCTCCAAATTACGCCTTAGAATCTCTATATTTAAAATAGATGGAAGCACAGCATCTGCTCTGGGGATAGGGAATGAGGGGGCAGAGCAGCCCACTTATTCCCCCCGACATTCTAAGACAGCTTTAAAAAAACTTCAAGGCCCTGCTGAGTTCTTTATGAAAATCACAGCAATGGGAGAACCTGTACAAAGGGATTTCATGACAAGCCATCTGAAGCCTGAGGTGCAGAGCTGCATTCGTCCTGGAATTACACTCCCCATACTACAGGACCAGAACCACAAAAGGGCTCTGGAGACCTATGCTATAAGTTGTGGTTCTGCCATGAACAAGCTTTGTAACCCCAAGGATCACTTAACTTTGAGCCTAAGATTTCCTATTTGAAAAATGAAGGGCTCTGATCCTTGAGGTTCCTTCTAAAGCCTTCATTCTGCAGGTTTTTGTCCATTAACTTAGCTGGAGTTGGAGGCGTGCCGGAGCTGCAGATGCTCACCTTGACAACATAGACTCTGACCAGGAGCTTGATGGGCCGGTTCTCTGGGATCCCCCGAGAGATCTGGGGCTCAGAGGACGACATTGCGTCTGATTCGGGGTAAATGAGGAAGGAGCCCTGGGATAGGCAGAGACAGAAAAGGCCCTAGTAAGACAGTCATCCTCTGGAATCCCTACCTGTGCTCCCTGATCCCCCTTTCCTTCCACAGACATACCTTGAACTTGCCCACTGGGTGTCCAGAACCTTCTTCCTCTCCATCTGCATCTTGGCCCCCTAGCCCTCGGTATAGGGGAAACACTTTCAGCCAATCTTCAAAGTGGTTAAACTCTTCCTCCAGGGAGCTGTTGTAGATCTGAGAAGCAAGGATCTCAGTGACAGTTCGATGTCCAGAATCCAAGGAAACTCCCCTACCCCCAACACCCAGTCACCTTCAGGGTGGCAAGTGCTTTTTTCCGGGACACAGAACCTTCAACTTTAGCCTCACCCTGGTCTTGGGCCTCCCCATCCGCAGAAACAAGGTTGACACAATCTGGGAATAGCAAAAATGCCCCCTATCAGAAACATCTGGGTGGGTAGCAGGGTGGAAAGATGGAGCAAGAGCAGAAAAGTCAAATCTCTTACCTGAATCTCCAGGATCGTCCATTTCATCCTCATCAAAGTTGGGCTGAAATGAAAGGGCAGATCAGAGATTCTCCCCATCCCTTTCCACTCCTTGGTCTTCCCTTCTTCCAGGGTAGGGAGCTGGGAAACCTTAGTTCAAGCTCCAGCCGTGCAAGCCACTTGCATTTTCCAAGTTTCAGTTAATAGTCTAGTCCTGTGCTGTCCAAGACCATCACCACCAGCCACGTGTGGCTACTGAGCATTTGAAATGTGGCTGGTTCCAATTAGCATGTGCTGTATGTGTAAAATACACACCAGATTTTAAAGCCTTACTGTAAAATATCTCATTGATAATTTTTATAATCATTACTTTTTTTTTTTTTTGAGACAGAGTCTCACTCTGTTGTCCTGGCTAGAGTGCTGTGGTATCAGCCTAGCTCACAGCAACCTCAAACTCCTGGGCTCAAGCAATCCTGCTGCCTCAGCCTCCCAAGTAGCTGGGACTACAGGCATGCACCATCATGCCCGGCTAATTTTTTCTATATATTTTTAGTTGTCCAGCTAATTTCTTTCTATTTTTAGTAGAGACGGGGTCTCCTTCTTGCTCAGGCTGGTCTCGAACTCCTGACCTCAAGTGATCCTCCCACTTTGGCCTCCCAGAGTGCTAGAATTACAAGTGTGAGCCATCATGCCCGGCCCATAATCATTACTTATTGAAATAATAATATTTTGGGTATGTTAGATTAAATATATTATTAAAATCAATTTCACCAGTTTTCCCTTTTTTCACTCATTCACTCACCCACCCAGTCTTTCACTCTCTGATTGCGTCCTCACCTGTTTCCTTTTACTTTTTTTAAAGTGGCTATTACAAAAGTTAAAATTACACATGTGGCTAGCATTATATTTCTGTGGGACAACACAGCTCTAGATAGCGGAGTTAACAATCCCCAGCTTCTAGAATTGTTGTGAAGATGAGAAAAGATGATGGCAATGAAGAGCTCTGAAAAACTGCAGGGCTCCACATTCGATGAGATCATTCTTCATGCCATTTATCCTCTGGCCTCCACCCTGGAAACCTCCCCCGCTCCCACCTGCCCCTGGAGCTCCTGCAGCGATGCGTAGTACTTGGACCACCAGTCGAGTTCTTCAGGATCTGGGATGTCCTCCTCCAGCTCAGGGCCTTGAAGCAGGAGGCCTCCTAGGGGGAGCTTCTTCAGAGGAGCCTGAGGGACAGAGGACTCAGTCCCTATGACCTAGCACCACCTCAAGCCCTACCAGCCTCTTCTCGGCCCATCTCCCATATCCATCACCTTCAGGAGCTGTCTGGAGATCCCCGTTTCAGCTGAGAAGGGATCCAGGGACTTCTTTCCTGGGAGGGGGAAAGTGACACCAGGAGGAGGTTTGGCGAGTAGAAGTCAGACTCCAGGCCCCACTGGAGGGTCCTCTGAAGCCATTTCTGCCAGGAACAAGAGGGACTTCTGTCTGGTGGCCCCTAAGAAGAGAAGGCTCCTAACCTTGAGGTCTCTTGGGCACCAGGTCCCCTGTCTCCTCCTCCTCTCCTTCGTCCTCAGGAGGATCCTCATGACCCCGGAAAGTGAATCGCATCATGTGGGGGACAATGTGTGAACCCACAAGGACAGTGCGGCCAAAGGCCCGGCGCTCAATCACCAGGATGCTGAGTGGGGGCTGCAGGTAAGGCTGCTCCGGCAGGTCCTGAGCGGGAGAGAGGACTTGTCTCTGAGACCCGGGGAGAGGGAAAGGCAGCCACAGAGAAGGGGAGAAAACAATACGCCTAAACCTGCATTCTAAGCCCAGCTATGCCATAGCCTCGCTGTGTCATCTCTGGTAAGTCATTGCCTTCTGACCCTAAGGGACACAATCCTGGATTCAAAAGATTGTTGTAAGTATCAAATGACATAATACATAGAAAAGTACTTTGGAGCCTACAAGGTACTATTGGAAACACGGGGTTGTTGTTATTATTATGTAAAGCACCAATGTTCAACTTGAAATATAGATTTTTTTTTTTTGACAGAGTCTCTCTCTGTTGCCCAGGCTAGAGTGAGTGCCATGGCATCAGCATAGCTCACAGCAACCTCAAATTCCTGGGCTCAAGCAATCCTGCTGCCAGCTCCCAAGTAGCTGGGACTAAGGCATGGCGCCCATCCGGCTAATTTTTTCTATATATATTAGTTGGTCATTAATTTTTTTTATTATGTAGAGACGGTCCACTCTTGCTCGAGTGGTTTGAACTCCTGACCTCGAGCAATCCGCCCACCTTGGCCTCCCAGAGTGCTAGGATTACAGGCATGAACCACCGTGCCCAGCCAAAATATAGATTCAGAAGTATAAAAATATGTATGCATGGCCTTTAGCCCAGGAATTCTATATCTGTCAATGAATCCTAAGTGGGGAGGGGAAATGATTTTACTTTTTGTGTTTCTGTGTTAATTTTATTGATTGATTGATTGAGACAGAGTCTCACTCTGTTGCCCAGGCTAGAGTCCCGTGGCGTTAGGCTAACTCAACACACCTCAACTCCTGGACTCAGCAGTCCTCCTGCTTCAACCTCCAGAGTAGTGGGACTACAGGCATTGCGCACACATGCCGGCTAGTTGTTTTTCTATGTATTTTAGTTGCCAATATTCTTTCTATTTATGACGTAAGAGACAGGGTCTCGCTCTGCTCGGTTGGTCTCCGGACTCCTGAACTCAACGATCCATCCATCCATCTAGGTGGTCCATCACCTAGGATATAGGTGTGAGCCAGCCGTGGCCCGGCTCTGGTGTTGTTGTGTGGTGTGGTTGTGTGTGGTTGTGGTGTTTGTGTGTGTGAGAAGGAGAGAGAGAGAGAGAGAGAGAGAGAGAAGAGAAGATGAAATAAGCACATAAAAGAATGAAGGAATAGGAGCTATTACTGGATAAAAGTCTATATTTTACTGGAACTAAGCCAGTATTAATCTAAAATGTATTGTGTGCCGGCGCAGTGGCTCAGCTGTAATCCCCTAGCTTCTGGGGCGAGCGGGGGATTGTCGAGGTAGGTTTCAAACCAGACTGGCAAGGCAACTGCGTCTCACTATAATAGAAGGATTATTGCCAACTAATATATATAGAAAAAATTAGCCGGGCATGGTGGCGCATGCCTGTAGTCCCAGCTACTCGGGAGGCTGAGGCAGGAGGATCGCCTGAGCCCAGGAGTTTAACGTTGCTGTGAGCTAGGCTGACACCACGGCCTCACTCTAGCCTGGGCAACAGAGTGAGACTCTGTCTCAAAAAAAATAAATAAATAAAATGTATTGTGGGCCAGGCATGGTGGCTCACATCTGTAATCCTAACCCTCTGGGAGGCCAAGGTGGGAGGATTGCTTGAGTTCAGAAGTTCGAGACCAGCCTGGGCAAGAGTGAGATCCCCTTCTCTACTAAAAATAGAAAATATTAGCCAGGCATTGTGGTGGTGTCTGTAGTCCTGGCTACTGGGGAGGCTGAGGCAGGAGGATCCCTTGAGCCCAGGAGTTGGGGGTTGCAGTGAGTTACAATGACGCCACTGCACTCTAGCCCGGGCAACAGAGTGAGACTGTCTCAAAAAAAAAAAAAAAAAAAACCTTGGAAAAACAACAACAACAAAAAACCCTTGAAGCTCAAAAAAGATAAGTGATTTGACAAGATCCTAAGTGACAATGCCAGAATTTGACTCTAAAGCCCATACTATAGTAATTACAAATTATACAAATAATTTATTTTTATTCTTAGCCCCTGCTGCCTCAAAGACTAGATAGGTATTTTTATTTATTTATTTTTTTTGAGACAGAGTCTCACTCTGTTGCCTGGACTAGAGTGCTGTGGCATCAGCCTAGCTCACAGCAACCTCAAACTCCTGGGCTCAAGCAATCCTCCTGCCTCAGCCTCCTAAGTAGCTGGGACTACAGACACCACCACCTTGCCCAGCTAATTTTTTCTATATATTTTTAGTTGTCCAGCTAATTTCTTTCTATTTTTAATAGAGATGGGGTGTCTTGCTCTTGCTCAGACTTGTCTTAAACTCTTGAGCTCTAGAGTTTAAGATACTTGGATAATCTAATCATTCAGTAGAGCCAATAAAGCACCACAAGTCCATAGATAAATCTAGGGATAAGTATACTACATCCAGCCCATAGGCCAAGTCTGGTGAACTGCCAGTTTTTATGAATAAATTTTATTGGAACACACTTATACTCATTCAATTATATATTATTTATGGCTGTTTTCATGCTACAATGGTAGAGTTGAGTAGCGGCAATAGACTGGCTGGCACACAAAGCCTAAAATATTTACTATAAGGGTCATTATAGAGTTTCCTGACCCTTGGGTCATCTAACATAACCTGCTGGAAATCCACCATCCACTGCCTCCTTTCACTTCTCTGCCCAGCATTCCTTGCCGCCCAGCCCATGCCCTCACCACTGTCAGATGCCTGACGAGCTCAGTGAAATTGGGACTCTCATGATAACTGGCCAGGATCTCAGACTCCACACGTCGCCCGGCCACCTCCAGCACAACCTGGGGCTGCTCCACCTCAAACAGGTGCACACGACCAAGGCCCCTCAGACCCCAGAACAGCACCTAGGGCCAGGAAGTGGGATATTGAAGGACCTGCACCTGACAGAGGGACACCACAATGGGGAGGATGGGGGGCTTGGGGTGCCTGGTGCTACCTCAACATGGAACTCCCTGAGCACTGGGCGCACGTTGGGTGGCAGGGACAGGCGTCCAGAGAGGGGCTCCACCAGGGGTGCCAGATCCTGGGGCTCCACATCATTGGGCACTGAGGGCTGCAGGGGGAGGGAAGTCAGAGATGAATCAGGCCACAGGAGGGGACAGCCTGGGTGTGGAGAAGGGATGCGGGGAGCTGCTGGTAAAGTACCAACATGAGGAACCAGGCAAGGCTGGGTTGGCCAGAGGAGCGGGCTCAGAAAGCAGCCATGTGTAGGAAGGGGGGAATCCGAGGGATGTGGGATGGGGTGGGACCCGCAGCCAGGTGCTCTGAGGTCAGAGGCCTGGCAAGGTAAAACCTGGGCATGCATACCTGTAATGTTCCTTGGGGTCAGAAGGTCCAAGGAGGTGACTCCAGGAAAGACCTGTAGCCTGCATTCTCTGGGGTAGGGGACCTGGGGGGTATCCCTGGGACATAACCATGTTTTCTATTCCCTGGGGATGGATGGCCTAATGGCCCATAGCCTATGTCAGATAAGCCAGGGTATTCTGACCTCAAATCGGCCACTGTAGTCCAGTTCAATGAGTTCAAAGGTGGCAATGAGCTCTCCAGCTGCCCGAGGTCCCTTCCTCAGGGGGAAGAACTGCAGCTCAGGGCATAGGTATGGGTCCTCCACCAGCTTTACCCTCGGGGCGGCCAGTGCCCTGCCCAGGAACACAGGGGGACCCTGCAGGGAGCAGAGTGGTGAAGACAAAAGGGGAAGAGGCTCAGGAGCCAGTCTAGGGCGGAGGGATCAGGACAAGGGAGATGCCAGGCTGGGACTCCAGCTGGAGCCCAGGCCACACTCACAATCTTATTGTGGTCAAAAACATTGATGACCACTAAAGGCGGCTCCTCCTGCAGATGCTCCCTCCTGCCATCTATGATCAACTGGTCAAACACCAAGAGTTCGTCCCACAGGGGGCTCAGCGTCTGCTCCAGGACCTTGGGGCCATGCAGAAAAGAGGGCACTGGCAGCTGTCCGAAGAAGGCTCCCAACACATATGCCAGGCGAGCACGCCTGCTCTAAGGGAACACTTGAAGTAACGCTTGTCACTAACGGAATGAGATGTGATGAAGCTGAAAGCACCTTCAGATTGGTGCTGGAACATGCCCCTTCTAGCCCTGTCTGTCCCTGTTGTAACCCGCTGCCCTTGGAGCCCAGGCCTAGAGTTAACCCCAGAAAAGGACTTCTCACCCCTAAGACCTCTGGTCCTACACCACCCCGAGTAGGGAAATCCCATCTGATATCTTGTCCTGAAACCCCAGGGTGGGAAGAAAGTCTTAGGGCCTTGGGGAAAAGCTCAGCCCCACCCTGCCTTGTCTCCCAGGTCCCCTCCCCTACCTCCTATCCCAGCCCTCACCCGTGTGGTCTGGCACTGTGTAGAGATGAGGACTCGAGCAAAGGGGTCTGAGAGGCCACTGTCATCTGCTGCCAACACACCTCGGGCCTGGTACAAGTGAGCCCGAAGCTGGAAGTACCTAAAGTCTGGGGTGAGGGGGAAGGAAGGGGCCATGTTTGCTCAGGGGACCACTGGGGTGCCTGACATATTAGCCCCACCCTGTGGGCAAATAGCAAGGCAGGCCCTGTACCCACCCTGCCCACCCCACACTCACCATCCCGGCACAAGCTGTGGGGCAGCCCAGCTGAGGGCTCGGGCAGCAGGTCCGGGGGCAGCTCGAAGGTGCAGGCCTTGACTTGTTTGCCCAGCCCCAGCCACAGGAAGAGCTCCAGCTTGGCACAGACCTCCCCAGGGCCTGCCCCGGGAGCCTGTGTGGGAAGGAAACATGCTAGGGCCCCACTGCCTCCTCTTAACCCCAGCGAGGCCCAACAGTCCTGCTCCTCCAAGGCACGCCCTGCTCCATGTGGCTAAACCATGCCCCACTCCTCGATCTGAAGAACGCTCCCTACGTGCCGAGCCATGCACCATCTTCCTGCCCACCACCCTGTGCCCATGGCCCTCCTCTCTCCTTCCCCACAGTTCCTGCCCCAACATTGTCACTTACTATACCCCACAACCCCACATCCCAAAACTGCACTCTGAGCTCTGCCCTCCGGCTTTGCCTCCTCCGCCCCAACACATTTACATTCCCCGTTCTCTGCCCAAGGGTCACAGCTTCTCCCCACTAGGCACCCCTTTTGGTATCTTTTCCAGGGACACCTCATTTAGGAATATTTTGCCTGCAAACCAGCTGTGCTTGTCAGGGACTAATTACACTCTCTGGTTTCAGCACGCTGCCCATCTGTCAGCACCCAGTGCAGGCCCACAGCTAGCAAGCTTGGGAGTTTATCTCATTTCAAGCTGACTTGGGCAAAGGCACAATCTCCTTTTGGCTTTTTGGACAATTGAAGAGAGTTTAGGGGCCCCCTGGATGGGAGCCCCAGGCCTCCACCCCAATGCCACCCTGCCCTACGAGCCTCACCCCCTTCTCCCAGCACCCTCAGCCCCGGCCCCCTCACTGTGAGCAGCAGACTCTGGATCTTTCCACAGTCCCGGCCCCGTTCCTCCTCGACCACAGAGAACAGCACATCCTGGGCAGGGATCCGGGCCCAGGCCACACGGCGCCGCCCACTGAGCATACAGACGATCACGTCAGGGAGGGGCAGCTGGGGCTGTGGGCAGAGAACTAGGTCACGGAGGTGGATCTGGAGCTAAGACCACTTGCTGCCACAGCTTGGACTGGATGGATGGACCAAATATCCATTCCTGCCCTGACCATCCCCGAACCCCAGATCCATGTGGCCACCTGACTTCTGGACGTCTCCCTCTGGGTACCCCAACAGTCCACCCAGACTCAAAGTCCAACCTGACTACTTCTTCTTCTTATGGCAAAATACATATGACATAAAATTTACCATATTAACCATTTTTAGATATACAGTTCAGTGGCGTTAGGTATAATACACTCACATTGCGCACATGTCACTACCACCCATCTCCAGAACTCTTCATCTTTCAAAACTGAAACTCTGTCCCCATTAAACACTACCTCCCCATTCCCCCTACCCACCCAGCCCCTGGCAACCACCATTCCTTTCTGTCCCTATGAATTTGACTACTCCAAGTACTTCATAGGAGTGGAGTCATACAGTGCTCATTGTTTCGTGCCTGGCTTAATTCACATATGCCTTCAGGATAACGTCCCCGAGATTCATCCATGTGGCAGCACGTGCCAACCCGACTCCTTTATCTTTCCTTCTGCCCCTGCCTGATCCTTCCCATTGTCCCTACCAAATGCCCATTCATGTCAGCCACATGCCTGAGCTGGTGGCACGCTTCTCCCCCAACAGCCAATTCCCAAGTCCTGCCAGTTTCCCACTCCTCTCCCTTCCTCACTCTTCTCACAGCCTCCTAATCAGGCTTCCAGCTTTGGTCCTCCCTTCCAGCCCATTCTCTACCATGAATGGCTGGCTCCTCCCCATCCTCTGGGTCTCAGTTTTAATTGCCAGACCACCTTCTCCAAGCAGGTTCTCAGTCTCTGTAACATCTTTCTTAGCAGTTCCTATGGATCATAATTATTCTTTCTCATTTACAGATGTATAGTCTGTCTCCTTTACTAGAAGAGAGGACCCTAAAGTGCAAGGGGCTGGATCCCCAGGGCCTACTATAGAGCCTGGCACATAGTAGGACTTCAAATATCATTGAATAAGGGGGGAAAAAAAACACAGCTAGAACTGATCTCTCCAAAGCACAAATCTGACCCTCTCCTTCCCCTTTCAAAACATCATCCCAGGCCGGCGCGGTGGCTCACGCCTGTAATCCTAGCACTCTGGGAGGCCGAGGTGGGCGGATTGCTCGAGGTCAAGAGTTCGAAACCAGCCTGAGCAAGAGCGAGACCCCGTCTCTACTATAAATAGAAAGAAATTAATTGGCAACTAATATATATTTATATAATAAATTAGCCCGGGCATGGTGGGCACATGCCCGTATCCGAGCTACTCGGAGGCTGAGGCAGAAGGATTACTTGAGCCCAGGAGTTTGAGGTTGCTGTGAGCTAGCTAGTCCACAGCCCACATAGGCCTGGGCAATCAAGCGAGACTTGCTGTCTCAAAAAAAAAACAAAAAAAAAACATACCCAGAAAACCTGCATAACAAAAATCATCCCAGAACTCTCCATTTCCACAATATGAGCCTAGAAATTAAACATACTTCTCACCAAAAACAACTAAAGTCTGGTAAAATAGTTAATATTTTTATCCCAAGATGCAGCAATGAGTAATAAGTCAAAATTATCAGACAAACTCTAAATGATGATGGGAACCCAGGAGGTAGTAGAAGATTTATAGCCATTTTTGCCCATAAGGCATTTGCCAAACCTGGCAAACCTGAGCTTTCATGACCTAACCAGTGGTAACCGACAACTAAAGAGCCTCAGATCCACTCAGGACCGGAGATCTAATAGGAGATGTTCTCCCCCTCGGTTCTGAAGTTAGGAACCAGAAATTATGCCCTTCAAGGATAAAGCTACCCATAAATAAAGCTGCCTCCTCTCTTACTACCCTGGGATCATAAGGAAAGTTTGCCTGGCTGGATAAGAACAGTTAGAAATTGTTTCTGAAAACATAAGCACAACTGGACTTTTCCAAGCCTAGATATTCTAAACATCAGACTGTAGTATAAGGGATTAAGGCAGAAACAAAAGCAAATGCCTTTCTGGAAAATATAGTGCCTTTATTCCAAGACTCAAAGAATTCGCCACAAATTATTTATAAGGAAACTATAAATGAGCAATCACAGCCAAAAGCAACTAAGCACAAAAGGAAAACAGCAGAAATAGCAATATCAAACCAAAAAAAAGAGTATTATTGGAATCATCTAACTTATAATAAAACAAACTCTCTTACTATATGTAAAACAAAACTAAACCGAAAGAAACTTTACTGGGAATAAGTAATGTGTGAAAAACAGTGGATGTGAAAAAATAGGACTAAAGAAATAGAAAAGATAAATGAAATTTAGTAGAGAACACTTTATACATCCCGTTCTGATTTTCAAGTAACAAGCCAAAACACGGCGGACATTGGCTCATGACTGTAATCCCGCAGTTTTGGATAGGCCAAGGAGGATCACTTGAGGCCTTAGCAACATAGCAAGACTCATCTCTACAGAAAAAATTACATGAGCCCCATTGTACCACTGGCACTCCCAGCCTAAGTGACAGAGGATCTGCTCTAAAAAAAAGCCAAAAAAACAAAAAAACAAAATCTAAAACCCATAATGCCTTTAAGTACAGCAGTAGGAGAACATCTTGTAGCTTGAAATAGGTGAAGGCTTCCACACCGGTTAATAAGAAGAAAACCATAAAAGAAAAATTAATAAATAACGTTTCATCAAACTCAAACATTGTCATCAAAATCACACTAGGCTCGGAGCGCGTGGCTAAACATCCTAATCTAGCTCTCGGTGAGGGCCGAGGCGTGGTCGACGTTTGAGATCAGAATTTGAAACCACCTGAGCAAAGAGTAGACTCGGTCCTACATAAAAGAAATGAAATTAAATGGCCAACTAAAAAATAGGAAAAAAATAGCCGGGGCAAGGGGCGCATGCCGTATCCAGCTACTTGGAGCTGAGGCCAGAGGATCTGCTGGCCAGGATTGAGGTTGCTGTACTATGCTGACACCACCACTCGCTCCCAGCTCAGGCAACAAAGTTGAAGACTGCTGTTCAAAAAAAAAACACATCACCATTAAAGTGTTACAGCTCCTTCAAGAATTGTCCAGCATTTCCAGTCCATCACCGTACAGAACCAATTAAAAAAATCACAATAGAAAGAAAATAGCACAGAATGAAGAATTATATAAAGAGTAATATATCTGACAAATACTGGTATCTAAGCATATTGAGTTTTAAACACCCCTAAATTCAATAATTAGAACAAACAGTTCAATTTTTTTTTGCACTTTATAGAAAAGTACTTTGGAGTTGCAACCAGCAATTAAAGGCAAAATATGAAAACAAATGCACAATTCAAGGGTGGCTAAAGCAGATCAACAATAAACAAACACCACCAAAGATATGGAATGCAACAACAACAAGAGAAAGCTCAAACCACTACCACTAAGGGAACCAAAAAACTATAAAAATGCTACCATTTATACCAATCAAAATTCTAAAAATAAAAAGAAAGGGGGCCGCGCATGAAATCACGCTGTAATCCCTACACCCTGACAGGTTGTGGATGCTCGAGGTCAATTCAAACCACTGGAGCAAGAGGCAGACCCCCTCTATAAATAGAAAGAAATAATGTCAACTAATAAATAGAAAAAATTAGCCAGGCATGGTGGCACACGTAATCCCAGCTTACTTGGAGGCTAAGCAAGGACACTTTGACCAGGAGATTGATGGTTCTATATACGCTGACGCCACAGCACTTGTCCAAGCAACAGAGTAACTCTGGTTCACCCGGAAAAAAAAAAAACTCCATCATGGCACACCTTAACCTAGCACATGGGAGGCCGAGTGGAGATGCTTGAGGCAGGAGTTAGACCAGCTTGGAGCAAGAGAAGACGGCGGCTCTGGCAAAAAAGAAAAATTAGCCTAGCATCATGAGTTATCTGTATCAGCACCTCAGGAGGCAGGCAGGAGGATTGTTAAGCCCAGGAGTTGAGGTACAGTGAACTATGGATGACACCACTGCACTCTAGCCTGCAATAGAGTGAACCAAATGTTCATGATAAAATAAATAAAGCGGGCACGGTGGCTCATACCTATAATCCCCTACGCACTCGGGAGGCCAGCAGGGGATTGCCGAGGTCAGGAGTTCAAAACCAAGCTGTGAAGAGGAGACCTGTCTCTACAAAATAGAAAATATGCCAACTAATATATATGAAAAATAGGCCGGGCATGGGTTGGCACCTGGTAGTCCAGCACTCAGGAGGCGTGAGCAGGGAAGGGAGCTTTGACCAGAGTGGGAGGTTCTGGTGACTAGCTGACCTGGCCACACTCTACCTGGGCAACAAAGTGAGATTCTGTCTCAAAAAAAATTAATAATAGATAATAAATAAAATAATAAAAGAATCCATGATTTCTGGGATCAGCTTTTAAGGCTGAGGTAAAGCAAAAACTAGGAAAACTCCCTCACCAAAGCTTCAGCTAGCAATGTTGCAGGTTCAGCCACCAAAAAACCCTCTGATGCATCTAAGACACAGAATTTGAAAGGGACCTCCAAAGGCCAGGGGAGGAAGCAGAGGAAAGATAATCCCCAGACAGAGGAAAAGAGAATGAAAAGAAAGAAAATGCCTATAGAACCAAAAACCTGGCAGGAGTCTAACAAGGAGAGGATCTCCTACAAGTCAAAAGGGGGGTGGCATTGGGGGTGACCAAATCAATTTCTGGATATGCAGTCTCCAATTTAGGCCAGGATCAAAGTCCTCGGTCTACTATAAAAACATGGAAGTGTGATGAACTGGGAACCAACCAAACCAAAACCACAACAAAGCCCAGTCAAATACAAAGCATATAGACTCACCTCACTTCCCAGAGGCTGAGGTAAAAAGGAAAATCCACTCCTGGAGATATATTATTACTTTAGTGTGTCTTTATACAAAACATAGACTATAATAAAAAAAAATACAAGACATTAGGAAACAAAAAATGTCCACCATCGGTCAAG